ATCCCCTACTTTCTTAAATCCTGAGATTTAACATTTCTTTTCCCAGGTCTGTAAACGGGGTTAAGCCTGCATCAAAACAATGACAGTGACACTTGTCGCACCCCCGCACATCCCTGTCCTATCTCCTTGCTGCACAGTCTGCATTCTCTACCCACCTCTTGCTCTCCTCCCCGCAGCATCACCAGTGACCGGTCACCTCCCGAAACAATGTTCCTTGTCCGTAGCCTATCTCCTTCCCCGTTCTAAGCCCGCACGGCACAGAGCTGACCGTCTGGCTGGAAGATTAGAGCTGGGAATCTATGCTCGGCCGGCCTGGCTCCCAGCCTGGCCTCCCCACCGACTAGCAGCTGTGTGATCGCCTGTCTGTGCCCGAGTTTCCTTCTCTGTAAACTGTAGATGGTCTAACACCTACCACAGGGGTTGTAGTGAGGAATGAAGAAGACCTGGGAGATACTTAGCACAGGGCCTGGTGTCCAATAAATGCTCCATAAAGGGGGTCTATTGCTGTACATCACAAAGGTACGGACACTTGACAAGCTATACCTGAACTCACCTTTCCCGCCTTCAATTTCCTCTTCCTCCTGGTTCCCTATGTGTCCCAGAGACTGGCCTGTGGCTGCACAAGCTGCAGTAGCCCCAGCCCATTCGTCAGGTCAGGTTCCTATGTCTCACTAGTCTTCTGTTTGGTCTCCCTGCCTTCACCCTTTGCTCACAAAGCCGCTCCCCAGTCCTCATCTGCTCATCTTCTCTTCATAGAGGCTCTTCTGTGGCTCCCCATTGCCTACCAGCAAAAGCCAGACTTCTCAGCTCACCACAGGAGGCTCCCTCAGTTCTGGCGTTGGCCCCGCGCTTCCAGGTGGTGCCCACCCTCCCCACCTGTCCTCACCCCGCTCTCTCCCTCACCCTTCTGTCCCCATGCCGAACTGCCAGCAGGTGGCTGAGAAATCCTGCTGCTGCCACTGCCTGCCCTCCTGTCTTCCGTCCCTGACACCAGTGGCATCTCATGCCTCAGACCTGCAGCACCATGCAGCCTCCTGTCACCCCACCCCCTCTAGCAGCTCATCAGCACCACACACCGTCAGCTACGGCTTCCGGCTCGTTACACGCCTGTGCCTCTCCCAGGATGTTCCTCCCTCTTCATCTGCCAGATTCTCATCCTGCATGTTCTACTCGTGGGTCAGGACCGGGGGAAGCCAGAATGCTTCTGCAGGCTGAGGGCCCGCCCCTTTGCTCCACCTTCCCAGCAGCCTCTGGTCTGTCATGCTCCGGTATCCAGTGTCGAGGCTTTGTGTAAGTTAACAGGCTCACACCAGCCTGAGCTCCTCCAGGAGGGGGAGGGCACCCCCACAAAGAGATTCGTGCAATAGGCCTTCTTTCCCTTGGTTTCCAGCACCGGTTTTCCTCTGGCACCTGGGACCCATGCCTTCACTCCAGCCAGAGTCTGCCTTCTTCGTCTTCACTGCAGACTCCAGTGTCTGCCGTCTTGTCTTTAGTGTGGCACTCCGACCCTGTAGATCCCTTTGCCTCCGCCCTCCCTCTCAGAGCAGGCATCCTGCCCCACCTGGCCACTCCACACCTGGAGCAGCTGGGTGGCCGCCATCTTTGGTCTTGTAATTTGCATACTCACTCTATTGGCTAAGGATATAGTGGAGGTACAGTCAATTTACATGTTTGTCTATTATTAGGTAAGATGTTTGTAAATTAGGTGTAAATGGTAGCTAAGTGAGGGCACAAGGTGTTCTTTTATATATACAGTCTAACTGCTTCAAAGCATGGATTCCAGAACAATCTGTATTGTTGATCAGAGGCCTTTCTCCCTTAACTCTTGTTTTGTTTTTTTTTCCAGGTGTATTTATTCTGAATTCTTGAGGCTTGGTGGATCGTTTCTTTACAGTGTGCCTTTAGAGCACTTGCCATTTTATATGTTCTCTTTTGTTAACTATTTCTAACGTGCTCTTGTCATGACTTTTTGATTAGATTGTTCGCTGGTTAGATTATTACTTTCCCAAGAGCACGTGGTATTTTAGTCACTCATTCATTTGCTAAGTACATTTTAAAGCAACTACGCTGTAGAAGCAGGGCTATGGGGTTGGGAGAACTGGAGATGGCCTTGCAGGAGAGATGGCATTGGAGTTGGATCTGGGTAGCGCCGGAGAATTTTGGTGGGTAGCATTCTGGGGTTGGGAAAGCCCTGAAAACAGGCGGGATGAGAGAAATACACCCATGGATTTGTGGAAAGTACAGCCATGCTGCCATCTTGAGAACAGCCAATGGGGAGTACCCCACCTCCCTGATTGAATTTGAAAAAAAAACCAAACAGATGTGAGACAAATAAATATTACCCTTCTTCTTGGGTATAGTGAAGCTGGAAAACTTGACTTTGGGCAAGAGCTGAAGGAGGCTGACCCACTTTGTCCCGGATAATGGGGCCCAGGCAGGACTCCTGGTTACACAGCCCACCGCTCAGTTCCTGGGAAGTTTTCCAACTCTTGCTTTCTCAACTCGAATACTTGAGATTGTCAGATATAAACGAACAGTAGGTGGCATTGAAAGGGGAATTTATATCTTAAAATTGAGTTTCCTTTACACTACCCTGCTTTCCCACAAAAGCACCCCATGGTAAGGCGGCTAAACTTACTTTTTGTGACAATCCAACGAGGCCCTTAGATCATATGGGGGCGATTCAGAAGCATAACTGGAATTGGAAATCCCTGCCTTCTGTAACTTTGAAGGGTCTACATTTTGAAGATGAAAGAGACACATTTTTATGCTTTTAATGTTATTTTTATGAGGAAGGGAGAAGGAGAGAGAGACACACACAGATATCAATGATGAGAGAGAATCATTGATGGGTTTCCTTCTGCTTGCCCCACCTTGGGGATCAAGCCCTCAACCTGGGCATGTGCCCTGACCAGGAATCGAACCGTGACCTCCTGACTCATAGATTGATGCTCAGCCACTGAGCCATTCCAACATTTTTAAATATATATATTTTTTATTGATTTCAGAGAAGAAGGGAGAGGGAGAGATAGAAACATCACTGATGAGAAAGAATCATTGATTGGGTGCCTTCTGCATGCTCCACACTGGGGATTGAGCCCGCAGCTTGGGCATATGCCATGACCAGGAATCGAACCTGAACCTCCTAGGTCAGTGGTTGGCAAACTCATTAGTCCACAGAGCCAAATATCAACAGTACTGTACAATGATTGAAACTTCTTTCTTCTTTCTTTCTTTCTTTTAATATTATATATATATTATTGATTTTGTACAGAGAGGAAGGGAGAGGGATAGAGAGTTAGAAACATCAATGAGAGAGAGTCATTGGTCAGCTGCCTCTTGCACACCCCCTACTGGGGATATGCCCACAACCAAGGTACATGCCCTTGACCGGAATTGAACCCGGGACCCTTCAGTCCCCAAGCCGACGCTCTATCCATTGAGCCAAACCAGTCTCGGCTGAAATTTCTTTTGAGAGCCAAATTTTTTAAACTTCTTCTAATGCCACTTCTTCAAAAAAGACTTGCCCAGGCCATGGTATTTTGTGGAAGAGCCACACTCAAGGGGCCAAAGAGTCGCATGTGGCTCAAGAGCCACCATTTGCCGACCACTGTCCTAGGTCAACACTCAACCACTGAGCCATGAGACACATTTTTGAAAGTTCAGTAGTGAAGCCCGGTGTTAGGCTAGTAGGGGGTTGGGAGCAGGGGAGGGGGGAGATAGTGTATTGAACATATGTCCCCTGAAGAAGGGCAATCAATATTTGGGGACCAGAGGGCGAGGGGCAGAGGAGGTGAGGGAGACTGAGGGCTTGGGGGCTAGTTCAGGGTGGGCATGTGTTTCTCCATCCAGCTGTCCCAGAGTTCATGACACGCCTCCCCTCAGATCTGTGTCACCTGAGCAGCTGTGCTCCCGGCCAGATGCAGACTCTCCACATGGACCCCCAGGCCTACTCACACAAGAAACAGAGGAAGAGAGCAAATAGTTGACAATGGTTCAGTGCCTACCACACCGGCCGCTTTCTATAGTCCTTAGCACAGTCCTCAACCTTGGCCTTGGACCCACTTGAGTCTCAGAATGGGAAACGGAGCCAGAGCCAGAAGCCGGCCTGGCCTGGTGGAATCAGGGTTTGATGTGGGCTACCCGCAGTTTCCAGGAGGTGGGCTGGGGGGAGGGGGGGCAGTGACCTGCTCTGAGAGGAGGGAGAAGGCTGGCTGTTGGGGGGTGTGGGGCTCTGAGTGTGAGTGGTTGTTTGGGGGGTCATTTCCTGGTCTGGGTGTGAGCTTCCTGTGAGTGTGTGCTGGTGGAAGTGTGGGTGTATGTGGATATTGGTTGGTTAGCTCCTGGAATGTGTGTATATGAGTGTGTGTGTTTGGGGCGTTAATCCCAGGCAGGGGGGTGACTATGTGTGCTCGGGATCCAGAGAGGACAAATGGGCTTGGATTTTATGCACGGTCGTGAAAATGTGCATGTGTGAGCTTGAGGGTGCAAGTGTGTTGGGGTGCTGGGTGTAGTCAGTGCCTGGCCATGTGTTTATGTGTGAGTATGTGTGATTGTGTGTGTGCGCGTGTGCGTGTGTGTGTTTAAGGGTGCAAGCGTGTTGGGGTGCTGGGTGGGGTCAGTGCCTGGCCATGTGTGAATATGTGTGTGTGAGTGTGTGTGTGAGTTTAAGGGTGCAAGCGTGTTGGGGTGCTGAGTGGGGTCAGTGCCTGGCCATGTGTTTATGTGTATGTGTGAGTTTGAGTTTGTGTGTGTGTGTGTGTGTGTAAGGGTGCAAGCGTGTTGGGGTGCTGGGTGGGGTCAGTGCCTGGCCATGCGTGAGTCTGTGTGGTGGGGGGATCAGTCTCTGGGTCAGTGTGCGTCCCATGCAGAGGGAGTGGAGGGAGCGGAGGGAGGGAAGCCGGCCCCGCCCTGGGCGGCAGGTGGGCGGCGGGCGGAGGCCCGCTCGCTGCTCTTGGCTAGCGGCCGCGCCGGGCTCGGGGCTGGGCTGGGCTGCGGGGCGGCGCCGGGACAGGAAGCGGAAAGCGGCGGCGGCGGCTCTGCCTGCACAGGACCCAGCGCAGGCCGCGGAGCCGGGGCCGCTGGAGCCGAGACCGCGGCCCGGAGCCCGCAGGCGGCGCCGAGGTGAGTGTGGCCGGAGGCGGGAGGGCGGCGGGGCGGGTGCGCGGAGCTCCGGCGGGGGACCCTCCCCCCCCTCCCCCAGCGCGATCCCGCACCCCGGCTCCCCGCTCCCCTCCCTCCCTCCTGCGGACCGCACCCCGGGTGCGCCTCCCGGGACCCCCCTCCCCTCGCACCCCCGCGAGGTGCGCCCCTCCCGGCCCTGCCTGGCGCTCCCGCCGCACCCACCCCGCTTCCCTGGGTCCCGCATTTCCTCCTCGCGCCCCGGACGCCCCTTCTCCCCTGGCTGCACTTTGGGGTGCACCTCGGGGTGCGCGCTCCGGCGGCCAGCAGGGAATGGCCGGGCGTTCCCGGGGGCACCGGGGCCGCCGCCTCCGCCGTGGGGGCCGGGGGACCGGGGGCCGGGCGCGCACCGCGGTCCCCACCCCACCGCGGGCTCGACCCCGTCACCGCCGGCGTCCGGGGCCGCCCGGCCCGGGGCCAGAGGCTGGCACAGAGCTCGGCTTGTGATCACACCCCGCTTCCCGATCTGAGCCGCCCCGGAGGCCGAGGTGGGGGCGGGGAGAGGGGGCGAGTCCGAGGCCGGTGGGGGACGGTCCGATGGCGCATCGCCGAGCGCAACAGGCAGGTAGGAGTTTACTTTCAAAAACGCCGGGGTGGAGCTGCGGGCGCCGGCAGATCTCTGCCCTGCCAGGGGGGACCCGCTCGGAGGAAATCGCCCTTCGTCCAGGCAGCTCCACCGGGGCCAGGACATCTCCCCTCCAACCGCAGTCTCTGAGCTGCCCCAGCAACGCGCCCCGGGGAGCGCGGAGCTTTATACAAATTTAAACGCGTCGGTGGCGGTGGAGGCTGGAGCGGGGCGGAGCCGCGGCCTGGCGGCCGGAGAGGAGCTGGGACTGAGACTCAGGAATCTGTTGCTCAGTTTCCACATCTTCCAACCCAGGTATCTGCTCCCCTCCAAGGTGCGGTGAGCTCTTTTATCTGCTCCCGGAGAGGTGCCAGGGCGCTTTCTTATGGTGATGGCGTGGTGGCTGGCACTTGAGTTTTGTGAACCCCAGGGGCTGTGGTTGGAAATGAATGCATTTTGTTTTTAGAAAGAACACTTCTTCCCAAAGCTAGCAGGCTGGAGAGGATCTGGCACTTCCAGTTGTCTGTTTATACGTTTTGTTGTTTTTTTTTTAAACAGGGCTGCTGGAAACAGTATAACTTGCCGCCCATCAACAATGCTAATGAGCATTCTCCTTCCTGGGGGTGGGGGTGGGGGGGTCGTTTGATGACAGGGGAACCGTCTGCATCCAGGGAGGTGTAATTAGCCACTTTATGTAACCACTAATTAGAGTTCTTAGAGTCAAATTAAGTCGGTGTGATATCTGTTGGGGCTTTGATTTGTGGGAGGAAACTGGTTTATTCCAGAGTTCAAAGAAATAACACTTTCCACCTATCCGTGAGCAGGTAGCCATTTTCCAGACGTTGGTGTGTGTCTAAGTATAATGAGTGTGAAAATGTCCCTTCACAGCTGCTGGCTGTGTGACTGGGTGGCAGCTCAACTTGTAAATAAAAGGGGATGAGAACCTGGCGAGTGGCCTGTTTGTAAGGACTGCTCGCCAGGCAGCCGCTTTTTATTGTGATGCATTGGAGTGACCCTCGAAACCTTAAAGGGGAGTTTCCGTCCCTGGCAACAGCTCCTGTGGCCCTGCTCTGTGGGAGAATAAGCAGGCCCGGTGAGGAGGTATTCTCCCTCACACAGACAAATGCCCTGCTTGCTCGCCCCGGCCTCAGCAGCGTGTGGCTTGCATGGCCCTCACCACCTTGTGTGTTTAATACTCAGTTTCCACCTTTGGGTGGTGAGCTCCTTCCTTTTCTCCCGGACTCCCCCGCGCCCAGTGCCTGGGGACCCCGAACCTGTGCGTAGGAGTTGAAATCGCAGCATTCTCCATGGGTTACGTGTGTGCGGGGACCATTTGCGATCGTTGCCCACCCTCCTTTGTGTCAGTACATAGCTCTGGCAATGGCTCCACGGCTCTACGTTTTTTCCATCGCTCAGAGCACGGGTTCTGGAATCAAACCCTCCCTCACTCAACTCATTTGTCATCTTGGTATCCTCAGCTGTAATGTGACATTAACATGTTACCTCCCTTAGGAGGTTTGATCTGAGAAATAAGTGAGATATTGCATGCAAATGTCCCTCATGCATCCTCGATCCCGGAAGGGGACTAGCTGTGGTTATGGGACCAGCTGGGTATGGGCATGTGATCGGGGTATGGTGCCAGGTGTTTTCCTGAAGGGGGACGAGGCAGGATTAGGTGGACTTGGGGTTGGTCCCCCTTCTTCGAGGGCTTTGTTCTGGCTAACGCCCGATGACAGGGTGCGTGTTGTCTGCTGTCTGTCTCCATCGCTGTCCCGCGTCCCCCTTACTGGACAGCAGGCACTGGACCCGGCACCACGGGATTTACAGAGGAGGGGGTCCTGTGAGATCTGTTTTGCTGAATGTCTAGCAGGGGACAAAGGAGCCACTTGAAAACAAATGTACGCCATAGAGCCCCAGACACGTGAATTGTTCACAGCTCTTCAGAAATTGGTATTGAGGAGCTGGGGAGTTTTAGAGGTCATTAGTGACTCAAGCCAAGAGCAGTTATTCTGGGAAGGTGAGCTGAAGTCATTGGCAAGACAGATAAAGTGGGGTTGACATTTCTTTCCTTATGAATGGTGGCACAGAGTCATCTATATATATATCAAAGGCTAATATGCAAAGTGTCCCCTCAGGAGTTTGGGGGACTGGGAGTTCAATCGCTTGTTATGATGCGCACTGACCACCAGTGGGCGGTGCAGAACATGGCGGGGCACTGGTGGGGCTCTGAGGGAGCGAGGGAAGGAGGAGGTGGGGAACCTGATTGGCCCTGATGGCCAGCCTACCCTACCTGTGCATGAATTTCGTGCAGCGGGCCTCTAGTTCACTTATAAGAAGTTCTGTTGTCACAAAAGAATCATGAGATCTATCCTAAGTGCCACACGCTCTCTGACCCCCACATCAGGGATCTGGACGATGTTTGACGGCTTACAGACCACATCCAGCGCGATGTTTCCCAGACCTTGCCCTAGTTGTCCACACCCTCCCTTCCCAGCCCCGGGGTCCTCCCAGTAAACCCGTAAAGCAAGTCCAGTCTTCTCTGATCTCTGCGATAATTCACTTCCAACCTGGGGCCAGTAAAAGGAGGCCTGCAAGGAACAGAATGGAAATCATTACGTTACTTCGCTACAGTTAATGGTATTCGTTTAACGATAGACACGTTAGACCCCACCAGAAGATACAGGAGTTCAATGAAAATGGCACGCACGTCCTGTGCCATCCTAAGGTATTGTAACTGAGAGACTCGCTTTCCCGGAGAAGAAGAAGAAGAATGCCCTATCAGTTGTGGGCACTTTCCATATGCCAGGCTCTGTTTTAAATTATGTGAATCACCTCCCTTAATAGCCACGGTGAGCCTATAAGGCCAGTAAAATAGAATTCTCTTGTTACAGTCAGAGAGCCGGGCACAGAAAGGTTAAGCAACTTGATCTGAGGTCACACAGCTGCTAAGTGCCGGGACCAGGGTTTGAACAGTGACGGTCTAACCCCAGAGTCGGGGCTCACCACCGCTTCTCTTCCGTAGAAGAAAAGTCGACTCTTAAACAAAATTATGTAAATGGTCATTTTCCCCTCGAGGTCCATCTCATTGAGAAAAACGTTAGCTTCTAAGTACGGGAAAAGGGTGGAGAAGGCTGGGTGGAGGTGGGGGACATCGGTCATAGTGTCAACAATAAAAAATAAAGTAAAGTAAGAGCGAAGTAAGAATAATAACTAATGGAGTCAACCCTTTAGAAGTATATTCATGGTGAAAGTTAAATAGTTAAAGTAATGTACACAGAAACTCTTTCCCTTAGAAACACACCCACTGTGGGAGGGGAGAGAGGCCGCGGCCCTTGGAGGTCAGTGTGTCTCTGTACCCCTTTGCCAGGGAACCTTCTACCCTGCAAACCAGGGCCCTTGATGACCTACCAGCTCCGGCAGAGCTGTGGATGTTCTGATCATTTCCTTCCCGTGCAGGTTAGCTTCTGTTTACTGCTGCCCTTCCCACCACACGCCGAGTCCCTCCTCTGGCTCCGCCCTCCCCATGTAAGGAGTAGGTATAGCCTGTGTGCTTGAACGTGACTTTCGCGAAGATTCTCTTCGAGGCCACCAGTCTTCACTTTGCTTTTCTCCGTGCCCCCGTGGACCTGGTGTGCCAGCCCCAGCCCTGTCCCAGTGTCTGCCTCCTGCGGGGCCTGTAGCTCCGGGGGGATATTGACAGGCGGGCGGGCGGGTCTGAGTGAGACAGACAGGCGTGTGAGCAGCAGGCAGCACTGCGCCATGTGGCTGTCGTCACTGCCGAATCGAACCCTGCACCTCTCCCTCCTCCAGAAGACGAGGGTTTGAGACAGGCGATCTCTACGGTGTTCTTGCACGGTTGACGCGTGTCCTTCCCATCCCGAGGATGGCCGCTCTCCATGCAGCGTGCCCTGCGCCTGTGGGGTCCTTGGGGCTGACGAGGCAGTGACGGAGGTGACCGCTGCCCTCCTGGAGCTGACCGTCCCTTCAGAAGGCAGCCGCTCAGATGGAGAACTGGACAATGGGATGTAAAAAAGTGCAGGCTGGCCGAAATCGGTTTGGCTCAGTGGATACAGCTTATGCCTGCAAACTGAAAGGTCCCGGGTTCAATTCCGGACAAGGGCATGTACCTTGGTTGCGGGCACATCCTCAGTGGGGGGTGTGCAAGAGGCAGCTGATGGGTGATTCTCTCTCATCAATGTTTCTAACTCTCTATCCCTCTCTCTTCCTCTCTGTAAAACATTAATAAAATAAATATATATTTTTTTAAAAGTGCAGGCTGCTGCGAAAGGGCCCCATCTAGACCCGGAGGGGTTTCTGGGGAAGGGACAGCTCCTATGATCTGAAAGGTCACCCTGGGCCAGGAGCAGGACGGCCCCAGGCCCCAGGATCCCTGTTAGCGCCTTTCTGTGACACCATCCCCGCAGGCCTGGCCTGCAGCAGCCTGTGGCTTATCGCCCTGGGAATCTGGTTCCTTCTCTTTCAATTCATTACCTTCCCCATAAGGCAGCCCTCTGGCCTTATCTGAGTTCTGCTCAGTTCTTGTACCTACAAGGGAACTATCTCGTAAATATTGTCATTTCGAGATAAGGCCCAGGACACTGGAGCCCCTCCGGACCGCAGTTTCGCTTTCCAGGGTTCCCGTTACCTGAGGTTAACCGCTGTCTGAAGATATTGCCTGGAACATTCCGGAAATAAACCATTCATACGTTCTAGATTGCACGCCATGCCGAGTAGCGTGGTGAAGTCTCGCTCCGTCCCGCCCGAGCGGTGAATCGTCCTGTCGTCCAGGATCCCCGTGGTGGGTGCTACCCGCCGTCAGTCACTTAGCAGTCGTGCAGGTTATCAGATCCACCGCGAGGAGTCTCAGCGCTTTCGTTCCAAGGCCACTGTTTTAGTTAATAGCACCTCATCACCCTGGACATGGTGTCCTCTCACAGCCTCACAAGGAGAAGGATGGGCACAGTGCCATAAGGTATTTTGAGAGAGACCACATTCAGATACTTTTATTATAGTGTTATGAGAGGCCCAGTGCACAGATTCGTGCACCGGCGGGGTCCCTCGGCCTGGCCTGTGGGGATCAGGCTGAAACTGGCTCTCTGACATTCCTGGAGGGGTCCCGGATTGCGAAAGGGGACTGGGAGGGCTCCAGAGCATGTCTGGCCCGTTTCACCCAGTCCTGATGAGCCAGACCCCAGCAGCAAGCTGACCTACCGGTCAGAGAAGCTGCCCCATGGTGGTCAGTGTGCCTCATAGCGCCTGGTCCTATGGTCAAGAGAGGACACTTAGCATATTAGGCTTTTATTGTATAGGATTGTTACAATTGTCCCACTTAATTATTGTTGTTGTTAGTCTCTTTATCGTGCCTAATTTACAAATTAAACTTTCTCATAGGTTTGTACATTTCGTACATTTCGTAAAAAACACAGTGTATACAGGGTTTGGGAGCGTGAGGGAGAAGTGTCATTGCATCACCTCGACGATGACACTGTGCTGTGTGCGTTGGTGTGTGTGGCTGTGTCCGGACCTTGCCAGTGGGTCTCTCCGGCTGCTTAATGGACATGGCGGTGGGTGGATGGACAGATAGGCTACGATCTAGGGAAAGGGGGTCAGGGGCGTGGCCTCTGGATTGGGCTCATCGCCAGCGCTGGCCAGCTAAGAGCTCTTCAGGGGAGAGGAGGAGGGTTGCATGACAGTTGGGGGTGGGGTGGGGGACGCCGGGAGGCAGCACCTGCAGACCCCCTTTGATGAGCACAGGCAGGGACTGTGGGAGAGAAACTGGGCAAGGGCAGCGGGTGGGTTAAGTATGGCCTTTCCCGAAAGAAAGCAGAAGGGAGAGGTTGAGAGAGAGAGAGAGAGAGAGAGTGCATGCAAGCAACACCACCGTTTCCTTGGCTGGACATGCCTGGAGTTGCCTCAGGGGATGGCCAATGAGGACGGAGAATGGCGTCTGCTGGCAGAGGGGGAAGAGGAATGAGACGTGGGCTACTGGGTGCCAGAGGCGTTGCGTGGCGATTCTCCAAGGATGTTCACAACCGCCCGAGGAGGTTCGAATGAAATGGCCTCGAGTTGCCAGGGGAGAAACAAGCCTGGGAGGTGAGCGTGTGCCCCTCGGAGTCATGACCAGGAAGCCCGGAGAGGACCAGCCGGATCTGCGGGGCCGAGGCCGCCCGCCTCTGAGACCCCCCAGCAGCACGTGGCCAGCGTTAGCGAGAAGCTGGGCCTGGGCCGTAAAGGGCAGTCAGGAATTCGGGTTTGAAGGCAGAGGAAGGGCAGGCGCTGTGGGTGTGGATTCTGAAAGGAGCAGCGCAGTCGGGGTCCTGGGTCTTGGGGCCTGCGGGTCAGCAGGAGAGCAGGGCGAAGGGCTTTGGGGAAGGAGGCTGGGGCAGGGCGGGCCCACCTCCCGATGCCGGTGGCCGCCGGGTAACACGCAGCAGAGCCCGAGCTGAAAGGAGTGAGCGTTTGAGGTGCTGAAAGCTGTGGACGTTGCTCGTGAAAATGGTGGGAGGCAGAGGAGGGAGCGAAAAGGATGAGCGGGCTGGAGAAGTCTAGGAAAAGTGAGGGTCGGTCCGAGAGCAGAACTAACCTTTTTTCAAAATGCCTGCAACATCTGTCATCTGTTTTCACATGCACGGAAGATAGGCTGCTGGTTTCTGCTTAAGGGACCGGGCTCCCCGGGAGCCTGCCCTGCCCAGGTGACAGCTCCTTAGCCAGGGGGTGGGGGAGCAGCGATGGCAGCCCAGGGCCACCTGACTGCAGGGATGCCAGCCCAGGGCCACCGCCTGCTCCTTCCCCACAGCCTCCCTGCTCCTGAGGGAGACAGCAGGGCGTCTGGATTTGGACCCGGGACGAGCATCCTGGGAGTCACCACATTCATTTGTCCAGAACTTGGTGCCACGCCGGGAGCGTTCCCACCTGTAGCTCTCTCCTCCCGCCAGCAGCCCGGGTGCGTGCCTTTCACAGAGGCAGCTTCCGAGAGGGCTAGGACTGCAATCGAGTCGCAAAGCTCATAAGCCAGGGGAGCCTGGACTGGCACCCAGCTCCGGGCACTGCATCTGCTCCTGCCTTCACATCCACCCCGGGAAGGTGGTGGCTGGTTAGTGGGACAGCTGAGGAAACGCGCTCCAGGCCAGTGGCCAAACCCAGGCTGTCCTTGGCAGGGGAGCACTCTGGTGGGAACCAGGCCTCCCTCTTCTCACCTGGCCCCTCAACGGCCGAGGAGGATGGGACGGACCAGTCACGGCACCCAGGGCCAGGGGGCCGGGTCTGGGTCGCATTGGCAGGGCCTTTGTGTTTTTCTTGCATTTCTCTCACCAGCTCTGTGTGCAGTGTGAGCTCCCAGGGCCCTGGGGGGAGGAGCCCTGGTGGGCGGAGCCCAGCTCTGGGGTGATGGGCACGACTCTCAGATCTGGCGGGGGCGGGGCAGGGCGGGGCGGGGGCGTGTTCTATTAGCAGGAATTTACATTCATTTTTATCGCCAAGAAGCATCTAATGCAAATGTGGGGAAAGAGCGAGGAGCCTGCCACTCACCAATCACCTGCTCCTTTTCCCTGATGTCGCCCCTCATCCCCGTCTCTCCCTGTGTGGTTCTGTAGGGTTTGTTCCACAATGCCGTGACTCGGATTCAAACCGAGGTTGCTGCGGCCACAACGCAGAGTACTAACCACTATACGATCACGGCGAGCTACCGGAGCCTTTGGTTCTGTAGGGTTTGTAACTGCCCTGTGGATGGCCGTCTCCACAGCCCGGTAGCTTGCTTTTTCCAGTTGCCGTACCCTTGCAAACCTCTCCATTCTCCATCGTTATCACTGTAAACGGCCATATGATATTTCTTAGGGAGGATAAACGTATTCCTCTGTGTTGGGGCCCTTAGAGGGTTTCTAGCTTTGTACTGATAATGCGGTAATTATAATTTTTCTTTAAAAAAAGAAATTAGTTCCCCCAGATAAATTCTCAGGAATTTGGGTTCCTGGGTTAAAGAGACTGGGAACTATTTCCCCTCCCCCCACCCCTCCCCTAAATGGGCCTTTGGAAAAGATGAGCACATCCCTTTGAAGTGATTTTCCTGGGTATTGTTTTCGTAACCAGCGAACAGGCAGTGGGGGCCAGGCTGTGGGAAGCCACTACCCACGGCCTGAACCTGCTGGGGGCAGAGCTGTATCCCGGAAATGGCCCACAGCCAGGTCTCACCTGCCTCGGTCTTCCTGCTGCTGTGGCTGGGGGTGTGGCTTGACTGTCACCTACCTGTCTCCCTCTCAGATGCAGGGAGAGCTATTGCTGCCTGAGCATGGAGGGAAACCCCTATCCCCCCAGGAGGTGCTGCTCTCCTTACCCGCCAGCCCTGCAGCTTGGCTTTAAAGGCTGATAATCTCTTTTCTCCCCTTTTCCCCAGATTTGGTTCCTGTGGACGAGTGGCTCCGTGGTTCCCGGGCCCTTTGAGGTGTCAGGCACCCAGGGAACTCTCTACCTCGCCGGAGAACCAACACCTGCGCCTTCACCCCGAGCGAGCTGCCCATTGCTATGGATACCGAGTCCACGTACTCTGGATATTCTTACTACTCCAGCCACTCGAAGAAATCCCACAGGCAGGGGTACGTACGCTGGGGATGCCTCCGCTTCTCCTTGCGGGGTAACGGGCAGGCTGCAGGGCTGTGGGCGCCCGGGGCTCAGTCTCCGGTGTGTGAGGAGCTGAGCGTACGGAGCACAGGGCTTGTGTGGGGTGCACCCACGCCTCCACGTTGCATTTTATTGCTCCCATTATCGCCGATGACCGCAATTTCTCACAATTGATTTTAAACGAGCGTTTCTCTCTGCAGTGGAACTGTTTTTCCATTTCCAAGGACTTCTAGATGATAGTTCTCCACAGCTTTGCCAAGAATGTAAATGAAAATTTGAGAAGAAAAAAAAAAAAAAAAAAGAAGAACATGCTAATTTATTGCTTTTCAGCCAAAGCTGCTGACTCAGGGTCCATTTTGTACTTGCCACAAGGCTTGAACAAAGAAGTGGGATTGGCCGGGTGTCCGTTTGGGGTTTTGAAATCATTGTCCTGGGCACCGGGGGCTCACCCCTCCTCTGAGCACATGCGCAGGCGTGCTCGGATGTTCACCGAGCCTGCTGTCCTGCAGACCTACTGAGTGTTTGGCATGTAAGGAACGAGGGGAAGAAGTTGGCAAAATTACGGTGCTGCCCCTTCCTCAGGCTCCTCTGTGAAATGGGCATAGCAGGACCCTCCTCACGGCACTACTGAGAGGGGTAGATGAGGCTAAGCATTGAAGACAGCACATAGTAGGAGGTCACTGACCAGTGGCTGCAGTAATGCTATGAATGGCCTTGGTGTGTAGGCCCCAGAGTCAAAGGCCACACCTGGCCACTGCCCAGAGGCCCCGCTGTGGTCCAGCCCTGTGTGGCCTGGGAGGGTTACTGCAGTGGGGCCTCCCTGACTGAACAGGTCCTCCCACATGCAGCCGGATGCAGATGCACCCGCAGACAGGTAAGGATGCTCTTCCGGCCGCCAGGGGTGTCAGCCACAAGGAAGGGGCTGGGCACAGACAGTGACTGGCTCATGTCTCCGCCATTTGTCTGTACTCAGTCTTTGCCTAGTGTGTCTTTTGCAGTTAAAAATACGAATGGAGTAAAAGAAGTGAGGGTTAGTGAAGATTGTTTACCGGCAGGAAAACACGTTGGCGGGGCCATGTCGTAAAAAACAAGGTTCACAACTTGGTATGTTATCGTAGTGCTATATTCTTGGGATAAGATGAATGTGAACATATTGACCGTGTCCATCTGTGGGGTTATTAGGGATCTGAATCTGTCTCTGGGGATTATTAAGATTGTGGGATATTTTTTCTTAAACTTTCATAATTTTCTGAGTTTTCATGTATGGTTGTTATAAACTTAAAAATTTGGGGGGAAAGTTGCATTGAAGCCCAGGTAAGGCTCTCGTAATAACAATGTCATCACAGACTTCAACCAGTAGGTAAACATATCAGGTTAGTTAAAAAAAAGAAAGAAAGAAAGAAAGAAAGAAAGAAAGAAAGAAAGAAAGAAGAAAGAAATATATATATTGTGTGTGTATATATATATATATATATATATACAATATATATATACACACACACACACACACACATACACACACACACACACACACACACACACACTGAGTGGCCAAATTATTATGCGTTCAGAGATCATAATAATCTGGCCACTCGGTGTATATATACTAGAAACAGGTCTTTCAAAACAGCGCATCTTTGCACCTGCCTGGAAAAAGCAATTCCTCGTCCATATGCCAAGCTTCCCTTCCCCACGCCACAGCGGTGGGAGCTGGAGTTTGGGGTTCCCGTGGTGTTCGGAGCTGAAAGAGGAGGACACCTTCTGAGGAGGGACGGTCTCCGGGGTTCTTTATCTCCACGCATGTCCTGACTGTCATGCGTCAGGGCCCGTGCTCTGCTGTGTCCTCTGGCCTCTTGGGGCCCCAGAAATGGATCCAGGACTGCAGTGCCCGTGTGGAAAACGCAAGGACTGTAACCTTGCATGCAAAGAGCATGTAGAACCCTCAGCACCTCTAGCACTCATGTGGAAAGTACTCCGCAAACAATGATACAAGCTGGCGCTTTAATAAATTAATCAGGGACTGTTACCGAGCGCCTGCTCGGGCGAGCTGCGGGGGGAGGGTTGGTCATGAAAGATTTATGGGTCACTCATGGCTCCTTCGAATGAGCATCGCCCGCCCCTGGTGACTCTCTGTCTGAGGGCCAGTGGGGCCGGTCACTGTGGAGCAGGCGACAGCCGGCGAGGCAGTCACAGCAGCCTCCACGGCCATCCTGGCAGGCCCCGGACCAGCCGAGAGACTGCCCCCCAGCGGTGTCCCCGCGCAGGCCGCCCCGCTCCGGACTCAGGGAAATGGGGTGGAATGGGAGCCGAGGAGAGGGGTGGGCCTTGCTCTTGGGTAATGTCACTAGCCCTCCCACCGGAGGAGAAGAATCTGTGCACCAAGCGTGGTGTGCACGAGGCCGCTGTGGTCCCTGGGTTCCAAGCAGACAGCGGGTGACTCTTTTCTAGCAGAGAGGTCAGTGCGCTGGTTTCTCGATGGCCGCCCTCCCCAGAGGATGGCGGTTAACTTGCTGGGAAAGTGGTGTGGGCCGACCTTGCCAGACCTTTGGGTTCGGAACCCCAGTTCCCTGAGTTCGATCCAGCGGCAGCCAGCCTTGCTCAGGACCACTTGCAGAGAGCCTGCCAGGACATGGGTCCTTCTCCTACGTCCTCACAGCCCTCCCAGGACCGTGGGCAGTGGAACCCCCATTCCCCAGGTGGTGAGACTGGCCCAGAGGCATCACGATGTGCCTGAGGCCTCAAGGCTCGTGGGTGCCTTAGGTAGTAGGTTCAGGCCTTGGGAAGCCCGTGCTTTCCCCCTGGGCCGTGCAGGAGTGACCGGCAGGAAAAAGAGCAGAGGAAACGAAGGGTAGCTCATGTGACCGATAGGCTAACACGCATTGTCCAGGAGAGGGCTGTGGAGCGGTGGGGGGCGGCTGGCTTTGTTCCCGGTCGGTCGGCAGAGCCAGTGGGAGAGGAAGCAGCCGGGGCCCCCGCCGGCAGCGGACAGAAAGGGCAGGTAGTGGGTGGTGGTGGAGAAGGAAAGGGAGGAGCACCCGGTGGGGCCGGCTTTCCCCAAATAGAAAGACAAACAGCAGACGCAGCCAAATCATCTTCCCAGGAAATGCCGACTCAGGAGGCCCTGGGTGGGACTCGCCAGGGACGCTGACTGGGGCCGGGGCTGTAGCCGCCCCCAAGGGCTCAGCTCCAGCATCGCCTCCATAGGTGCATTTACACACACACACACACACACACACACACACACACACGCACACGTGCACACGCACACGCACGCAGGTACAGACACGTGCCGGGCTTGGCGTGCCCCTGCCTGCTCCGCCTGCCCCTCGCGCGCACACACGTGCACAGAGGCGCTTATCTGTACTCATCCCGGCAGGTGTTGCATGGAAACAGACTCGGCGGTGAAGACACCGGCCGTTTAGGCGGAGCTGGAAACATCCAGGGGCACACGTTTCCCTCAGGTTTGGTGGCCGGACTCCCCGTGTCCGGTCACGTCCTCTGGTGGTCTTCCCTGGAGCCTGCCCAGGGCCATGGGCCCTTCCCTGGAGTCAGGGCATCGGGAGCGATCGGATGGGCGTCCGGGCCTTGGCCTTGAGGCGGCCATGCTGGGGCTTGCAGCTCTAACGGAAAGCACAGCCCGTGTTGGACTTTCCTCTTTCGCACCGGCTCAGAGACCCTCCCGGAGCAGGTACTCAGCTCCCGGCTTCTCCGGAAAGCCCAGGGCAGTTCTTTGACACAAGGACAGCACAGCGCGGCCCGTGCTGAGTTGTTAGGACGATCTTTACACGCACTTGACTGTGTAGACTAGGGGTGTCGAACTCAATCAGAGAAGGGGCCAAAATCTAAAATCCAGCCTAAATCGCGGGCCGAATGGTTTACTGAACAGTCATAAACTGTCATTGTGATGGAAACGCAGCGGAGTGCAGTGATGACAGCGCGGTGCGGGCCACATTGCAAGGCCTGGCGGGACGGATTTGGCCCGTGGGCCTTGTGTTTGACACATGTGGTGTAGAGGAAGCTCTGGCCCTGGCATCCCTCTGTCCCATGCCTGCTGACCTGTGTCCCTCTGGCCCATGCCCACTGTCCTGTATCCCTGTGTCTCTCTGTCCCATGCCTGCTGTCCTCTGTCCCATGCACGCTGCCTGAGCCCTCCTCTCAGCCTCCTCCTCCTAGAGCTAGCTTAATAAAGCAGCCGCTGGACATTGCGAGGTCATACAGCTGAGTGTCACACCCAGGAGTGAGCCCTGCTGTGCACAGGGCACTTCCCAGACCGGCGGACTCCCAAGCAGCCAGTCCAACAGCCTCTCCCCCGGGGCATCTTGTGGGAGGGCCTTGGGGACCGGTTCCTGAATCACCTGGGGTGCCGGTGGAAAATGCAATTCCTGTTGTCTCCCATCCAGAGGAGTCTTCGGAGGGTGGCGCTGGTGAGTCTGCACCCACACCCGCACCCCTTGGCTTCTCTGCGCTCGGTCTGAGAAGCACGGGTTCGGGGTTTCTGGCCCTGGGGGTGAGAAGCCCTCCTGGGTTACCAGATAAGAGGCTCTTCCCTGGTTTACTCTGATGTGACCAGAGGAACTGATCGGCTGCCGCGTCTCCTTTGGGTGCTGCTGGACCCTTCACAAGTCAGCTGGGTGGGTAGGGCTGGAGTGATGGCTGGTCCTAGGGAGGGTGTTTCCTGCCCTGGTGGCTCCCCACCTGCTGTCTGCCTGGGGAATCCACACACGGTGGAAGAATTTTGCTTTCCACTGGAACCTGTGCCATCACAGGACTCGACCCATGGGACCGGCGACTCGGGAGATGAGTGAGGGCAGCATGTGACCTGGCTGATGACAGAGATGAGAGCAGGTGGGGAAAGGGAACATAGTGAGATCAGACAGGAGGCTCCTGGTTTGCGTGAACAGGTCACTCTGGCAGGTGGGGACTCTCCCTGGGTGTTCAGGGTCTCACAGTGAGTCCTTCGGAAGCGATGGTTTTGGGCAGAGCGTTGGCCACTTGCTCTGTGTTGTACTGTCCGAGGTCACAGCCCAGGTGTGACTCCGAGCCGTGGCTTCAGCGGCACGTTTCACAGCCGTGCTAGATCCTCAGGGGCAGGGCGTGAGGACGACAGTAGAAATGTTCGTGCTGCAAAATCTCCTAAACCTAAAGGCTTCTCAGATCAGTGCGGTGTAGTGAGTTCGGATCCCCCTCTGCCACGGACGGTGACTTTGGGAAGTCATGTAAACTCTTTGAGCCTCAGTTTCCTGGTCTGTAAAACGGGGACAGTAATGCTGACCTCGAGGTTATTGTTGGGGTTGAATGAAATGCATACCATCGAGCACTTGGTACCAGAGTTCTCAGAAGTGGGGTGGGCGTGGAGCTAGGTGATTGGCAGTGACTCTCCCATCTCCGGGCTGTTTCCTGGCTGCCTGGCTAAAGGAAAACGCCGAGCTGACCAGGACACATCTTCTGCCAGACTCTGATTTACAAGAGATTTCAGTCCTTTAGAGATTAGAGTTGCTATCATGGACGAGTCAGAAGCCCCCCAGCTTTCAATGGCTTAGCCCATGCCTATCCTAGGGCCGTCCTGATAAGGTAGGAGTTTGAGCAGGGCACCTGCATGTGGTGTTGTTAGCTAAGGAGTAGGTTACTGGGAGGTGTGCTGTGGGGGCGGGAAGGGCTGTGATTGTGTGTTGATGGCTCATTTTACAGCTCTTTCTGCCAAGGTACACACTTGGCCCTCGGCTAAGAGGACTAGCCGTGATAGTAGCTACTGTGTATTAGCACTTAGGCCACACCCCTGTCCTCAGCTCTGCCTGCACTACCTCCGTGGTAATTATCATTGTCCCGTCTCACAGAGGAGGACATGGAGGCTTTCAGAGACTGAATAACGTGTGCGAGACCCCTCCTATAGACGGGGCAGCACCGAAGGACTGCTTGTGCCCCAGGGTCCGCAGTGCCATGCCTCTGTCCCGCCCGGAGATGTGGGAGTGAGGACCGTGGACGGAGGAAGGAGGACTGATGTCACGGCGGCCTTTGGGACAGGGGGTTGAGGGAACTTACTCTTGGCTCCTTGGGGTGCATGAACTATTCCCCGTTGGGGTTGGATGATGTCCAGGCTGTGACCTCTGAGGTTTGCACAGGGATTGATTCTTTTTGCAGTTTCAAGACTGACCCACAGCAGGGTGCTCACAGTGACCCGGGGAGACCACCCAGGATTACTATTACCCAGCAGCCTATTGTCCTTCGGACACCTGAAAACATGTACACACACACACAAATATATATGCACACACGCACATGCACATATATATGCATATACGTGCACACACACATGCACACACCTTGGCATCCTTTGTCCCAGCTCCTGTTGGTCTCTGTGGCTGTCCTTGAGTTCTGCTGGAACCTGTGGGAATGACTTTCAGTTTGAGGTTGTCGGAATGAGGAGTAGATGATTCCCTGTGCTGGTTTAGAATTTCCTTTCTTCTTGTCCAGAGGTGTAGGGTGACAGCGTGTCCCAGATTTTTTTGGACAGACCAAAGCCTGACGACTTTGCAGTGTCGTCCCAATCAAACTCAAAATCAGGGCAGAGGCGGGGCCTGGGAAATAAGTTCAGTCAAATCGTAGCCAAAGCAAGGCGGTCCTTGTGCCATAACAACGTGCCTTAGCCCCGCAGATTCTGAAGCTCACAGTTAGGCTTTGAGAAAGTCCGGTCGCTGCTGATGGAGGGGTAACAGTCTTTGGGGTCCTGGATCAGCGGGAAGAAAATGCTAAAATCACCTTACTCCTTGTGGGGGCGGAGGAGTGGCGGTAGGTGGGTATTGCCATTGTGTGTGTGTGTGTGTCTGTGTGTGTGATTTTCCTAAATTCAACATGGAATTTACAGCATATCTGGATGAGATGAGAGTTCACTAACATGGGATAAATGTGCTAGCTGCTGTTTTGTGTTTTTGTTTTTGTTTTTCCTTCAGGGAGAGAAACAGAGAGAGGCACAAATCATCCCGGAGCAAAGATGGCCGAGGATCCGAAAAGGCTGTCACCATCCAGGCGCCCACCGGGGAGCCCCTGCTGGGGAACGAGGCCACTCGGACGGAGGAAGTCCAGGTGAGGGTCCGGGGCGGCCGGTGAGCACAGGGCCCCTCCCTCCCGGCTCTCCTTGGGAAATGTTTTTCTAAGACCCGTAGCAATAGGTTCTCTTGGGGCTTTCACCTTTATTTTTCTAGCTTGTTCACCAGTTTGTCTGTGTCCTGTAGTTTCTTGTTGGTCTTAGGGGCAGCCTGTGCCGCCACCGGCCAGCTTGTGGGTGCTTCTGAAGTTGTGACTGGTGGGCCTGCTATGAGTTGTGTTGGAAAGGAGCCAGCTAGGCTGGCACCAGGGCAGAGGAGAAAAAAGTGTGGGCTGCAGATTCATTGCAAGAGGTACAGGAAGGGCCGAAACCGGTTTGACTCAGTGGATAGAGTGTTGGCCTGCAGACTGAAGGGTCCCGGGTTTGATTCCGGTCAAGGGCATGTACCTTGGTTGCAGGCACATCCCCAGTAGGGGGCATGCAAGAGGCAGCTGATCGATGACTTTCTCTCATCGATGTTTCTAACTCTCTACTCACTTTCTCTCTCCCTTCCTCTCTGTAAAAAAAATCAATTTTATATATATATAAATACATATATATAAAAATTATATATATATATATATATATATATATATATGTATATGTATATATATATATATATGGTATAGGAAGGACCCTCCTTCCAGAAACCTTGAGTCATTTGGGGAGGAGAGCGGGGCGGTTAGAGCCCTGAGTGAGCCCCTCTCCTGGACATGACCTTGACTGGGAACTACGCCCTTAGATGCCGGCTAGGAAAGCACAGATGGATGAAGCAGGCCCTGGGACACACAAAGGCCCAAGTATGTCAGGCAGGTTGGGGGGATGGGAGCAGTCTGTGGCTCGGGGTGCCAGGGCCGCGCTGGGGGAGGGGTCTGGGACACACGGATGTATATGCTCCGTGGGGAGCGGCAGCCCCTGCACCCAGGCCCTTGTCACCGCTCAGGAGCGCAGGGGCTCTGCCTGTGGGCCTGGGTCCTGCCAGATTTAGGAAAGGCTGGAAATTGGGATTTCATGTGAAATCACTCCGTGTTTTAAGCACAGTTGGCCTGAACTGTCGCGGGTCCACTTATATGCGGATCTTCATTACGTAAGGACAGGCCTGGAAATGTGTTTTCTCATCCTTACGATTTTTTGAATTAATATTTTCTCTAATTTACTTTATTATTAGAAGACTGTATAGAATACATATACAAAATGCGTCTCAATTCTTTAGGTCATTAGTAAGGCACCTGGTCAACAGCAGGCTATCAGTAGTTTAGTTTTGGGGGAGTCAGAGTTATATGCAGATTTTGACTGTGCCAGGGGGGTCAGTGTCCCTGACCCCCACATTGTTCAAGGGTCAACTGCTTTGGTAATTTAAGAATTTTTATAAAACATTCTGTGGGGTCTTCTCTCTGGGCCCCCACTGTCTGGCAGCCCATCAGACTTAAATAAACATCTGAGCTACACTCAGGAACATGTTTTCATGGCCTCCTCAGCTCATGAAATAACCCTGAATAACCCGATGTGTGCACACCGCTGTAAGGAGGTAGGACTGTGGCTCGGTCTGTGTGTGTGTGTGGGGTTACACAGATGTGCATTTCTGAGCAGAGAGATGGCTCCTCAGAGCATCCAGGGTGCCCTGGGGACCCAGAGCTGCATCTGTGGGACAAGGGCGGGGTGTGTCCAGGATGAGCAATGTCTATGGTCCTCACTCTCTCACTGTCCGCCTTGGCTCTGGGAGGGCCAGGGGGCTGGAGGGTCGGAGGGATGGTTGGATGGATGGGGCCTCTCGTGAGTGGACCACCCTCAGTGCCGCGGGGGTCCACTTCCTTCTAGACGTGGATCCACGGATGCTGATGGCCTGTGAGAAGGCACTTCTTCTTTGCAGCTTCTCTACACCTTGCAGCGCCATTGGGAAGCTGTGGGTGTTGACACCAGGATGATGTGATGGGAAGTGCATGGAAGTGGGCATGGGGAGGCTGTACTCAGCAGCTGCATGACCTCGGCCGTCACCTTGGTGGGCCTCAGCTTCTTCACTGAAAATCTAGGGACATGGATTGGAGGGTCTTAGATCCTTTCTGTTCTAAGAACCTCACATGAACCAGACAGCCCTTTGGCCACCTGCATTTTTTTAGGCTCAGATGTGCTCACATTCTTAACATGGACAGGGATTTAATTAGTGACGCTTTGGCAGGGGGAAAAAAAGGCGAGGAGCTAAACCAGAGAGCGTGGTGGCCAACAAAATGACTGCAAGATGCTAGTCATGGTTTCTGCATCGTGCGTCAACCGAAGACCAGGCCCAACCAGGCCCGATACCACGCGTGGAGTCCCGTGTCGCCTTCACTGAGAGCATGACCAAGTCAGTCATTGTAGGGAGCCTCAGAACTCTCCCTGTTAAAGCAAGGTGCCCTCTTTGGATGGTTCCCCCTGCGTGTGATTTTTTTTTTTTTAATTAAAATAAATTTACACCCAGAGAAACGAACAGACTAAAGTTTGATAAACTTTAAGAGCTGAATAAGACCCATACAGCGCATTCTCCTATCGATCACTGTTTCCATTACTCTAGAAAGTCGTCTCATGTTCTTCCCTGTCTCCCCCTCTCCCCTTGAGGCAAGCCCTGCTTTGATTTCTGTCGCTGTTGATTAGTCTTGCCTGTTTTAGAATTTAATGTAATGGGAGTTGCATTCTTGTGATTCGGACTTTTTTTTTCATGCAGCATCATGATTGGAGATTTCTCCACGCTGTGCTGTGTTTCCACGGTTCATCCTTCGGGATTTTTGCCGAGTCGTGTCCCAGGGTACAAATGCCCCACAATTGGTGATGCGTTCTCCGGACCGACAGGCATTTGGGTTGCACCATTTTTGGGCTCCGGTGAATAAAACTGTTCAGGACATTCCCGTACAAGCCTTTTATGGACATATGTTTTCATTCATTTTGATAAAAACCTGGACATGGAACTGCTGGGCCATCCAGGGAAGCATATATTTAAGTGTATGTGGAAGTACCAGGCTGGTGTTTAAGAGCCACTGTGCATCTATGCTTCCTCCAGCGATGTCCGAGAGCCCTGATGGCTCTGTCTTAAAAGGTCCCTTCCCTCGTGGTGTGTGGCTCCAGTCACTTTCCAAACTGAGGACTGGCCCTCCGCCCCTCCCTGCTCCTTCCCTTGGCCTGTGCATTTCGTAAATCCGATTTCTTATCCTTCCTAGATTAGATGCTATTGTTCAGTCTTGAGAGCTCTATCTTGGTGATTCAGCTGTTAAACTAGATTGTTTTAGGTTGGTGTCTTACACATTAATTCATCCAACTGGCCCCTGCATCTGACCCCTTTCCCAGTTATAATAAATCCCCGAGGCCCACCCTTTGGGATTCCACGTGACTTTTCATCGCCTCCTCTGTTGTTGCTCTGAGGTGGCGTCAGAGTTGCCAGGGAAATAGCGAAACTGTTTAAAATCCTGACAACTGGGTCTTGTTCCGTGAAGACTCATTGTTGTAACTAGAAACCACCTCAGAATTAGAGAGAAAGCAAGAACGCAAAAGGCCGACACACCGTGATGGTCCTGGCACTCCCGGCCCTGAGGTTCGGCTTGCCAGGAGAGCGTGGGTCGTGGGAGGAGGTGTAGCTGCCTGGCCAGAGACGCTTGGATTTGCTTAGCTTGTTCCTCGAGAACATTGTCAGGGCAGGCTCGACGCTGGTATTTATTAAATGGGCCTTGAAAACACCATGGAGCTCCAAAAACAGTGTGTCCTGGCTGCTCGAAGCCTCGATTCCAGCGAGGAAAGTTACCTCACGAGGCCGTGAACTGGGTGAGCTCCTGGAGGGCACTTCCAGAAGGTGGACTGGTGAGCCTTTGTGACCAGGCATGCATTGAGGAGAACATGGAGAGGGTTTTCTCCTTGTGCCTTGGGCCCTCCTGTTAGTCTAACAGGCAACGGGATTGGTTAGTGCAAGGCAAAGCCTCTCCCGGGACCTGGGAGGAGGGGGAGGAGGGGGGGGTGATAATCATGTCATAATGAGTCACCCAAACCAGCAAACAAAAAGGTCAAATCACATTCTCTCTGTTTGTAAGTAGATATAGTACATTTTGAAAAAAGCCTACCTAATAAAAGAGTAATATGCATATTGGCTGTCACTCCAACACACAAAATGGCTGCCCCCATGTGGTCAAAGATGCCTGCCCCCATATGGACACAAGATGGCCACCAAAGATGGACAACAGCGGAGGGCAGTTGGGAGGGACCAGGCCTGCAAGGGAGGGCAGTTGGGGGCAATCAAGTCTGCAGGGAAGGGCAGTTAGGGGTGACCAGGCCAGCAGAGGAGGGAAATTGGTGGCAACTGGGCCTGCAGGGAAGGGCAGTTGGGGGGGACCCAGGCCTGCAGGGGAGGGCAGTTAGGGATGACCAGGCCTGCAGGGGAGAGCAGTTAGGGGCAATCAGACTGGCAGGGGAACAGATAGGCATCAATCAGGCTGGCAGGGGAGTGGTTAGGGGGTGATCAGGCTGGCAGGCAGAAGCAGTTAGGGGCAATCAGGAAAGCAGGCAGGCGAGCAGTTGGGAGCCAGTAGTCCTGGATTGTGAGAGGGATGTCCAACTGCCCATTTAGGGATCCTACTGGGATGGAGCCTAAACGGGAAGTCGGACATCCCTCGAGGAGTCCCAGATTGGAGAGGGTGCAGGCTGGGCTGAGGGACACCCTAGGGCACCCCACCCCCCCATGCACGAATTTTATGCACCTGGCCTGTGGTGCCAATGATAATTGTTAAAGTTTAAAAAGGCCTGTTATTGAAAGCGTTAAGCTACAGTTTTCTAGGAAGCCGATGCGGGTGGGTCATTCTGCAGTGGGAGTGTAATTGGGGGTGCAGTTGCTGGCTGTTATCCAGGTCGGAGGTTAAGTGGCCTTTACGAAGGACCTGCCGCGTGTGGCTCTGCATCCTGATTGTTTTCTCCCGTCAGGATGACAACTGGGGGGAGACCACCACGGCCATCACGGGCACCTCGGAGCACAGCATCTCACAGGAGGACATCGCCCGGATCAGCAAGGACTTGGAGGACAGCGTGGGGCTGGACTGCAAGCGCTACCTGGGCCTCACCGTGGCCGCGGCTCTGGGACTCCTAGTTTTCCTCACCCCCATCGCCTTCATCCTGCTGCCCCCCATCCTGTGGAGGGACGAGCTGGAGCCCTGCGGCACCATCTGCGAGGGACTCTTCCTCTCCGTGGCCTTCAAGCTCCTCATCCTGCTCATCGGGACCTGGGCCCTCTTCTTCCGCAAGCAGAGGGCCGACCTGCCCCGGGTGTTCGTGTTCCGGGCCCTCCTGCTGGTCCTCATCTTCCTCTTCGTGGTCTCCTATTGGCTCTTCTACGGGGTCCGCATCCTGGACTCCCGGGACCGGAACTACCAGGGCATCGTGCAATACGCGGTCTCGCTGGTGGACGCGCTGCTCTTCATCCACTACCTGGCCATCGTGCTGCTGGAGCTCCGGCAGCTGCAGCCCGTGTTCTCGCTGCAGGTGGTCCGCTCCACCGACGGCGAGTCCCGCTTCTACAGCGCGGGGCACCTCAGGTGAGGGGGCCGTGCGGGGGGTCTTCGGTGGGTGCGGGGTGATGACCGGTGCCAGGGCCAGGGCTCTCTCTGACTCAGGTTTTGAGAAGAGCTGCGTGTGTGCGTGTGTGTGTGTGTGTGTGTGTGTGTGTGTGTGGTTGGTGTGCGTGGACATGGAATTGTCCTAACGTACGGATTTAGAGGTGCAGTTGCTGGCTGTTATCCAGGTCAGAGGTTAGTTGGGCCCGGTCTCAATGTTGGCGGCACCTCCAAAAAACAATGGCGAAAGGGAGAAAGGAGGCCCCGGGGTGGCTGCTGACTTTGCCCCTGAACTTGGTCTGTGAAGGATGGACTCCCCAGTGTTTCCCAAACTTTTGACATATGTGTACCCCTTCTATGATTTTCGTAACCCTGAGTACCCCTCGTACTCAGGAGAACGTAGAATTAGGCGCAGCTAAGCACGGTGCAGTGCATATCCCCACCAAACTCTTCCCGTACCCCTGGGGGCACGCGTACCACACTTTGGGAAACACTGGACTAAGCGATCAGCAATTCCATTTGCTCAGAATGGCACACCGGGTGAACCCGGGCATCCCAGTTGGATTGCTCATTGCTCCCGTCTTGTCCCCTCTCAGAGGTGCCCTCGTTTGGGCAGCGCATTACAGGGCCACCCTGGTGACCCTCCAGTCACGAATCAGTGCAGCGAGAGACCTCGGGGTTGGGTGTTTGGAAGGCACATTCATGAGAACGAGTTAGAAACACGTTGAGATGGCATGCTTGAAGTCTGTGCATTGTACCCAATGATTGTGTGGTTAACGAAAAGAGCAATAACCATCCTTCATTTACTTAATTTTATTTTTATTCATCCCAAGGTAAGCGTTTTGTGCAAATTGCCAACGGTTAGTCTTCAATTTAAGTATTATTAATCTCTGTTACCGATGAGGAAATGAGCATTTAGGGAATCTGAGTAATTTGTACAAAATAACATGGCTGTGGTTGTGGATTCGCCCACACGTCCTGAAGCAGGGCCTGGGTTGATGTCCGCGGGATGGGGGGGCCTATTTTTCCGTCTGTTTCCTTCCACAAACCATGACTGCCCAGCCTGGGGCATGGCACGCTGCTGGCAGTCACATGGTTACACGCCGAATGAATCCCCTGAGCTGTCGGACTGCCGATGCGTGTAGCCTGCATGGCACCTGGGCGTCATGTTAATGGTAGCCGTCATTGCTGTGGTGTTTTCGCTGCCAGGAGGCACCTCCATGGGCACCTCAGTGGGCTTTGTCATGTTTCTGGCTGAGGCCCAAGTACATCACCCTGGAGTCGGGTCACCTTGCCAGTCCACACCCCCAGGCCCACCCTCTCAGGGCTGGCACGCACCCTCTCTCACTCTGGCTCAGCCTGCACATCTTAGACCGGGCGGCTTAGCGTTCAAGGCCGCGGCCACCCTGACCCGTTGCAGGGAGTCAGTGCCCGATCCACGTGTCTGTGCAGCAGACCTGCCGTTTGAGTCCCCGCAGGTGCCGGAGGCTCTGATGGGAAGCGAGGCCCTATCCCTTGTTCCTCTCAGACACCTCGCCGCCCCCGTGTCTCACGTTGGGAGTGAGCAGGCTTACTGACACTCCTGTGCTGGGCAGAGCCCAGGCCTGGGGCCCGGGGCACAGGACGCTGCCCTCCGAGCATGGTTCCAGAGCTGCTGGGGCTCTCGTCCTCGCCGAGCGGTGGACGGTTGCTGACTCAGGCCTTGGCCGGGTGATGGGAGCACAGAGCGGGCGAAGGGGTTCTCGGAGGCGGGGGGAAGTGCACAGGGAAGCCGTGGGGAGCAGTCTGCCTCAGGATGGGACAGGCTTGGAGGCCGCTGAGGGGTGGGAGGGTCCCGGGCTGGTCCCAGGAGAGATGAGTGAGTTGGGGACTTGATGGCTGAGACGCTGGCAGGGAGGCTGGGGTTTTGTGTTTTGGCCTCAGCCCTGTCTCTGGGGTGGGAATCCTACCTGCGGAGTAAGAAAGGAAAGGAAGGGAAGGCTTCTCCCCTCTCCAGAGCTCTCCATCACTCCTCCTAAGACTGCAAGGGGGTCAGGAGGGGACCAGCAGAACAGCCCAGGCAGTGTGCCTGTGAGTGTCAGGGAAATCGGCAGGAGTCCTGGTGCCGCGCCCAGAGCTCTATGGCCGGTTAGACCCGGGTGGAAGGGGCTGGACCCATTGTGCCTTGGGCCCACAGGCTGGCCGCCAGCCTCTCCCGGTGTCCTCACCATGACCAGCATCCTTCCTTTGCACTGCTGGCCCTGAAGCACCAACCCAGGCAGACATGGGAGCTCCCAGCGGCCCTGGGAGGCCATAGCCAGGTGGCCCCGGGATCTCCTTGTGGCTCCTCCCCAGGGCCCTTCATTTTTCCTCTCCCTCTCTTCCGTGGAGACCCTGGTTTTGGGGCGGAAAGAAGGCTGGAGGAGGGGAGACCCTTTATCACCAGCAGAGCGCTCAGGCTGAGCCTGCAGCCCTGTGGGCACAGTTTGGGTCGCCCCCCGATCCTCAGGCTATAAATCTGGCCCAGCCCAGCGGTGGCTGGAAGAGTCTCTGTGCCAGAAATACAACTTCTAAGCCCTTTGTGATGCCTAGAAACCGGGGGAAGGGGTCAGAATAGACAGGAGGGAGTCCTGGGGCCCCAGCGGCCGGCCCTCCGCCCCCGCGGGCACCACAGGCCTGCTCTCACAGCAGCGGGGGCGACCCGTGGGCCGGGTGCAGGCGGCGGTCTGGTCTTTTTTTGTTTTGTTTCCAAAGAGGATTTTGTTGAATGGACTGAGCTATTTTGGAGAGCTGTCTGAGGAGCGCCGATTCTTCAGTTTCTCGGAGAAAACCTGCTTCTTGTTAGCGCTCATAAAAGGTCCTTGCCGGGGCCCTGCGGGTCGGCAGGAACGGAGTCCTGGCTTATTTGAAATGTTCGGAAATGGGAAAGGGTGCTGCACAGAGGGAGACACTGTAAGGAGAGAGGCTTCCTGACCTGTGCCCAGCGCCTCGGGGATGTTCGAGCTCATTTACCCCTCCTGCCTCCCCGGGGTGGGGCCGGTGGGGGGTGCAGCAGGCCTGGGCCTGGGGGTGGGAACCCTGTGCAGGGGAGGGTCCCGAGCCGAAGGCTGAGGGGCCTGTGCCACACGCCCTGCCCCTGGCTCCCTCAGCACCCCGGTGTCTCAGCGTGTTTGACTTGTAATGTGTACACATGTCACCTGTCACTTTTCTTGGTTTCCTTTTCACAGTTGCTAACTTTTTTCCTAAGACTTCACCCAAGACTGCTGAGTTTTGATCTGACTCTTTCGGGGAGAAATCTAGAAGAAAAGGGAAAAGATATTAAAAAGGGCATTTCATTATCATATGGATAATTTCTCCCTTTTGAAATCTTTAAAAGGAGCATCCGGTGTGCGTCTTTAAAGGGAGTCCATTTATTAAATGGGCCTTGAAAAAACACCATGGACTCTTGGAGCGTAGAAGCTGGTGTAACAGTCTGAACCCGAGATGTAGGACAACCCTAACCATTACCCAGTCCTTACCACCTGCCGAGCACCTTCTAAACCCTTCACATGGACTCACTTAATCCTAAGAGCGCTCAGCCCCATTCTCCTCTGAGGTCACTGAGGCCCCGAAGAGCTGAGCAGGTTGTCTGTGGCCGTACAACTCGTGATTGTCAGGGGCCCGGATTGGAACCAGGCTGCTTGGTTCCAGAACAGTCCTAACGGTTTCCCCACAGTGCCCCTGAATGAGTGTTTCCGGCGCTGCTTTCAGAGTGCACAGAGGGCCTGGCGGGGGGCTCATTGGTTAGAGTGTGGTCCTGTTAGGCCAAGATTTGGCGTTTGGTCCCCCGTCAGGCACATACAAGAATCAACCAATGAATGATACGTAAGTGGAACACTGGATTGATGTTCTCTCTCCACCCACACCCCCTTCTCTAAAATCAACTTTTTAAAAGTGCATGGAGGAACTCATAAGCATTTTTGAGTGCTTCCCATGCAGCGCGCCGGATGCTGCTTTTTATACACTATTCTATTTCATTTAGCTTGTCACTTTGGGGCTGGGGCGGAGAGAACGGGCTTTGTCAGAGACAGCGGCCTTGTGCTCTGCGTCATTGTTAGCCCACAGGGTCTTTTATCCAGTCGGGGAGCGAACAGTCTGGGCCTGACAACCACAGCAGTAAGGCTGAGCCTTTGTCTGGTCTAAGCTTTTAGCTTTCTTTCTTTCTTTTAAATATATTTTATTGATTTTTTTACAGAGAGGAAGGGAGAGGGCTAGAAAGTTAGAAACATCGATGAGAGAGAAACATCAATCAGCTGTCTCCTGCACACCTCCCACTGGGGATGTGCCCTTGACTGGAATCGAACCTGGGACCTTTCAGTCCGCAGGCCGACGCTCTATCCACTGAGCCAAACCGGTTTCGGCTCTTTTGAGCTTCCTATACGTCCCTTGTCCCAAAGACGACTTCTTTTTACTCATTGCTGTAGAAAACCACCCACCCAGAGCCTGGTCGTGGAGAGCAGCACGCCATGATTTTATTATGATTTCTCCCCGTTCTGTGGGCTGGGCTCAGCGGGGAGGGGGAGGGAGGGCCTTCAGTTGGCCTGGCCTGCGGTCCTGTGTGCTTGCCGGCCTGGGGTGGCGGCCGGGGCTGGGCTTCTCTCCCTTCGCAGAGGGCCCCCCTGTGGGGAACAGTTCCTGTAATGGCGGCTGGACTGCTCAGGGCTCCAAGAACACAAAGCAGGCGCTTCCCGGCCTTTTAGGGCTCAGCCCTGGAGCCGGCCCAGCACGACTTGCCCTGAATTCTTTTGTCAAAGCAAGTCCGAGCCCCAGCCTAGATTTAAGGAGAAGACCTTGCAAGGTGGGGAGTCCTGGGAGGGCTGGTTCCCTGGGGTCCACGATGTAGCAGACCCCCACAGCCACCTCGAGCCCTCATTCTCAGAGTCTGTGTGTAATTATTTTTTAAATATGTTTTTTTATTTATTTCAGTGAGAGGAAGGGAGAGGAAGAGGGGGAGAGAAACATCAGTGATGAGAGAGAATCAGCAGTTGGCTGACTCCTGCATGCCCCACACTGGGGATCGAGTGACTACCAATCTATGACTACCTCCCCTCTCCCCTCTGGCAACCGTCAGTCTGTTGTCTGTATCTGTGAGGGTGTTCCTGTTCTGTTGGTTCGTTTATACTTTTCTTTAAATTCCACATACAAGCGAAATCATATGGTATTTGTCTCAGCCTATCCAGATGGAAAATAATGATGATGATGATGGATGATGATGATGATGGGTGTCTTGAAGGGAGCACCGAGGTGGCTGGCCAACGTTGATAAGGAGGTTATATGGGTGTGAACCAGGGATTGAGTCACCCATCAGCAGAAGCCAGGAATAAAGATGAGCTTATCCCAGCAGAAGATCAGTCAGTTGGGACCAAGGATGCAGGAAGGGGTAGGATGAAAGAGGCTGCAAACAGGAATTATCAGGGGAAAATGGAACCCCCCACCCCCCTGCGCCTGTGGGCCCGAGGGCAGAGCATTGAACCAAAGAGGATTACTCTCAAGACTTAATATCGATATAATATCTATGTAAGAGTTAATATCTAATAGCTGCTAGGCTTTGAACTTGCTCAGGACCCACCGCCCCTTTCTCCTGTCCACTTCCTCCCCTTGGGATGGGAGTGTCTGTCCTGTGCCTGATCCACCTGGGTGTTCTGGAAACATACAACTTGCCTGGCTTCCCCGGTTCACAGTTGGAGAGGAATTTCGGCTCCTATGAACTGTGATTCTGGGTCAAATGACATCCAGGACGGGGATCACTGGGCTGTGCCCCCTCCCCCGCCACCCACGTTCAAAACCAGTATCCATGGTCTAGGCCGGTGGTCGGCAAACTCATTAGTCAGCAGAGCCAAATATCAACAGTGCAGCGATAGACATTTCTTTTGAGAGCCAAATTTCTTAAACTTAAACTACATAGGTAGGTACATTGTTATTAACTTAAATAGGGTACTCCTAAGCTAGCCTTTGCTAAAAACTCAAGGGGCCCAAGAGCTGCATGAGGCTCAAGAGCCGAAGTTTGCCGACCACGGGTCTGGGAGGACCCAGCACCATGGGAGGTGAAGTTGGGGAGCGTTTTTTATGTGGCCATGTACAGTCATGGATTCATAGACAGTTTCCTTTTCAGAAATGTGCGTTCTGTTCCACTGCTTTGTAGTGGAGATGCTTGCCAGTCCACACCCCAGTCCCTAAAAAAATGCTGAAGAGCAACATGACTCAGCGCATGGAGGGGAGCCTGCAGGCCTTTGCCCGGATCGCGTTGCCGTGGGAGGATCTGGAAGGCAGGCAGGCAGAGCCGCTGCGTGTGCCCTGGCTAATGGAAGGCGCTGGACGCCGCGGCCCTTTTGCACAGCTGCCTGCTGGCAGCGGCCGCAGCTCGGGCAGCTTCCCTCACACTGCATCTGCCCCCAGCTTCCCCTTGCGGCCCAGGGAGTCACCCCGCAGAGCAAGGCCACGGAGGGGAAGGAAGGGCCGGCTGGTGTGGGAGGCCTTCCTGCAGGGCCGCAGGCAGGCGGGGCAGTGGATCCCACGCCCCAAGTGGCGTGCTGCTCATTTTCTGGAGGACGCACACTGCGGGCAGGGCCTGGTGTTCCGCACACTCGCCCCCGGCGTGATGGGTGTGACATCGTGTGTGTGTGTGTGTGTGTGTGTGTGTGTGTGTGTGTGAGAGAGAGATGCTGACACTCCAGAGGGCACAGGGGCAGGGGCCTGCTCTCCCTCCCTCCAGCCTCCTCGCTGTGCGCCCCTCTCGGAGGTTCGGGTGCGAGCAGGCCCCTGGAGCATCCTGGGAGGGGCTGGCAGGGCTTAGTTCCCATCTCAGTCTCCTCGCGGGAGAACCCTGAGCAGGTGCTGGCCTTTGATGTTTATCTGGCTGGCTCGGCACAGGAATGCAAAGCATCAGGGAGGCTGGACTTCCATCCAGGGCAGGTGCAGGCCGGGTCAGGCTGTGCGGGGAGGTGGCTTTGCGGTGCGGTCTGTGCCCTGGCCTGGAAGTGGGGCTGCAATCGCCAGACCTGCTCGGTGTGTCCCCCAGTTCTGAGAGGTCTGCCCGCATCCGTCTGCCGTGGGAAAGGCGGCCCGGAGGCCGGCCAGCCGTGACGGACCGACTCCGAAGGAGGCTGTGTCATCAGGGCCGTCACTGCCCACGGCGAGAGGATGTGGATGCCGCTCTGTGCGGTTCCGGCCCCGAGACCAGCAGAGCCAGGTGGTTGCACATGGCCATGGACGCACCCGGTGTGGGTTTGCTTGTTTGCTTGCAGTGTTTCCCAAAATGTGGTACGTGTACCCCCAGGGGCACGGGAAGAGTTTGGTGGGGGTATGCACTGCACCGTGCTTAGCTGCGCCTAATTCTACGTTCTCATGAGTACGAGGAGTACTCAGCGTTACGAAATTATAGAAGGGGTACACGTATGTCAAAAGTTTGGGAAACGCTGGCTTAGAGGGCATTTTCCGGGGTTACACTTTATCAGCAATCACTTAGACAGGGGGCAGCACTGGGCACCGAGAGTGCCCAGATGCTTCCCAGACAGCACTGTGTGGGCCATGCTGATGAGCTGGCCCTGTTGCTCCCGCCTCTCCTCTGTCAGTGCAGATGCTCCTGGCTTCAGTGGGGACACCTGCAGGGCTTGTCCACAGAGCGCACATTCAAAGCCCAGGCCGGGGACACTGTCCAGCTCGTGAGTGTTGATGCAAAGAACTTGGTCCCTGGAGTGTCCACGGAGCTGAGGAGCCCGCAGGTCGGGGTCGCCAGGAACCCGTGCGGCCAGCAGGAGGCCGAGGGCCCGGACAGCAGGACAGGACCACTGGTCTGGGCCTCTCAGGACGATTGGCCTCACGCCTCAAGGTCTCAAGCAGACATGTGTGCACCTCCTGCTTTCTCAAGACAAAATCCCAGAAAAAACCCAGCCCTCCCTCCGGCTTGTCCTGCAGTCTAATCAGATCTGCCGATAAACACAGGCAATCCCGGCTTTCCTCCTCCCTGCGCCCCGGTTCCAAGGTGGTCATTACCGGTTATCTGTGTGGGGCTGTGTTCCCACCTCCCCGCCTGCAGCTGGAGGCAAACGTTTTAATTAAAAGGCAGGAGTGCCAGGAGATACCGGCGCTCAGGTGCCCGGTTCCCAGCGGGGGAGCGGCGTTCAGGGGCTGATGATGCTTGTGTCTCGGGGTTCACAGGAGCCTTGCTGCACACCATCCTGGCGCTGCGTCAGGCAAGCGCTGTCTCCACATCCAGGGCGGAGGCGGGCCTCACACCCAGGTGGGGTCTCGGTGACTCTTCTGGGGGGAAGCCAATCAGATAAAACCCAGGGCCCTGTCCGGCTCCCTCGGGTGGGAGTTTTCACAGAAAGCTGAGTCAGCTTTTCCCTGGGGTCCTGCCCCATAGTTACCTCTTGGCAGTTCCTCTTCTCTGCTTCTGCCCTGTCCTCCCCAGACCAAGCAGGTGATCGGTGACTGGTGGAGGGACACAGGGGCGATATAGCCGGCCTGGGGTAGATGGGTGGGTGGAAGGAAGAGGAGGAATCTGCATTAACCCCAAGTCTACAGCAGCTTCTCCCGAGTGGGTGTCGCTCTGGTCTGTGGAATAGGAGAGCCCAGCGATCCTCACACAGGGCCATGTGGCCCGGGGACACTGCCCTCGGACCCGGGAACCTGAAGGCATACCGTGCCCTTCCTCCCCTTAGCTCTGCGGCCAGCGGTAAGTGTCTAGACTTGTGGTCTGCAAACTGCGCCTTGTGAGCCACATGCGGCTCTTTGGCCCCTTGAGTGAGGCTCTTCCACAAAACACCACGGCCTGGGCGAGTCTGTTTTGAAGAAGTGGCGTTAGAAGAAGTTTAAGTTTAAAAAAAATGTGGCTCTCAAAAGGAATATCAATCGTTGTCCTGTTGATATTTGGCTCTGTGGACTAATGAGTTTGCCGACCACTGGGCTAGACCGTGTTGAGGTCCTCTGTTTCCTCTTTCGAAAACTGGGGAAAATAGGAAAGTTCCATGCGGCCGAAACAAATCCCAGTTACAACTCACTGCTTTCTCGGCTGTGGGCCAGCTGGGTTCCGGCTAATGTCACAGCCCGGGCGGGTGCACCACCACAGGGCTGGGCTTCCTCTTGAGCCCCGGAGACAGAGGTGTGGAACCGGCGCTTCTGTGTGGTTGCCCCTGGGCATGGGGGTTTGCCTGCTTCAGGAGAGGACCTGCTCATTCCACGAAGGTGCTTTGCATTCATTTTGCCCGTCCCCCCCCCCGCTTTTTTTTTTCAGCATCCAGCGAGCAGCACTGGTGGTCCTGGAAAATTACTATAAAGATTTCACCATCTATAACCCCAACCTCCTAACAGCCTCCAAATTCCGAGCAGCCAAGCACATGGCGGGGCTGAAAGTCTACAACGTGGATGGTACGTGCCTGGGACGGTGGCTCTCAGGGTGTCGGGGGGCCATTGGGGCAACTTCATGGCCCATCTGGTTCTACCTCCTCTCGGTGTGTGCCTCTGTGGTCCATTCTCATGTCAGAACAACTCCCTCTCTCTCTCTCTCTCTCTCTCTCTCTCTCTCTCTCTCTCCTCTCCCAAACATATTTTCAGAGGACTGTTCTTTATGGTCTACATCTGTGGGAAGTTCATTCATTTGGGGATTTTTATGATTGAAAACAATGGGGATGTGTGTGTTTCCTGTCTCCTGCTGGGAACATCTTCCATTAAATAAAGCTATTAGGAAAGGCCTGCTTTTCCAAATGTGGATAAAGTACCCAAAGCAAAGACTCAGCCCCCCAAACCCGTGAAGGCGGTATAACCGTCAGTAGCTCAGGCGTCTGGGGAGACACGGTGGGGCGTTCCTCGGCCCCGGCCAGAAGCTGGAGCTGAGCCGTGGCGGGAGGCCAGAGGCCCGGCCTGGCCGCCAGAACTCCTTCGGGCTATCAGATGCTTCAGCGCAAGAAACAGGACCCGGTGTCACGTCTTGCTGGGCCGCCCGGGTCAGGGCGAGAGCTTTGCAAACCCTCCAAGAGGATCATGTTGTTAGCAAGTCAAGTGATTTATAGATGGTGTCAGCTTCGGTGGTGATGTAACATCCTCCGCCTCCTTAAGCTGTGCTTCGTTATTATGTTTGGCTAATGAGATGTGCACGCTCTCACGAATTGAGAAGGATTGGTCCCTTTCGCCTGTGACCTGACGACAGCGAAAATTCCCATTAGCAAAACCGAGTATTGACCACGTAGGTGAGACATGAGAAAACCCTCGCCGGTTTGGCTCAGTGGACAGAGCGTCCGTCTGCAGACTAAAGGGTCCCAGGTTCGATTCCAGCCAGGGGCACATGCCCCGGGTTTCGGGCTTGATCTTCCCCAGTAGGGGGCGTGCAGGAGGCAGCCAATCAATTGATATTTTTATCTCTCATCATTGATATTTTTATTTCTCGATCTCTCCCTTGCTCTTTGAAATCAATAAAAAAATTTTTAAAAAGTATTCATCTTAGCAACTTTAAAAAAAAAAAAAAAAAAAGGAAAGAAAGCAAGCGTGAGATCTGCCTTGTCTTCCTGACAAGTCGATCAGGTGATCAGAGGAGCGAGGCCAGGACTTCTGAGTCCGGAGGAGCATGGGGGCCGTGTCCCACGTCCTCAAGCATCACGGCTGCTCCGTGAAAGCTGTGCTGCCCTGAGAGCCCAGCGGGGCGTGTTCCTGTGTGTGGCCGGTGGCACTTGTCCCTGGACCGCACTTTCTCTCTGTCCTGTCCTCCCATCCCTCTCCCCCCCATCGTTGTCCTGTTGCTGAACTGTGACGTCACGGCCGCCCTCGCAGCCAGCGGGCCGTGCTGTACCAGATGGGAAGTAACATCCTCACCCCCAGTGTTATTGTTGGCCATCGTCGTAATCACCGCGCATTCTTCATCTCCTTCCGAGTTCCTTTTCCCTCTGCCCCTAGCAGATCGGGCCTCGGGGAGGTTTCCTTCCCCCCGTGAGCATGGTGAAGAGAAGGGGGGACCGTTCCCCGCCTGGGGAGTCACACTGGGGATCTGTGTCTGGCTTCGCAGGCGATGGGAGGGCGGCCCCAACAGACGGTGGTACCAGTGCTCTGCTCCGTTTCTCAGCCCGTGGCATTAAAACTGCATTTCCTGCCGAAACCAGTGTGGCTCAGTGGATAGAGCGTTGACCTGTGGACTGAAAGGTCCCAGGTTCAATTCCGGTCAAGGGCATGTACCTTGGTTGTGGGCATATCCCCAGTGGGGGGGGAGGAGGGGGTGCAAGAGGCAGCTGATCAATGATTCTCTCTCATCAATGTTTCTAACTCTCTATCCCTCTCTCTTCCTCTCTGTAAAAAAATCAATAAAATTTATTATAAAAAAAAAAAAGAAGTTCTGAAAACACAAAACAAAACAAAAAAACAGACAAACGGCATTTCCTCCCTCCATCTCCTCCCCGAAGGCCCCGGTAACAACGCCGCCGGCCAGTCCCGGGCCATGATCGCCGCGGCCGCCCGTCGCAGGGACTCCAGCCACAACGAGCTGTACTACGAGGAGGCGGAGCACGAGCGGCGGGTGAAGAAGCGGAGAGCGAGGTACGGTGTCCCCTGAGCGAGGCTTCACTCCGGGAACGTGACCGGCCTGAGCCTCGGGCGTGATCTTGCCGTGGTGTTTCTCAAACTCCTCATGCATGAGCATCCCGGGGGAGGCGGGGGGGTGGGGGTGTGTGTGTGTGTCCCAGCACAGACCTCCAGGCCCCCCACGCAGGTCACTTGCTGTTCAGCAGCTCTGGGGGAGGGCCCAAGAACTGGCATTTCTTACCCGTTCCCAGCCGATGCTGAGCTGCTGGCCCAGGGCCCACACTCTGAGGGGCCCCATCCTGTGCCCCAGGCCCCGGCTGGTTCTCTAGACCTGATCCCATGCACGGAGAGGGACAGAGGTGGTCCCACTGTGTGCTGGGCCTCTTCCTTCCCTCCCTGGGACGGCTACGTGGTGGTGAGATCAACAGGATCAGCCCGGCTCTTAGTAAGCGGCTTGGCTCCACCAGCCCCGCTCAGAGGCGGAGGAGCCTTGGCATGCGTTTCCCTCTGCTGACCAGATAGAGCGAGTCTCCGGAGCACTGCGGTGGCAGGATTGAGAACAGAGGTCACCTCCAGGTCCCAGGCTCCTTCCTCCTCACCCACCACAGCCCCAGTTCTTCCCTCCTCCCCACCCCCCCACCACCACGTAATCCTCCCTCCCCTCTTCCCCTACCTACTGTCAGAGGAAGGTGACCGGATGTCCCGCTTTTGGCGGGACAGTCCCGATTTTTAACAATTTGTCCCTCTGCGTTTTAAAACTGTCCCAATTTTTGCTGAAATCGGTTTGGCTCGGTGGTAGAGCATCGGTCTGGGGACTGAAAGGTCCCAGGTTCGATTCCGGTCAAGGGCATGTACCTTGGTTGCGGGGACATCCCCAGTCGGGGTTGTGCAGGAGGCAGCTGGTCGATGTTTTTCTCTCATCAATGTTTCTAGCTCTCTCTCTCTCTCCCTTCCTCTCTGTAAAAAAATCAATAAAATATATTTAAAAGAAATAAATAAATAAAATAAAACACAGTCCTTTTAAAAATGCCACGGGACGAGGGACAAATTGTTAAAAAGCGGGACGTCTGGTCACCTTAGTTCTAGAGTGACAGCTAAGGGCCTCGGGGGGAGTTGAGGGGAGCTGGGCGCGGCAGGTGGGCAGGAGTCCATCCAGGTCTGCAGGACTGCTCCCCAGCCCCGCCCTGACGCCGGGTCCCGTTGTTCCCAGGCTGGTGGTGGCGGTGGAGGAGGCCTTCATCCACATCCAGCGGCTGCAGGCCGAGGAGCAGCAGAAGGCCCCGGGGGAAGTGATGGACCCCAGGGAGGCCGCCCAGGCCATCTTCCCGTCCATGGCCCGGGCCCTGCAGAAGTACCTGCGCACCACGCGGCAGCAGCACTACCACAGCATGGAGAGCATCCTGCAGCACCTGGCCTTCTGCATCACCCACAGCATGACCCCGAAGGTGCGCCCGCCCCGCCCCGCCCCGCCCCCGGGCCCCGCACGCGGGTGTGATCAGGAGGGACCACATCAAAGGCTCCTTCGAGGCGCCAGCTGACGGGGATGTGGGATGCCCCCTGCTCCCTGGTCTGTGGGTGCAGCTGGTTTCTTGATGTGCCTCTGAAGGCCTCTAGGGTCGAGCCGAGGAAAGATTTCCCTGCAGGGACAGCAGTCCAGGTCATAGTGAGGGGTCCTTGGTGGGTTCTCACCCAGCTCCTGCACCAACTGGAGCCAACCGCTTCACGGCTCTGTGCCTCGGTTTCCTATTCTGCAAGTGGGGATGATACCGATATCCCCTTCACTGGGTGGTTGTGAGAAATGAAGTTCATCCGTGTGGCACGCTCAGAGCAGTGCCCGCTGTATGGTGAGAACTCAGCGAATGGCTATTGTTGTCAGAGGCAGAAACGGTGCCAGCCCTTCGTGAGGCGTCTCGGGTGTGGTGGGGTTCATTGTACCGCATGGTCTTTGAGATCGTGGTGGGAGCACGCTTTTAGGAAACCATCGTGGGGCTCCGAGAGGGAGGTGGCCAGGGGGACGAGATGGACGGACGACCACTCTCCCGACAGAAGTGGCTCAAGTCCCAGTCCCACCACTCACTGGTTGGTGACTTCTCCTACATTACTCTACACTTGTTTCCTCTTTTATACACCGGGGTTGGTAACAGTCTCCCCCTGATAGGATTGTTGTATGAGAATTACATTACATAAGGCAGCATGACACGGAGTACGTGATCCTGGCCTAGGTCGCCCGTGGGATGCCGGTGTCGGCGGGAGGACCTGTGTTCCCACATTGTCCTGCACATACACGAACTACCGCTGGTTACGTTCTCACTAACCAGTGACAGCGTTCTGGAGAGCAGACACGTCCAGGGAAAGGAGCATAAGGTTTGCAGATTCTTGGACTCGCCCAGAGAAAGTAGTCAGCACAATCACACGTGTCCATGAATACACCTGCAGGTGATTTTTGCCAAGTAATCAGTACTAACTCCAAACAAAACAACCTAAACGTAGAACAGCGCTTACGGAGTGTGGCACCTCTGACCCCTGTGGGCTGGAGGAGGCTCTTTGTTAGAATGTGAGGTTCCGGGGGGGATGCAGAGCAGTGCGGGCGGCGTGTCTGCGCTGGCCGTGAGGCTGGGCCCCAGCAGAGTTCCCTTCCTGCAGGATTTTGTAGTTTCCTGCTTGCTTTCTTCTTCATTTCAAAAATGTCTGCTTTTCTGAATTAATAATAGCCTTTGTATAAAAGTCCAAACATTAAAGAATAGAATAATATACGAAGTGAGATTTCATTCTCCTCTCGCAAACAGTTCTTCCTGATAGAGTGAGGTGTGTGTGTGTGTGTGTGTGTGTGTGTGCGCGCGCGCGCGCGTGTGTGAGTGCGAATTTAAAGCAGAAATGGGGGCGGGGGACAAATGGTATCCTATACACATATAGTTTGGAAACTTGCTTTATTCCTTAAAGCTCTCTGGCTGTCTTTCGATGTCAGGACTTCCCAATCTCTGTCCTACACGTGGAACTCACACTAATAGCTGCACTGCCTTGCACGGAATCCCATGATTCGCTTAACTCAGTGGTCGGCAAACAGCGGCTCGAGAGCCACATGATACAGCTCAGCATTTTCCATCTGTCTTTGGCCCCTTGAATGTGGCTCTTCCACAAAATAGCACGTGTGGGCACGCACATACAGTGCGATTGAAACTTCGTGGCCCGTGCGCAAAAACTGGTTTTCGGTTCTCAAAAGAAATTTCAGTCGTTGTACTGTTGATATTTCGCTCTGTTGACTAATGAGTCTGCCGACCGCTGGCTTAACTGATTGCCTGTTGGTACGCTCTCGCTCTCGGACGGAGCTCTTTGTGAGTCTGAGCCGGGGCGTGGCCCTTTCCTTCCTCGGTATGATCGGAACGCGGCCATGCCCCCTTATTCCATATCTCTCGTGGCTGCTTTCTCTCAGTGGCCATCACAGAGTGAGCTTGCAAAGCCTAACATATTTACATTCCGAGAAGTTTGCCAGCCCCTGATCGTACAGTGGTGACGTGACTGTCTGCTTTGCGTGTGTTTCTGTGCACGGGTGCTGCTGTTCCAGAGGGATGCGTTTCTCGCGGGGGAGCCGCTGGGTCCCAGGCCGTCCTCCCGAGGGGTGAGGCAGTGTTACTCTCGCCTCTGGGGCCCCCAGATCGGAGGGCACTGCTTCTTCCCTCGCACGCTCGGCAGCGTCGGGGTCGCCGTTCTTTTTACTCACTGTCCACCTAAGAGAAGGAAAGTATTATTATTTGAATTTATATTTTTTAAATTCTTAATGTGACAGGACATCTTTCCTAGGTGGATGTTCTGTGTATTCTCCTCTACGGTATCTTACCAACTTTCTTTCTCTGATTGTTGAATTGCTTCTTTTCCGTGTGGTTCATAAGAGCTCTTGTCATAGGAGAAGTGTGTCTGTACCAGAGGCTCAGCTCTGCTTAGAACATGTGCTCGCAGAGCCGAGATTGGGGCCTGAGGCGGCGTCCTTACCAGCATCCAGACCAGAGCAATACCACCCAGCATTGTCCATCTGTCCCTTCGGCTCATCCTTCCTTGCAGCCGAGCCAGGGTGCTAATGGATGTGATGGGTGTGCTGTGGAGTCTTGAGTGTGTGCTGGGTGCAATGGAAAGCCACATTTAGAAACCAGTGCCTGCCCCCCAGGAGAGGGAAATCCCGTGTGGGGCCCAGACCCCAGGACAGAATGAATTGTCCGAAAGGGAAGCCACTGAGATGCCCAGCAGTGACCCACGGCATTCAAGGCATGCACATCTGTCCTAGAGGTCCAGGGTGCTTGGAGAAGACTTAAAGGGCCAGGGGTGGGGATTTAAAGACGACATTCAGCAGATGGAGTGATACCGTGAAGGTGGGGGGACCCCAGAGAACCCAAAGAGCTGGTACCAAGAGGTGTGAGGGGAGGAGAGGCCTGGCCAGCCCTCAGACTTGCCATGCACAACCTTCCCTCCACACCCCACCCCAGATCCAACATAAAGTAACGGTTCCCGGCATTGATCGGCATTGATTGGCGATTGATGGTAGTCCCCTCCTGCCATGAGGGGGTTAGTTGCCCACTTCCTCCTCACAGCAGGCCTCTGAGTTGGGTGCTGTCATCCCCACCTGGAGGTCAGGTGGCTGCCCCAGTCCCCAGCCAGCCGGTGGGAGAGCGGGCGTCTGCGCTCAGGTCTGTCCCTGCAGGTGTGCAGCTCGTGTTCTGGAGTGTTCTCTGAGCTGTCCGTGTGGGAGGAGGCGGACCTGCAGGCAGGGGCCTGAGCGCTCAGTGTGGGAGGAGGCGGACCTGCAGGCAGGGGCCTGAGCGCTCAGTGTGGGAGGAGGCGGACCTGCAGGCAGGGGCCTGTGTGGTGGGGCTGCCCTCGGACCGGGGTGGCTCTCCCTCACGGCCCTCCTCCCTCCCCTGTTCCAGGCCTTTCTGGAGCGGTACCTGGGCGCGGGCCCCACGCTGCAGTACGACAAGGAGCGCTGGCTGTCCACGCAGTGGAGGCTGGTCAGCGACGAGGCCGTGACGAACGGGCTGCGGGACGGGCTCGTCTTCGTCCTCAAGTGCTTGGACTTCGGCCTGGTGGTCACCGTGAAGAAGATCCCCTTCCTCGTGCTCTCGGAGGAGTTCGTGGACCCCAAGTCGCACAAGTTCGTCCTCCGCTTGCAGTCGGAGACGTCGGTGTAGGCGCCCCGCAGGCGTGGCTTCGTTCGGAGAAGAGGGTGCGGAGGGCGGCGTGTGCGCGGGGGCCGCCCTGTGTGTGTGGCGCTCTGGCCGGCGCTGGACCCGCAGCCTGACCTGCACTTTATTTGGAAGGAAGACGAGGTGTCGCCCTGGAGACCCGTGCGGGGGACACCTGGCTGGCGGATGATGGGGCTTCTCAGAGGCCGGCGGCTCCGGGCGATCCTGTGGCAGCTGTAACCAAAGTGGAGCAGGCGGCTCCCGGAGCCTCACCTTACAGCTTCGTCCCGCCTTCTCCGTCCACACCTCCCACAGCTCCCAGGGGAGAAGCCAGCGTGTGCGTGTGCGTGTGCGTGTGCGTGTGCGTGTGCGTGTGCGTGTGTGTGTGTGAGAGAGAGAGAGAGAGAGAGGGAGGGAGGGAGAGAGAGAGAGAAAGAGAGAGAGAGGGAGAGAGAGAGAGTGGAGGTCCAGCTCCACTCCCCCGGAGCCAGGGGCTGCTCCTTGTTGCCTTAGGTCCCGCAGAGAGATCACAGCAGAAAACGTGCACTAATGCTTTGATTGGATCTTTCTTTTCCCAAAGAGAAAACCTGGCCGCTCTGTTTCTGATCCCGTTTCCCTGCCCGCCAGAGCAGGTAGCCTTTGCTTACTCTGTGAGGGGCACCTGTCTTCACCCATCCCCCTTCCCCCTCCCCCTCGGCAGGTATACACACACACACACACACACACACACACACACACACACACATACCACCCCTGCCTGGCTGACAGGTCCCGCTCGGGAAGCCCAACGGTCAGAGCTGCCAGGGACCTGGCCCTGCCCATGTGCCTCAGGGGCTCCCATGGGCTGTTTGCATAATGAAGTGTGGATTGCCCCCCAGGTAGGCCTCAGGGAGGGCAAGCCAGCTGGCATGGCCCTTCGGGCTGCAGCGGGAACCCCTCACCTGCTGCCCTCCTCCCCTGCTCTCCACCCACCGGGGAGGACGGATGCTGGGTCGGCCTGGCGGCTTCAGCTGGAGCCTCTGACGTCCCGGGGAGTGCCTGTCGGGGGAGACCAGGCTATGCCACCGCGGGGACAGCTGCTGCTGCCACCCAGCCCCTGATTTCTGACCACCATCACTGTGCACCCCGCTCCTGCCTCCGCCGCTCACTCCCAGGAAGGGCTCCGCGGCCCCTGGTGTTGACGTGGCTTGTAGAGTTTGGTCAAGAGAGAAGGAATGGTGCCCTGGCCAGCGTGGCTCAGTTGGTACAGCATCCACCCACTCACCAAGAGGTCTCTGGTTTCATTCCTGATCGGGGCACCAAAAAAGAGAGAGAGGAAAGAGAGAGAGGAGAGAAAGGGCCACAGAGTGTAGGGAAAGGGGAGCGGGGGCCAGTCTTAGGGTCCGTGATCAGCTTCAATGCAGCTGGTTCCAGGGACTTTCCGAGGCCTGGGCCGGGGCTGGGGGGAGGCCTCTGCAGGGGGTTGGGGGGAGCCGCACCCGGTTCTGGTTGCCTCCCTCTTCCTGTATCCACAGCACACCTTTACCAAGTGCTCCCTCTAGCTTTGCCTGGGTACTAGGGTCCCATCCCCTCACTTCCGTGTGTTCCCACACGCCTCCCCCCTCCTCGGTTTACGCATCCACAGGTGGCACAGGATTCGCGTGTCGTTCTTTACATCAGAATCGGCTTTGGATGTTTGTACCTGAAAAAGGAAACTGTTCTTGCACGAACAGCCTTCAGGCCCAAAGGAAGGCGTGTTGGGAAGCAGGAAGGGAAGCCGGCTGGCCTGGCCTGGGCCCAGGTGCGCTGTCGCCACACGGTTCTGCTGATGGAACACACACACACACCCATAACCATGGTGCTTCCGTGCCTCTTCGTGTCTGCCTGTAGGTCCCTCCAAGCTGGACATTCCTTAGGACGATGTCTTTCTCAGGAATATGTTTCGGGAGATGGTGAATGTCTATGACTTTGGCCGCGTGAAGGTGATCACGTCCCAGGCTCTGTGCGTCGGGAGCACAGCGGCGGGCACGCCCCGGTGTCCTGCACGCGGTGCTCAGCGACCCTGCCCGCCAGCACCCCGGGGCCCGGGCTCCCAGCCCCATCTGCGGGAGCCAGCCCGGGAGGGGTCACGTCGGATTGGCTGTTTCGGCGCCTGCATCCCCAGCAGGCGAAGAAAGGTTAATATATTTCCTCTCTCCCTGTGTCTCTGTCCCTCAGCCTTGTCAGACCTTCTGAAATTACTGTTTCTGTTTTAAGGTGAATACTGATTTTTTTTTTTACACTGACTTTGTACGAATCCTTTTTTGAAAGAATACCAAAATAAAATGCAGGGTCTCTGGACACGGGCTTTGCACATTCAAACCCTTCACAGCGGGGACAGCGCCCGTGGCGTTAGCTCGCTGGAGGTTTCAGTGGGTCTTTGTGTCAGTTCCCGGAGCCAGTGGCTGTTCTTCTTAAAACGGGGGTGTCCTGTGCCTATCGATACAGCCACCTCACAGGAGACAGATTTCATGTGCCTTAACTGTTTATAGATTTTTTCTATAGCTTTCAACCGAAGTTACTAAAATGTGGACGTTAAATGCTGAAGAGCAGGAGGTAATGAGCGCGTGATCTCGGGCTCGCCGTCTCCCTGGCGGTGTTTCCACCACTAGACGACTTTTGTCCTTCAGAGTGTCCTTTCGGAGGTAATGGCCATTGTGAATCGCCCGTGACCTGAACGTTGAAGTCTGCGTGCTCGGAGGCGGACGGGATGTTAAGGTGCGGCCATTCATCCATCCTTTGCGTTAGCGGTTAAGTGGAAACACGGAATGCTTCCTCTCAGGTTCATTAAGCAAGCGCTAGGGAAAGTGCTTGGTCAGCTTTCTGCCCGATGATTACCATCTCCCTTTCTCCCACTGTCCGCTTCAGATCTGCGGACAGGACAGGTTCCATACAGCAGGTGGGAAGAGGCAGATAGCCCCTATAGGTGTGCGCAAACATGTGTTGTGTGTATATGTGCGTGCATGCGGGTGTGTGTTGCGTATATGTGTGTGCATGTCTGTGTTGTGTGGGTCTCTTGTGTGTATGTGTGCATGTCTGTGTGTGTTGTATGTGTGTGCATGCCTGTGTGTTGTGAGCATGTATGTGCCTGTGTGTGCATGCCTGTGTATTGTGAGTATGTGTGTGCCTGTTTGTGTGTGTGTTGTGTGTGTGCATGCCTCTGTGTGTTGTGTGTATGTGTGTGTCATGTGTGGCTTGTTGCCTGAGCATGAGCCGCCTCTTCCATCGGGAGGAGAGGACATGGCTGTGCTGCCGAGTGTAGGAGAGGGATGAGGTGCTCGTCCAGGACTCTGTCTTGCATCTGAGCTTCCCCTTTGAGTGCCCGTGTTTAGATGTGGAGATAGCCCAGCAGGGAGCCATGTGCCTGTCGTGTGGGCAGCTTGCTCCCCCTCCCCCTCCCATGCCTGCCCTGGGGGAGAGTGTCCTAGCTGCTCAGGGAGACCAGCGAATCAGCCTTCAGTCGACTTTTGCCCTGCTGTGTCAGGCTCCCTCAGCAGCAACGCGTGTCCTGTGAGGCAGGGTGTTTCCATGCACATGAGCCTTTCTCAGCATGTGTGTTAGCAGGTAGATGGCATGTTTGCATGTTAGGCATCTGTGTTGTCTGTTGCAGATGGGTGTGCTTTTGCTCCTTCGCTTTGGGTTTGCCCAGAGACGTGGCCCCACCGGAAGCAGATGCCATTGGATTTTCAATGAACAGAACCCCCAGAAAAATCAGTCTTACGAGGGTCACCCCTGGGGTAACCCCTGCAGCCACCTCAGGCTTTGGCTGCAGGGAGGTGTGCAGCCTGGCCTGGCCTCCTGAGCTAAGGCAGCCTCTTCCCCATTCTGTGTCCACATCCCGTCGCCGGCTGCGGGGAGAGGGTCGGCCCGCAGGCCTAGCCAGGAGCTGTGCATCCCTGTTTTCCCATTCCTGTGGCTTTAAGTCTGGGCTCCATTGTGCCTACACCATCCTCTTCTCTCCTGCTGTTTGTGTTCAGTAAGGACAGGAGCGGGGACAGTGCTCTCATCCTCGGCATTGTGCCCGTCATGACCGGGGACAGGTTTCAAAGGGCAGATGGGAAATCTAAAACTACCGAGTACAACTCAACTTCAGGGCTGGGAGTCCTTTCCCGGGCCTGGTCCCACCTCTCCTTAGATAACCCTGTTTGTTCTGTTTCACCTGTGAAATAAATTGCTATCAGGAGTGTCCCCAACACAACAGATTCCTAACGCCCGAAGGGTCACTTCCCATGGGCGCTGAGTCCGCCGTGTGTACATCTCGGCTGGAGAACATGGGTGTTTTCTTCCCGTCTCAGTGGGATGAAAACACGCTTATCTCAAGCCTCGGGACAAATGTGACAAACCCCCTGGGCTTTTCACCTGAATGTCTTTGGTATTTTTTGTGGCACGGAAGTCCTATTGGGATCAAAGAAAATCCAAGCTTTGTGAATAATTCCTGGTCTTTATAATGGACTCACTGTAGGCGTTCATTAACTAGCAATCGCCTCTGGGCCCCTAAATTATGACCAAATTGGATTTCCGAGCCATCACTTAAGAGTACAAATGTGTGGCATGTCCAGCCGGGTGGGTGCGGCTCACTGCAGGGTGCACCTAGTCAGCCTGGCGGATGACCATTTCTCAACATGAATGCCAGGCCAGAGTGGCCGGGGCCAGGTCTGTTTTTTTCCTAACAGGGTGACCTTGCTGTTCTGATGATCTGACATTCCCCATACTGTTTAAATTAGGGGTGTTGAACTCAATCAGAGAAGGGGCCAAAATCTAAAATCCAGCCTAAATCACGGGCCGAATGGTTTACTGAACAGTCATAAACTGTCATTGTGATGGAAACGCAGCGGAGTGCAGTGATGACAGCGCGGTGCGGGCCACATTGCAAGGCCTGGCGGGACGGATTTGGCCCGCGGGCCTTGTGTTTGACACATGTGGTTTAAATGGATCATCGCCTCCGAAATGAACGGAGAAAGGGGTCTCTTGGCGTCATCAGTGTAAAGGATTGTGGGCCATGCAATGCACTTGAGTCTGTCTTCGGACACTTTCTGAGAAAAAGAAATGGGATCCTTTGATTCCTTTATTTTAGGAACTTCATTTAAATCCTTGGCGATCACGTTTGTGTTGAAAGAACTGTGCATTTCTAGGTTCAGAATCCAGCATCAACCCAAAAAGCTGAGTGACAGAACTGCCTCGCTCTGTCTGACGGAGCCTGAACCGCTTGTGCTAGGATGTGGCCGGGGTCTTTCATGTTCTCCCAGCTTTGCTGATGCTGCACTCTGTAGCCAGGAGGGCCCGTTTTGCTGACCAGCCTGAATTCCTGAGCATCGTGTGTGTGTGTGTGTGTGTGTGTGTGTGTGTGTGTGTGTGTGTGTCTATGTGTGTGTGTTTGGCAAGGTCTGGTGTGACTCCCTGCACTCACAGGGCGGTGAGCTCTCTGAGGCATTCCGAACATGTGAAGGAATGAATGGACGGCCAGCAGCCGTCTTGGGAGCACTCGTTCCTGCATTCACAGGTGACACTGTGCGACCTCCTCTCCTTGTGGCATCATAACGGTGCCCGTATCTCTGAGGGACAGGGTGTACCTGGCATCCTGGTCATTTTCAATCCCCTGTTGAATTTGTTTCCCTTCCTCATCTAAAGAGTTTTAGGGGACATTTTCACTGTTACATGCTTTCAATACCCTATTAGAGATAACCTATCAAGTTTCTGTGAACACTTAAGTGAATTAGGATAGATTGAATGGGAACGTAGGATCGCCATTGCATTAAAAACAAGCCAACAAAAACCTGGTTGCAATCATTTTATGGCCAAGAGAATATTCTGCATGAACAGACTACTGGAACTTAAAATCTTAGGCTCTAAAACCTGGAGATGGAACAGGCCTTTCTGAGTAAATCCATAAATGGAAAAAAGATCTCTGAGTCAAGAGTGAGAAAAGTGTCATATGCTGGATTTGGGGCGGTGGTGGTGGTGAGTATTGGGTTGTTTTTGTAGAGTGCCTTGGTATTTCAGTTTAAATTGGTGGTTTATTTTAGGTAGGCCTATTAAAGGGAACTTGGTTATTTGACAAATGGATTTTCACTCAGCTATCTCTTTACCTGTGCGGAGCGCTGGCAGCTCACACATTCTTATCTGTGGCAAGGACAGGAGTGAGAGAAAGCAATTGGTGTGAACATATTCATTGTGTAGATCATTGATAAGCTGTTGCTCTGGGCCGTCAGCCAAGATGTGCACAATTTATGTCCTCATGAACAAACTCTACTGGAGAAACGATGAAAGCTGTATGCAGACATAAACCAAAGATTCCTTTCTTTCCTGCCCATTGCCCGTGGTGCAGCCACAGAATGTTGCAGAGTTTTGAGAGTCTCCAGTGAGAACTGCCAGGTGATGGGTATGGAGCGAGGGGTATCAGGATGGCACCAGGCAAAGCCAGTGCCAGAGGCAAGGCCGTCAGCAGGGGCCTGGGAACAGCATTATCTCTGCTTGGAGGGAAACTCAGTGATTCCCTGTTGGTGTCAAAGTGTCATTCAGGCATCTTCTAATTACACGGACTGATGTTGACATTGGACAAGCCAAACTGTATTTGACTTTGGGTATGTTGTCTGAATTTACATCTGATCTTATTACTGTGGTTCTGAGAATTCATATTTCTGACAAAAGGACGATGCATTTGTGGCAATGACACAAGGTGCTTCGAACATTTTTCCTGTGCCAGCTTCTTGCTCATGAAAATGATTGTGCATTCCTGATAACACAGTGAACTATTTTTTTCCTAATAGGGTGATCTTGCCGTTCTGATGATCTGACGTTCCCCATACTGTTTAAATGGGTCATCGCTCCTAAAAGAACGGAGAAGGGGTCTCTTGGCGTCATCAGTGAAAAGGATTGTGGGCCATGCACTTGAGTCCGTCTTCAGACACTTTCTGAGAAAAAGAAATGAGATCCTTTGATTCCTTAATTATAGGAACTTCATTTAAATCCTTGATTTAAGTGTAAAAATGGGATTATATTGGCACTCTTTTATTTATTTATTTATTTATTTATTTATTTATTTATTTATGTTTATTTTAAATAACTTTTATTGATTTTTTACAGAGAGGAAGGGAGAGAGATAGAGAGTTAGAAACATTGATGAGAGCAAAACATCGACCAGCTGCCTCCTACACACCCCCTACTGGGGATGTGCCCACAACCAAGGTGCATGCCCTTGACTGGAATTGAACCTGGGACCCTTCAGTTCGCAGGCTGATGCTCTATCCACTGAACCAAACTGGTTTCGGCTTATTGGCACTCTTTTAAAGTGTCTGTGTGACCCTAGGAAAATTACATGAGCCCCCCATGTCCCCCTCGGATTCATCGGCTGTAAAAGGGGGCTAATAACCAGACCGGTCTCCTGAGAGCCTTGTGGAGATTAAGTGAGATAATTCATGTTAAAGCAAAAGCATCGCGCTCCAGGCCAAACATCCCATGCACATCAGCTTAGAACATTTCAGACCCGTGACTAAGCAGCTGCTTCCAGACAGTGCCCGGGTGACCCCCAGAGCCTCTGACACAGGAGCTCAGGGCAGGATTTAAACCCCAGGCACATTGCTCACGGTCTCCCACTGCGAACAAGGGGATCTCCCCGGGCTGGGGAACAGACCACTTTTATGACGGACCGCATTCCTCGGCCTGCCGTTTGAAAGATTAGCTTCAAAGAGGGCTTTGAAAACTTACCTCCCCAGGAGGTTACCTGAGGTATGCCTGGGCCTGGCTGGTTAGCAGCGTAGCCCAGCATGGGATGTACCTGCCTTGGGTTGTGAGGGGGAGAAATAAGAGTACGGAAGCTCTGCACACATTGTTTTACCCAGCAGTCCTGAGGATTACACATTGTTACCCAGCAGACCTAGGGTGTTACAGGTATTCTGATGGATCAGTTACTCACTCATCAGTTCAATAACGGACTGTCTACTTGGTGCTGGGGATGCAAAGATAAATTTCTTGCCCACAATTTACGGAAAGGACAAACATGGAAATATGTGTTGCAATTTAAATAAGTGCGCTGAGCATGGCTGGCATGACTTCAGTGGTTGAACATCTGAGCCAGGAGGTCACAGTTCGATTCCTGGGTTGTGGGCTCGATCCTCAGCAGGGGGCATGCAGGAGGCAGCCTGTCAGTGATTCTCTCTCATCATTGATGTTTCTATTGCTTGCTCCCTTCCTCTCTTAAATAAAAAATACATATTAATAAGTAAGTGCCTCAAATTGGGGTACACACAAATGCCACGGATGTAGAAGGGAAGAGGCCAGGTCACGTAGGCTAGTGGTTGGCAAATGAGCCGCGGTTTTCCACTCTGTTGACTAATGAGTTTGCCCACCACTGGACTAGACTAAATGTTACTGTGTAGTTGGAAACTGTGAGGATTAGGCAATTGTGGCATATTGTGTGCAAAGAAGTAAAAAGTAGTATATGACAGTGGTCGGCAAACTCAATAGAACTGCATGTGGCTCGAGAGCCATGGTTTGCTGAGCACTGACCTAGGCAATTGGATAGATGATGACATCACTCATTCAGACTGGGGCTCCACTAAGAGGAGGAGGGGGAACCCTAGCGAAGAACATTGTTTGAAGCATTTGTGCAGCATTCAAACCAAGATGTCCAAGAGCAGTTGAATAAATGGGTTTAAGTCAAGGTTAACAACACAGACATGGAAGTCATTAGCACATAAGTAGTGGCTGATGGACATAGATGCTCCTACCCTAGAATCATGTCAGAAAGAGCTGAGATGCTGGGAAACACTAACATTTAAAGGGCAGGCAGAGGAAGGAAAACTGAAGAAGAAGAAAGAGAGAGTGCGGGGGGGGGGGGGGGGGGAAGGGAGAGAATGGGTGCAAGATCAGAAGTCAGAGAGGATTTCCAAGACAGTCTTAATATTGGGAGCTTTTGGACCTGCTCCCCCAGCATTGGCCATCAGTTTGGCTCAAATGAACTCATAAAAATTCTCCAAAAAAACCCCAAACAAAATAGTTTTGATATTTTCAAAATATGACTTTAATGACAGTTAGCTAGTATTCCTTAAAAGGATTGCCCTATTTTGGAAGAGTTTGCAGTGTCTTACACATGTTAAAAGATTGAGAAAAATAATTTAGAACATTCTTATTCACACGGAACACTAAAACTACCGAGCACGATGTAACTTTTAGAGAGTTCTGAAGGCACTTGGACATGTCTATTTTAGTGCCGGAGCATCACTGTGAACGCTGTTTCCTGTCCTGCGGGGGTGCTGGTGAAAGGAGAGTTACATGGCCTCTGGACAAACCAACCCTTTCTCCAAAGGGGAAGGGGGAGGTGTCCCAGACCCAAGCTCACCTGCCCCATCAGAAAAGAGAAAAAACTTTCATTCTTTCAGTGTCCCCCCCCCCCCCCCCCCATATGAGCTTGTCCCTCGGGGAAGGTCAGGGCACGTTAACCTCCAACCCAGTGCCCCACATACTGGAAGTAACCTCCATCCACATGCACTTGTACAAGGCTTCTCGCTAGCCATCCGAAGGCTTGGATCTATGCTCATAACGGTCTGACTTCACTTAAAGAATAAGCTTCATAGAGCCACGAGAAGCTGACTCATTGGCCTGTCTCCAAGGCTGAGCCTCCCCAGCAAGGGTCTCACTGATGTGCCAGGCACGGAGCTACAGGATTGATTTCGTGTATTCCCTGGGCTCTGATGACAATACGGCCGCTGTGTGTTTGGGAGTTAGCAAGCTGTCCATTCTGGCCCTGTCAGAGCCAAAGGAGACAGTAAACTTGAGTAGCGGTGTTAGGGAGGGCTCTCCCCGGAACGCCAGAGTCCGGCGCTGCTATGGCCACGGGTGGCCGGACAGAGAGCAGGGCTTTCCCGTGACGGTCAGGACCATCCACAGGGGAACAGTTCCTCATGGTCCTTGCTGAGCGAAGTGACGGGGTTGAGAAAGGCATGTGCATGCGCTGAACTGTACAGCTCCTGATGGGAAGGGGTGGGGAGGGATGCTGGGAAAGGGAGAGGAGCATCTGGGCGTGGCTGTGGCTGCTGGCTGCCCCCTGGTGCTGTCCGTGTGGAATTGGGGAGCTGGGATTCCATTTTCATCAAAACCAGGTGGAACCGGAGCTAGTCATCATCATCATCATCATCATCATCACTGTCATCATTCTCCTCCTCATCAGAATTATCGCTGTCGCCATCATCATCATCATCGTCATCCTCCTTGTCGTCTTCCTCAGTGTTTATCTTTCCAGAAAGCACGTCCTCAATCCACTCCTCCAGCTCCCCAGCCGTGGGCAGGTCGTCGTCATCCGGAATCTCCATCCAGACGCTGTCAGCCTGCGGGCAGGGGCAGGATGGGGCCGTGAGCGAGGCCTGGGGCCCAGTCGGACCCAAGGGCCCCACTGCGGCTGGTATATAGATCCCTATCCAACAACACCTATAGTCCATTCTTAACGATTTTAATTTATTAATGAAATCTGGTGCTGCTCATGAGTTGATACTAGTAACATGTGGCTCTTGGTCTTTGATACTGTTTTAACTCTCTTCCGTGTTGGGGCCAGGTGTGCAGCAGAGTGGTGAAATGATCGTGTACTTGACAAAGTGGTCCCCCTCTCACCCCGGTATTTCCAATCCCCACCTGGCACCATACGTGGTTATTGCAATATTAGTGACTGTATTCCCTGTGCTGCACTTACCATTCCTGTGACTATTCTGTAACTACCAGCTTGTACCTCTTAGTTATATATTCTATTTTATATAGAACTAGAGGCCTGATGCACGAAATTTGTGCAAGGGGCTTGGCCCTTGCATTCTGGACAGAGGTTCTGCTGTTCAGTCTAATTAGCATATTAGCTCTTTATAATATACAATTACATGTCTGGTAGGATAGCCACAAAACTACCACTACCATTTACCTCAGGGATCGGACTAGGATGAGGGGGTTGGCAGTGCAGCGTGTTTTTGCTTTTCACCTTCTTTGCTATATTGGCTTGAAGGGTTTCAACTTGAGCAGATTGTTGGAATTATTATTAATATAAAAACTAGTTTACAAAATACATAAGTGTAGAATTCCCCTGCTGATTGAACCCTGCTGACAGGGCGAGGGGAATGGCTAATGGGCCCGCTTTGCATGCGTCGGCACCAGTTAGCTGTGGCTCTGATGGCCCTCTGTGGCCATCCCTTTCTGTCCATCATCCGTCTGCCTGGTGTGTCTGTCCCTGTGTGTTGTTTTTGGAGCTGCATCAGATGTGTGGACTGAGGCCTGCCATTCCTCAGGCTCGACCAGTCCTCCTCACCAGCCTCTGCCGCCCTCGGGCCAGTGGGGCCTGAACGGTGAGGAGAAGCCTCGCCAACCCCATGGCTTCCTCCTGTGACCCGGTCTCCTCCCTGTGACCTGGTGCCAGGGGGCGGGCCCCATCCATCTTGCAATGGCAGCTGCAAGTGTGGGGGCAGTTGTGCAAAGAGATCTTGTTTTGGGGGCATTGGAAGAAAGTACAGGGGGGTTTATTCCCAAATAGGCCGTGACCCAGGCCAGGCTGGCCCCGTAAGCAAGGGCATGCGCCCTTGGAGAGAACCAGGTCCCATAGGTTGGGACTGGCTCGGAGACGAGGCTCCAGCCACATTGAGCTTGGGCGGGGCCCAGGGTCCTGCTCCTTTTATGAGGGACTGGACTCCCTGTGTGACCTCATGGTCAAGGCTGCTCGGCAGGACATGGGGCTGGCCACGGGACCTGGGCAAGCTTCCACGGGGCGTACTCACATCTGTCACGTTCACCACCCCAATCTGCGGCTTGAATAGGTCGATCTTGAAAGTCTTTTCCCAATAGGCAATGAGCTGTGGCAACAGAAGGTACAATTAGACGGTGGGGCCGGGGCATTCCCTGCTGAAAGCACTTTTTGTGGTGCACCCACCTGCCATCCCGCCACAGTAACTAGGTCACCGCTGGGTGAAGGGCTCCCAACAGCTGTGGGCACTTAGGAAATTGAAGACTTGCCCAGCCCTCAGCCCTTTAAGTCAGCACGGGAAGAAAGGATGTCAAAAACCATGAAACGTGTAACATGGACGTGTATGCAGCTGTAGGGGGGAGCGTTGCAGAGGTGGTCCAAAGTCGATCCCTAAATTGCTTGGGGCTCTTTATAGCTTATGTGGTGGGAGAGATTTCCCTCTGCCTCTCTCAACGCCCCATTTAAAAACCCCTTACGTGTGCCACTAAGCCCATAAAGTCGGTTGGCATACAAGTAAGAAAAGTGCCTCTTCATTCAGCTAGCCTTGGGTCCCTGTGGGCTGATCTCCGACAGGGGTGGGACTAAAGAATGGGGGGCCATGGGCTACCAATAATAATGGAGGCATTCCGTGGTGGGAAAGTCTCCCAGGTGAGTACAGAGCCTGATGGGCCCCAGAAATCAGAATTGTCTGAGATTTTTATTTTGCAAAAAGCAAGGCAAACAGATAGAGCAGGTCAGAGCTGTAGACCATCCGCAAGCTTGCATAACCAGGGAGTCCAGATAAATTAGAAATACATTCTTGCTGCCAAAACCGGTTTGGCTCAGTGGTAGAGCATCGGTCTGCGGACTGAAAGGTCCCGGGTTTGATTCCGGTCAGGGGCATGTACCTTGGTTGTGGGCACATTCCCGGTGGGGGGTGTGCAAGAGGCAGCTGGTCGATGTTTCTCTCTCATCGACATTTCTAGCTCTCTATCTCTCTCCCTTCCTCTCTGTAAAAAATCAATAAAATATATAATAAAATAATATATAAATCTGCAAATATATATATATATATATATATATATATATATATATATATATATATATATATAAAAGAAAGAAATACATTCTTGCCATGGCCCAAGTTACAGCACACAGCGCCTCCCACGGCCGCGGTTTTGTTAGGATTGCCCACAACGATGGCATTGACCTCAGGTGGCACGGAAGTCTCTGCCTGGGATGCACTCGTCCTGCATGTGGGCTTGGGTTGCAATCACTAAAACCCCTTGCTTTTGTCTGTTTAGCCATAGCACGACCGGTCCCAACCTATGGTAACTCCTGGAAGAAGCTAGACTTGTCATTTATAACCTATAAAACGTTCCTGATGGCCAGCAATTAGCTCAACCTGAGGTCTATTGACTGACAGATGAAACTTTATCATCACGTTGGCCTGGGTTGGAACATCACACAGACCAGTCACTGTTCTGACCTCTCCATGGCCGTTCCTTCCCTCTGTGCCCTGGGGATGATAACAGTCCCCACTTCACAGGGTGTGGAGAGGGTTAGATGAGACGATCCATGGGAAGGACTTACCCTTCCAGGCACACAGTACAGCAGCTGCGTTCATCATCACCACCACTGGGCTTGTGTATTGTCCAAATCCTGCTTATTCTCTTTAAACCAAGCACAACCAAGGCTTGCTGCTCATTGATCGCTGACACCAGCGAGAGTTCAGACTTTAAGGTTCTGACAGGTCTAGTCCCGGGCTGGACACTAGGCCAGGACCTGGGAGAAGCCGACGGAGAATGGGTCCCTGCCCTGGAGGTGGCTCCTTCTCCCCGTGCAGCTCTGGGCTCTATGCAGAGCTCACGTCTGCTTCTCATCACTTAGTAACTCAGGTCGCCTCAGAACAACGATCCCCACTCAGAAAAATGAGAAAGGTTACAGCAGTGGGTGGTGATGGGCTGCAGGCAGCTATCACGCTGTTGGCAGAAGCATTTCAGCAGCTCAGCTGAGACTTCTGGTCTTCAGGGAGTGAGAACAAATATATCTAACCATGTCAGGGTCAGCACCAGGCCCCAAGGTCAATGTTGCCCCTGAGGCCAAGGTCTCCCCTGCTGGATGGGGCGGCCACTGGGTTTCTGCAATTGCCCCTCCTGTTTCACATCCTCCTTCACGGGAGAGGCCCTCACACCACACCCAAGCATGACACTGTGACGGCGACCCCGGGTCGGAGCCCAGTCTGAGCCACTCACCAGGGGGAAGTCGTCCGGGTCGATCCAGATGATGCTCAGGTCCGGGTTGTCGGTGTTGTCCCGCGCCACCTGTTTCAGGGTCTCCAGGAACTCATAGCCATCTGCAGCCGGACCAAGAAGGTGAGTAACCCCCGTGCCTACATGGCTCTCAGCACGGACGGCAGAGGCTGCGGTTTTTCCATGAGGGTTTCTTAAGCCAGTGGCCGCGTACCCTCAAATTATAGGATTATTCTATAAAATGAGTCAGACGAGAACTCTGCCACAAAGCAGCTTACTCAAAGGGAACAATAAAGTTTTTGAGTAAAGAAACGAAAAGTCCACAGGGAAGTGGCTGGCTTGTAACTCAAAGCCGAGCTCTGATTGGATCGCTGATCAGATCGCTAACCTGCAGGTGAAGATGGACCCGCCCCGGCCTGGTCCTCACTCAGCCCTCTGGGCGGCTCCGGAAACCAGCAACTGGCCATCCCTCGGTGTCCCCAGGACCTGTGCTCTGGGACCAGGACCTGTAGCCTGGACCCTTGGTTTCCTGTGGCCTGGAATTCCTAAAGCCTTCCAAGGAAGGGAGCTCCTGACTTAGAGCTGGTTTCATAATTTTGAGAAGTCAATGGGGTGCCCCTCCCTCCCTATTTCCGTGTGGGCTGTGCCTTCCCCTTAGTCAGTCCGAAGCATTCATTGCCCCCAGGGGAGGGATGATTCATAAGAAAAGCAGACCCTGTCTTGTGAGTTTCAAGGACACAGCTCCCCCCCCCCCCCCTCTCTCTTTGCTTTAAAAGCTTAAGTCTTGTAGGACTGCACACAACAAAACTTATACCATAAACAAGCATTTGGAAAGAATGTTTAGTAAGAGAAAGCCTCAGCAACCCCACCCCACTCCCAACTGGAAACAGAGTTTAGACTCTGGAAAGTCCCTGGGAATAGGCCTGTGTGTGTGTGTGTGTGTGCGTGTGTGTACATGTTCATACACCCGAACACAGGCCCATGTGAGCCTCGCTGTCCACATACAGAAGTGCCACAATTTCAGGGAATCTTAGAATATCGGGCACCCATGCTCTGATCTGCAATAAAACTCAGGGAAAGGGGAAGACCCAGAATCAATCTCTTGGAGAACTCACATACACACCGCTGCCACCGCCCCTCCTCCATCCCTATCCCCACCCCTCCAGCTCCACAGGAGCACCAGGGCAAGAAAGTCAGGACCTGCCCTCTTCTCTGTGGTTCTGGGGATCCTGGGCGAAGCTGAGAGTGGAGACAGATCTAGCAACTGGACAGAAGAGCTGCTGGTGACCTTGGGACAAAGCTGGAGGCCAGACAGAATGACAAATGTCATTGTAAGAGGCGATGATGACAATGACTTCGCCTGTTCGTGCCTGGGAGCCAGCAGGACACTGGCCCGCGGGCCTGGTAGGCAGGGTGGGGGAGCCTTCACTGTCAGATTCAAGTTATGCCATCCAGGGGTAAAACGTATGTTTAAGTCTAGACCCCTGGTCAGCAAACTGCCACTCTCGAGCCACACGCAGCTCTTTGGCCCTTTGAGTGTGGCTCTTCCACAAAATACTACGGCCTGGGCGAGTCTCTTTTGAAGAAGTGGCGTTAGAAGAAGTTTAAGTTTAAAAACTTTGGCTCTCAAAAGAAATTTCAATCATTGTACTGTTGATATTTGGTTCTGTGGACCAATGAGTTTGCTGACCACTGTTGGCAATAGTTCTACTCTAGACTATGAGGTTACATTTCTCGCAAGGCTGACTCTGGCCTGAAATGTGGATCTTCAGTACAGCCACTCACCAGCTGCTTAGGAATTCAGTATGGCAACCGCCTTTCTTTGTCAAGGTTTCTTCTTGGTGGGGCCCAGCCAGTCGGGCCCCTCTCTGGCCTCTGTTTAACCAGCCTCTCTCTTCTCCGGGCACCCCGGCCTTTGTTTGGCTACTGGGGCCTCTGGGTGAAGGTTTTTCTCAGCACTTCCTCATTTTCTCATACATTCCAGGCAGCAGGCACTCTCTCCTTAGCAGCTCTGCCTTGCGTGGGTGTAGTCACTTTCAATGTTGTTAGTTCATAAAATTGAGACGGCCCCTGGAAAGCAGGCCTCCTGTCAGCAGAGAGGAGGGTTTCTACGGACCGCAGGCCTCCCCCACCCCCCATACCCCTAGCAGAGAGGAGGGCAGCCTGGGTGAGACCACAGGGCTATCCTTGTGCTGGAGAGTTCATTATCCACCACTGGGGGGTTAGGGTGGAGGTGGGATGGGGGTTCTTCCTCCTGCAGCCGAGAGAGTCAAGCTCCCAGAGGGCCCCTGGCTGCCGCCATCTGGGGACCACCGATCCTTCCCTTCCGGGCACGTTGCTGTGTCACAGGCCGGGGGACTTGGTGCCCCCTGGGTTCCCTGTGGATTCATGGAGCAGATTACACAGGCCACAAGGGGGAATTCCTCCCAACACTTCCAGTGCCTGCTTTCAGCAGCAGAGAAAGGAAGGTGATACAGAAAGCCACGTTGCCAGTCGTCTGGGAGAGGAGAACCAATTTTAAGGGAGACCTTGACAAATCAGAAATGCACAGAGAGGATGACATTCCACGACACAGACCCAAGTCCAAGTTCACCCGGGATGCAAAAGACCAACTCCCGTAAGAGGGAGGGAGAGGCTCTGTAGGCACATGTGTTGTGGCGGATAAGGTCATGAGCAGAACTGAGGCTGAACACACAGACGGCACTGTTGTTTTCCGATGGGAAAAACCCACGATGGTGTGATTGCTTTTTTTCTTTTTAATGCTACATACAAAAACCTTTTCTATTTTGCATTCTGGAGCAGATTTGGAGATTTCAATAAAGATCAAAGGGATAAAAATTGGTTTCTGCAAGCCCAGCCAGCATGGCCCAGTGGTTGAGTGTTGACCATGTCCAGGTTGCTGGCTCAATCTCCAGAGTGAGGCATGCAGGAGGCAGCCAATCGATGATTCTCTCTTCTCCTTTACTCTCTGAAATCAATAAAAGTATAATTTTTCAAACATTGATCTCTGCAAGAAAAAATCAAGTGGGTTGGAATTGTTACATAAACAGGAGAAGTCAAAATTGGGGCTTACTGCCTATGTTTAAGAATGCCAAAGGTTTGGGGGTTTACAGAGGTTCAAGGAAAGCTCAAAACGAACAAACAAACAAAAAAACCATGCACAGAGTTTATTAATAAATGAAGTTGATGTTAGAGGCGGAGAATACGCTTTTGCCACTTTTGTTTGTTCATCCTCACCTGAGGGAACCTTTTCCATTGATTTTTAGAAAGAGTGGGAGGGAGGGGGGAGACAGAGACACATCCTTTGGTTGCCTCCCACACGCACCCCGCACAGACTGGGGATCGAGCCTGCAACCAAGGTCCGTGCCCTTGGCCGGAATCTATTCATTGGGCCAAACCGGCCAGGACTGGTCATTATTTTTAAATGCTCTGAGTCCTTCCACCTGAATGCAAGGAACCTGGCCGCCCACCTGTTCATTCAATGTTTACATTCAGGGCACAGAGATGCCTTAGAGGCGGCTAGATCCCTACAGCGCCTGCGCACAGGAAGTTACGTCACGACGCAGGGCATGTGGGCGGTCCCTTCCGGCCCCTGCTCCTGACTCGATGACTGAGGCTCCTGGAGCAGGGGGTTGGCAGTTGCGCCTGGGCGAGCCCCGCTCAGGTGGGTTGGGGCGGGCTAATGCCACTTCCCGAGCGCTTTCTGGTACTTTTGCATTTAATGTTTGCGCGGAGTCTGATGGAGGGAAGGAGGATCTTATTATCTCCATCTTGAGGAGGATGGAGTCCAGACCACAGGGAGGGTGCGTGACCTGCTCAGTGTCACGGGCCAGCACGTGGCGGAGCGGGTGTTGGGTCTACACAGCTGCAGCCATTTCGGCAGCCCGCGTTCCCGCCTGGGGGGTGGGGGTCTGATGCTCCTGCCTCGGCTGGTGCAGGAGGTGCCCGGGGGTGAGAGCGGCAGAGTGAGGTCAAAGGGCTGGGCCCGAGGTCAAAGGGCTCGGTCCCAGGAGACAGTCAGGGGTGCGCGTGGGGCCGTGGGGGCGTCGCTTCCGCCGAGGCCATCGGACCTATGGCCGAGCCCCGGCCTCCCCCAACCCCAGCCACGCCCCTGCCGGAGCCCAGAGCCCCGGAGACGGAGCTAAATAAAGAAGAGGGCCCGGCGCTGTGAGAACCAGGCCGGCTTCCCTGCCTCACGGCGCGGACCCTGCGCTCCCATGACCCGGCTGCGGGCCCCTGCCCAGCCAGGTTTCCCACGGCGGGCGGGCGCCAGGCCGCTGGGAGCCCGGCCCCTGTGGGAAGGAACCCGGTGACCACACTCTCCTCCTCCCCAGGTGGCCGGGGCTGTGGGAAATAGCCGACCCCGGGCCCCGGGGACCGGTCCAAGGCTGGTCACAGCCAGGTCAGCAGCCGGGGCTCCGTCCATGAGAGAGACGTGTGTGTGTGTGTGTGTGTGCGCGCCCCAGGGAGCCATCCAGAAGTCCAGGCCTGTGTCCGTTGCGCCTGTCTCATCCTCGTGAGGGTGCCATGGACCTTCTCTGCATCTTTCTGCTGTCGCTGGTGGATGCAAGGAGGCTGACATCAGGGTGTCACTCCGGGGTGGTGAGTCTGTAGCAGGGCCTTGCAGTCCAGGGCGCAGCTGGGAAGCCAGACAGCCCTCAGCTGAACGTGGGCTCCGCAGTCTCCCTGCCATCAGCCTCTCCGGCCTCAGGTTCCTCTGGCGTAAAATGGGGAAAAAACTAGCACCTCCTGCGCCCAGGTTGTCCTGTCACATACGCACACAGAAGTGACCACCATCCTCGGAGTCTTCATCATCGTGCAGAGGTCACGGAGTAGCTTCAGGGACCAAGTGGGATCCTCGGCCCCTTCCTCCAGACCATCAGCTCTCAGGAGCTGGGGGTTGTTTAGGTCCCCCCAGGTGTGACCTTTCCATGGAGAGTGGTTAGGGCTCTGGTCGGAGCGATAGGCCACGTGCCCCTTTTTAGCAAGAGCTAAGGTAGAGGAGGACCCGCTGTCCGGGTGGGAATACAGTTCCTAGTCCACAGCCTGGCCTCTCCCCCCGGGGTTATGCCTCAGTGACCTGCGGGCAATGACGATCTAGCCAGAAGCAGAGACTTTCACAGAAAAGCCTTTCCCTTTCTCAGCCCTGAGTGGGTAGGGCCTCCCTCCTTGAAAAAAGATGCTCTGAGCTCCTCCACCCCCACCCAGCGCATTTCTCCAGCTTCCCAGGAACAAGCCCTGGCTTGGGAAGAGCCGGCTTCGGGCCCAGGGATATTTGTGCAGGGAGGAGGTGGAGAGTTTCAGGAGCTTGATTCATCGGCAGCAATCTCGGTCAAACAGGTTCCTGCAGCTTGTCCGAGGCTCTTTGTTCCATTGTTAGAGAGCCAGACGGGCCTCCCCACAGCATGGAAGGGGGTGGGGTGGGCGGAGGGCCCTGGAGTCTGGCCAGCAGGCTGCTGCCCACAGAGGGCATCTCTGTCCACAGCACCAGGGATCCGATTCTGTTTCGTTGAAGCTTGTCCACCTCGGGCATTGGCCTCCTTGGCTGATGTCTCCTCCGGGGGCGGAGGGGTGGCCAGAAGATGTGGAAAGAAGCTTGAACCACACTGGCTTTTTTTCTTTTTCTTTCTTTTTTTTTTTTTTACAAAGGCTAGATATTTTTGAAGAGTTTTTCCAACTCTGCAAGTCAGTGATGGGAAAACTGGGACATGGTGGACATTCAAACATTCTAATAAAGCTGGGGGGGCAGGGAGAGGACGCTATTGGCTAATTTGGAGCATAGATTCGGTTGTGATGCAATGGAATATTATTTAGCCAGGAAAAGGAACAAAGTATGGATACACACCACATAAGGAGGAACCTTGAAATGTTACAATAAGTGAAAGATGCCAGAATCCCCCCTTCCTCCCCCCCACCTTGCAACGGGCCACAGGCCACATATTACATGATTCCACACCTCTCAAAATACACTTCAGAATCTGCACGTACACTCTCCCTCCCGGGACCCTCTGTCTCACAGACATTGCCTGGGACTAGCCTTTTACCACCTGCTCATCAGTTTTCCTGCACTTCACTCTCACTGACACGGCAAAGAGCGAAGACAGGGCAAAGCTGTCCAAGGTCCAAAATAAAGTTACTCATTCACTTATAGGTCCTTTTACACTTTGGAAATCAGCTGCTTCTTTGGCCCAGTTCTCATTATTTGTAGCATAGATTTGGCCCAGTTCAGATAATCTATGCTCCAAAATATTTTCCGTTAAGTTTTCTAAGCACAGGCCATATTTGACAGGCCAGAGGGTATATATATATTGTTATTTATATAGGCTAGGTACATCAGCTTTTAATGTGAACAGAAGTTTACACAGACGCACACACGCACACGTGCACACATGTGCGCATGCACATACAGGCCTGTAGAATGAGGCTGTGTTTATGTTTGTCTGAGCTCAGCCCCAGTTTGGGCAGCTAAGCAGAATGAGGCTCTGATCTCACACTTCTGAGCTGTGTGCACGATTGAAATGGGTTTGTACTAGCAGGCAACCAGCAGGGGGTGCCCCTTGTCTTTCGGCTGCATTGTAGGCAGGAAGTGAGGGAAGAGGAAAGGTGAGGGCTGACCAAGGTGAGAAGCCAGATCTTGCTTACGGGGTCAGGGAGCGGACAGAAGAGGGGGAGGGGTCCTACCTGGGTCACTCCTCTCTGCAAAGGCCACTATGTGGATCCCGTTCAAGTCATCTTCCTGTGGGAGGAAGGAATCAAAGGTTACACTCCCAGGTGAGAGACGCGGGGAGTCAGGGACAGTCGGGCGGGAATTGAAATGGAGGCCGGAGAGGGAGCTGAGAGGAGTGGACGCAGAGGCACAGGGGACAGAGTCTCAGGGGGACAGAGCAGCATGCATCTTAAGACAGGGAATACTGATGAGCAACTGGGAGGAAGGTGTGACATTTAATAGACGGGATTTTGAGACAGGAAAGCACCAACTACACAGAAGACTAGCACCGAATGGGCCTCACTCCCGTGGTCTGGTGGGTCCAGGAGAGCAGCAGGAAGAGGCAGGAGGAGGAAGAATGTGAGTCTGGCTCATCAGCCCTCTGAATGGAGCTCAGTGAATGCCAGTCTGAGTTTCAAGAAGTCACCACCAGCAAATAAAGCAGTAATAGACCCTATATGGAAGCTTCTGGATGCTGCTGGTGGGTCCTGCAGCTGTCCCCAAATGGGCAGCAGTCAGGAATCTTGAGGCAAATTAGGATGTGGGTCTGTTCTGTTCACACGTGTGTCCTGCTGCTCTGAGACCTTGCTTACTGAAGAACCTGCGTGGTCAGTAGGGGGCGCTTTGCTGCCTGCCACTCCAAGGGTGTTTCCTTGGGCTCCTTTTGGCTCTGGAACCAGAGCTTGCTGGAGCCGTCCAGGCATCTAACTCGGTCTAAGTGTAGGAGGTCACAGGAGGGGCTGGAGATGGGGCTGGGCAAGGGTGTGATGATGAAAAGTGAGAATATTTCAAATCTGGAGGACAAGCAGGTGGCATTCCATGTTTCTATGTCCTGAACAGAAAGGACCACAGGCGTCATGTCTTCTTTGCATCGATCATTCCTGCAGAAGAACCAGCAAGAGCTTGGGGGCGCCTCCTGTATAGGAAATGTGATCCCCATGAGGCTTGGAGGGGAAGATGCCCGAGCAAGAGGCTCGGGGACAGATCTGAGTGGACACTGACTATCACTGTCCCCGAGAGAGGGCGTCGTGGGGCACCCGAGTGTCATATCAGAACCGTCCTCAGGAAACAATACTCCAGGCTTCACAGCCCTCCCCATCCCTGTTTCCATTTCAATGGATTGTAATGCTGGTGCAATCCTATCTAAATGCTAATTTTTTTTCCTTTGAGTTGGAAATGGACAAAACCTCCAAAAATTCTGAGCAAGATTAAATGGAAAATATTATTAGAAACAAGAGAATCAGGCACTGCCTTGGTCAGGTTCTCCGGGGAATTGAATTGGATAGGTCTGTGTGTGTGTGTGTGTGTGTGTGCGTGCGTACAGGTTTATTACACAAATCTGACAGCAGCCGGAAGGGGAGTCTGAGGTTTCATGTTTGCTATTATCACCAGGCAGGATGCCCTGATCGGTTCTCAGTAGGCTGCCCTGTCCTTGTGTCTGCCATCCGTGGGGAGGCGGCTGTGTTAACTCCGAGAAGCGGGCTCCATTTCTGCCTGCCCTTCTGGAACACGTTTGGAAATTGGATTCAGAATTAAGAATCCATATCTGTTTGCGAAGAGATTGCTCATGACATGGCCGCCACCTCCCAGGCCTCAGGTGGTCCCAGATGGAGACTCTAACCCAGGGAAAGAGCCTCTCTCTTTGCAAAGAAGCAGGCGTGTGCTCTGTGGCAGGCATTTTCAGTAATAAGCTCCCAAGCCAGAAGGTCGGTGTTCCTCAGTGCGTGTCCCACATGCACAGGCGAGGAAGAGCTGCAGGGCTGGCCAGCCAGGGGCTTTCTCTGCACCCCACAACCTTGGCCACCCAGATCACTCCTTTGGTCTTCAGATCACAATGTCTTGGAAATGATCTTTTTACTTGAATGGGAAGTTCTCTGAGGGAAGGGATTACATCTTGAAATATTAAGGATGATTAAAATGATGACATGAATATCTGCCATTTGTGTCAGTGCTTTATAAATGCATTATTTCTAAATCTTAGATGCAAGTCTTATTCCTGTTTAATGCTTAAGGAATTGAACTGACTTCCCTAAAGCCACAGAGCCTGTACAGGATGTACCTGGGGTTCAGGCCAGCTCTGCCTGGTTCTGAAGCCCATGCTCTTTCTCCCTTGCTGACGTAGGCCAGGGAAAGCCACATGGCATACAAATTATTTGGAGTTGAAAGCTTGTGAATTCCTGAAATCCCTTATTTGCCTAAATGCAGAGTCTCTTAAAAGGACTCAATTGTCATAAATCCTTTCCCGAGTACAACTCTGATCTTCTCAAACAGATAATTCTATCTCCCATTTGTTCTCCCAAGTATTCATTTATCTTTCCCAGGAGTCTTTGTTCTCCCAGAAGGACCCCCTGTCCCCCATCCCCTCCTTGAGTCACATTTTTTTTGTGAATTTCCATGCAGAAATAGGTAATTAAATCTGTTTTGTTTTTTGTTTTTTTCTCTCACACTAATCTATCCTTTGTCACTTTAATTTGCAGGCCTCCAGTATGGAACCTCAGAGGATGGAGGAACACGTTTCTGCTCCTTGACGTCACCAACAGCACAAAATGAGCTTAGGAATCTGCTGTCCTCTCTACAGAAGATGCTGCAAATTCAGGTCAGTGGCTCTTAAGTTGAAAAAGTCTGAGAAAGGGCCTTTATATATTGTGACCCAACATCAGCTCCCCCCAAAACTGGAGCTTAGGAATTACTTAGGTGAATAACTTACTTTGGACTCCCCAGACTTTGTATGACCTCTGTCACAGCAGGGAGCATCCAGGTCTGGGGTCACGTGATTTGAGACTGTTTTCATTGACTCAGGCCTGAACTCCTAAGGCCTGGACAGCAATGTTCATTTATAGTCTCTGTGCTTAGCACAAGGTAATGAGTTCTTACTAATGCCTATTGGATTTTTAAAAAGAGGATGGTGATAAAAATCTTTCATACTGCTTGAAGAAAATTAGCAAATATTAGAGATTCCAAGAAGAAAGTAACATCAGTTCCCACCAACCAGGTAGATTACCACTGTTCAGGTTTGGCTGTTTCTTCCCAGCCTCTGTTGAATGTTTGTTCTCATGTTGAATAAAGAGATGCAAAGAAGGAAAATGCAGTTAAAAGTAGCAGATTCCCTGGTCAAAAGAGTGTCTTGGGCTCATCCCAAGGTTTCTGACTCCCTCTTGGAATTACTTAGTTATTACAGCAGAGGGAGGATTCTTCTAGAAGGAATGCTGACTCCCATCCCTAACCCTAACCCTAACCCTAACCCTTGAACTACTTTTTATAAGGCTGAAGTTAAATAAAAAGTAAAAATAGTTTTAAAGTGCTATTATCTTTAAAGCACTGTTACAGTATTTAAATCTAATAACAAAACATTTAAAAGGTTAAATTTTTTAAAGTTTGAAATGTTGGGGAAATACGTTTCTGTGTGCTGTGTTATTGTCAGGCAGTCTATGCCTTTACACTGGGTTATTGTCCTTCAGCGTCTTAGGAAATGTTTGTTCTGTGTTCACATGTCCAAATGAGTGACATGCTGTTAAAACAGAGAGTGTCAAGTTACTCCATGGCTCTCTTCACATGTCACTTTCAACTCTGAGTTAAAGATTAAGTACATAAATAAATCATACGTGTTCCCACATTAGTCCCTTTCCCCTCCCAACCACACCCCCACTGCCAAAATGGTACCTTATGGGGCCATGGCCCATTCTAGGGAGGTATAATTGAGAGAAGGTGAGATTTGGCTCTAGATTATTTAAATTTAAGTCCCAAGATCTAGTGCTTATTAGTTATATATTCGTGAGTAATTTATGTTCAGTTTCCCCACATAAATTGGGGCTAAAATAATACTTGTTCTTCAGCACTTCCTAGAACCACTCAAAGATCTGAGTGAAAGGACACCTGAAATGCTTTGGAAAATGTTCCTCAGACTTTGGTTGTTATCGTTTGTAAATTTTGTATAAACCTGAAGTGGGTGGGAGGTTGTATCTCCATGACCCTCTTTCTGATGCTATTTGACCTGCCTGACACATTGTCTGTGACTTAGACCTGGGGGTACTCTGACCTAGTGCTTTCCAGTGCCCTAAGTTGATAGTTACAAAGACAGCTGCCCTTCCCTTATCGAGCACCTCCCACGTTCTGGGCTCTTCACACTGTTAATTCTTACAAAAAGCCCTAAGTTCAGATGTAGAAACTAAAGTTCAGAAAGATCACATGACTTGACGTAGGATACAAAGCTATGAGATGTCCAATTCTAGACTTGAACCCAAGTCTCTGACTCCATAGCTGCTCCTTGGTGTCCTCCAGGCCTCTGGCCAGTGCACAGAGGCCAGGGTCCCAGGGAAAGTGGACTCAGAGACAGAGTAACATTGCCCAGTGGTGACATCAGAGAGGTATAAACTAGAACATAGAAAACCGGGTTCTCTGAGCGCAATGGTGTCCACATTTCAAATACTCTACCATCTAGATATCCGCTCCAGCCAAGTAAAACTTAGTTTGAGTTTTGGAACTCAAAGGGGTATTCCTCTTTGGGAATATGCCTGTCTCTACAAGGCAGAAGGAGTTTGCCACTATCTTACCCATGTTTCAAACATGTCTTCTGGGCGCAGGCGGCGTAGGGTGGGTCTGGAAATAAAAAAGATGAGCTTCCTTGAGTAGGTATTCTCAGGACACCACACTAACCCATACCCTGCCCTGTCACACAGAGAGCTGGGCCTAACGCTCTCAGCCTTTCACAGACCCATTTGGCCCAGGGATTATAAGTCTGTTACAAACAATGCCAGGGGGCACAGGGTAGGCATTCCCAGGGCAAGAAGTCATCTCCATCCTCCTGGACTGGCGCCAGCCTGAGAGCCCAGAGAAGGCCCAGAATGAGGCCACCTGGGAGGGAAAAGAGAAGTCTTGATTGTGTCTTATCTTCAGGGTCATCCATCCAAAGCCTCTTCAGGATGTTCGGAAGAGCAGGTGGGATCTGTATTTTGCTCATGGTTTCAGTTATTTCTGAATGTTGGCTAATTGTGTTAGAATGTGGCTATTTGCTTCTCCAAGAACTGCCTCCCTAAAGGGACCAGGACTGGCGGGTTGATGGAATTGTAGTTAGTGCTTCAGGTCCAATGAGCATGCATGAGCACATGTCCAGTGCGGGGGGGAGGAGGTGAGGGGTGATGGTGAGCCCACCACCATATTCCATGGTCAGTACTGTCCCTCCCTCGGTAGCAGGGCTTAGCAATCTGCAACTAGAGGGCCAAATCCAGCGGTGCCTCCTATTTTATAAATAAACGCTTTGGGACACAGCCACACCCCATTGTTTAGATATTGGCTGCGGCTGCTTTCCCACACAAACAGCAGAGCTAAGTGTTGCAACAGAGACCATCTGGCTGCAGAGCTAAACTATTTACCTCCCGGCCTTTTACAGGAAAGGGTCGCCAGTCCACGCTTGAGCTACTCTAAGTGGTGTCAAATATTCCTCCCCCAGCAATTCTGCGTACAGAATGTTCATCTTGGCCAAGTTATTTAACTACTCGGAGCCCAATTCCTTCATCTGTAAATTGAGATAATAATAATAATAATAATTACCCCATTATGTTGAATATAGGGTTTGGCAAATGTAGGCTTACAGCTGTAATACAAATAAACAATACAATAACTAATAAATAGTAATACAAGAATAAACTTTTGCATGATCACAACTGTAAACCTACCTTTCCCCACTCTGCCCACCCCTGTATTAGATAAAATAGCTCTCATAGCACCTATCAGAGTACTTGGCATAAAGGAGGCTGTCCCTAAATCACTATTGCTGTTATTAAAGAATTTTATTTATATTTGACTCTGACTTTGAGGGGATTTGCTGACTGAGAGGAGATGGTTTAAACCTGTTTGCAAGTGTAGACAGACCCATATTCAGAAACTGTAGCAACATCCGTGCCACTAATGGTCAGGATTGAGAGGCTTTTCTCCATTTCCCAGGCCCCAAGACCCCCACCCCCTGCATGCCGCCTGGGGTACCTTTGGTGCTCCTTTATAAACTCCACAAGCTCTTCTTCTGTGTAAGGTTTGTCAGGGATGGCAATGGGCTCGTCCATAAATGGCTCGTAGAAGTCAACCTCATTCATCTTCAAGGACAATTTCTTTGCAACCTGTCATAATTAGAAATATGACAATAGCTTCCTTGAATGCTAGTCTAGAGTGGCAGTGGTGGTCCATCTATAAGGCCTGTGTGTTCTCTGGCAAAGACTTGAGAGGGTACGTACGATTTTAACATACATCTTGTAGTGATAGAAACCCCTCACCTAAGGCCTGGCTGGACCAATCCAAGAAGGACAGACAGGGAGGAGAAAACCACTCTGGCCAATGAGGTCCAAGCAGGGGCAGGAAGCAGATGGAACAAAAAGTGGGAAATCTAATTCTCTAATCACCATCACTCTACTGTATTTGCCAGGCCTGAGGAGGACGTAAAGGTCAGCATGCTTAGTGTCCTTGCATGCATGGATTGAATCAAATCAATTTGGATAGAACAGGCAATTGATGGGAACCATTTAAAGCAGATACTCAAAATCAGAGGCCCACCCTTTAATTCTCGATCAGCTCATAAACCTACTGTTAGTCAGATTGAAGCATGGCCCTACAGTTGTCTCTCGGTTCAGGGCTTTTGTGATGGTTTCTCGGGCTCTGGGAACTGCCCCTTGGTTACCAGTCAGAAGGTGAACCCCTCCCTGGTGTGTCCAGAGTGGAGGGGAGGCCCGGATGTAGACTCTTGGTGCTAAAACTGGATAGTACCCTAGTACCCGACAAGCTAGCTGGAGTTGTTCTCCCCTATCCCAGCAAGGGCGCTCAGAGCCAGACGTAGCCTGAAGCCATCTCCTCTCTGATTAAGTGGCCCCACCGCCTTGTCAGGGCAGAATGGCTGCTGTGTTCGCCTGCAGACCTGCTGAACTCAGGCCTCTTCCTGTGAAATGACTTGAGAGGTCTGGAATGTGCCCCGCTTGGAGAAAACCAAATGCCATTCTTTTCCAGGTCAGAGCTGTGGGCCAAGAGGGCACAGAGATGAACAGTGGTTCCCTTGAAACTACAGAGGAATTGCCGATAACCCACAGTCCAGTGGCCCGGGGCCGCCAGGACCAAGCGGGAGGCGGGGAACTGCTGTCACATACGCTGTTACACAAGGAGGTCCATTCTGAGGAAACATGGGTCTCCCTATGGTTTTTGTCCTTGACCGCTATTAATTCCAGGTCACAAGAGACCAAAGGACATTAGTTATAGTACTTAACAAAGAAACTGGCATTTGACTCAGAGAGAGAGGAAACAGAACACGTGAAGAGCCATAGTCAGTCAAAGGAGATTTTGCGGTCATGTTCGCTATGTTTTAAGAGACATGGAGGTGTGGGTTTTTTTCCTTTTTTTTTTTTCTTATTTGTTTCCTTTTCCATGGGGCAGAGGGTGCTGTGGGTGGATGCTGGGCAAGGAGCAAGGGGGCAGGGCAAGTAGCAGCTCTGCACCCAGTGTCTGCATTCACACACAGTTCTTCGCAGAGCTGGGCTTGAAAATGGCACTCAGTTGTGGTTCTCTGGGTTCACTTACTACTTATCTTAAGAACCAGGAAGAAAAAGGTAATAATAGTAACCACGTAGAGCGCTTGCCATGTGCCAGGCATTTTTGCAACTTGTGTAAGGTTGATTCTTTTATGAATCCTCCCTGTGATTGTTTCAGGTAAAAGCTGGTATTATACTTATTTTACAAATGATGAGCCCAAAGTGCAGTCTGAGTATGCAATTTGTCAGGATTATCTACCTAAGGGGATAGAGCCAGAATTCAAACCCCATTTGCCAGTATGCTGACCCTCTCTAGAAAATCACCTTCTCTTTGACCCTGTGAAGAGAGCTGTCTGGCCCCAGTTATTCCCCTGGTGCCGCATGTGTTTGGTGAGATGTTTCCTGTTGCTCTTGGATGTGCTCTCATCAATTCACCCCATCACAGGCCCCCAAAGGTGAGAAGGGGCTCATCGGAAGCTCTGGTGCACCCACGTGTGCGTGTGCGTGCATGTGAGTGTGTGTGTGTGTGTGTGTGTGTGTGTGTGTGTGTGTGTGTGTTGGGGGAGAAGGTCTCTGGTTCTTGGTTGCCAGAGTCCAGCTCTGCAGTGTGGAGACCGTGGATGTGAGGTTGGATTGTGATGTGCTTGAGTTTAATTCTGGGGATCGCTGAGCATAATTTTCGCCTGTTCACTACATGCCCACCAGCATGCACCGGGAGGAGGGGGGCCTTTACCTTATATCTCAGAGAATTCCTTTTTTAAATTATTTTATTTGTATTTTGGGTGGTAAGGACTGAAGGAGATTTGACTGGCTGAGGCATTGATTCATTTATTGATTCAATAAATATTTAATGGGGCTGACTGTCTCCGAAGCACTGTTCTGGGACCAGGCCTGGTTCATGGGCAGGAACAGCAATACAAGAATGGATTTTACTCCTGAATGCTTAGGAGGCCCATATAATGAGTTCTCTTATAAAAAACTAGTTGGAATAGATTTTGCCAAAATAGATTTTGTAGAAAACTACAAAGCAGAATGGTCATTTTTTTACATTGGCAAGTGTATGGATTTTGGTACAGATGTTTTTCTACACGTTAGCAAGCCATTCATTGTTGCAAATGAAACCAGTTTAATGAATTTAGGCCTTTTCAATGTCTATCTTCTTCATCAACTTTGCTTAGATAACAACTGCTTCTTTTGGTCCCCATATGGTTCAAAAAATGATTCTGCTTCTCACTGTTCACTCCAAGAAAGGAACAGGTCAATGGGAGGTCACAGGGGAGAGAAGGGGGGAGCGTGATTAGAACTACATATTTTAGGCTATAAGGTACAGTAGAGTGGACACTGACCCCCTCTTGGCCCCTTGTGGGGTTGATTTAAGATCAGGATCTGTAGATTATTTCTGGTCCCAAGACAATGTGCCAGGTAATATGTACTGGGAGCTTTTTAAAAATGGATATTCCTGGGTGTTGTCAAAATCCTTAAAAATAAAAATTCAGATTTATAGGGCTGGCACCCAGAAACCCATAGTTTTAAAAGCGTCTCGAGGGACAATATGGACAGTGTTTGGAAACTACTAACTCCCAAATCTATATTAGCAGCCCTGACATCTCCCTCTCTTTACATTTCTTTAACTCATAGATAGCAGTCCCCCCTTATCCGCAGTTTCAGTTACCTGCAGTCAACCATGGTCCAAAAATATTAAAAGAAAAATTCCAACAAGAAATAATTCATTTAAGTTTAAATTGTGTGCTATCCTGAGTGACACGGTGGGTTCAACCATGCCTGCTGGACCCCACCATCACCAGTGGGCACTGCCACCCACACCCCTAATTGCTGGGTGCAAGTTCTTAAGTCCCAAATAGCATTGACTCCTCTCAGTGACAGCTCTTCCCTCTGGTTCCACATGGAGGTTGGGAGGACTTAGCTTTCTCTTTCTGAATGTTAATGAAATCCCGCCAGGCTACGTGAGTAGTGGCCCTTATGACTCAGTGTCTTCTAGAGCTTTTAGTGAAGAGCCTTCTGAGTTTTTAATTATAGCCTGACCTCACCTTCTTCATGGGCCTCAGACATGAAGCCATGTGGTTGGATTGGGAGGCACATCTGCAGACCAACCCCACCCTGAACTCTACCTTGAATCACCCTTCCAAGGACCGAGGCTCTGTTGCTTGGCCAAGCTTGTCTGCTTGACTCTCTTCCCTCGGATGGGTTCTTACCTAGAAGTCATAGTCACTGCTGACCAAACCTAACCAGATGCCAGTGATGGACTCAGTTTAAGCTTCTCTGTACCTCCCATTCTCCGCTAATATAATCTCCCCACTTCTATCCTTCTTTATTAACAACAGTCCTGCCTGGCTGGCGGGGCTCAATTATTGAACATCAACCTATGAACCAGGAAGTCATGGTTGGATTCCCAGTCAGGGCATATGCCCAGGTTGTGGGTTCAATTCCCAGTGTGGGGCATGGAGGAGACAGCCGATCAATGATTCTCTCTCATCATTGATGTTTCTATCTCTCTTTTCCTCTTACTTCATCTCTGAAACCAATAAAAATATATTTAACAACAACAACAACAAAAAACAGTCTTCACTGAAGGCTTACATACAATATATCAGATGCATGGTATATGTGCCATGCCTTTCTCTGGAGTAGAGTACCCTGTTTCCCCCAAAATAAGACAGTGTCTTATATTAATTTTTGCTCCCAAAGATGCACTAGATCTTATTTTCAGGGGATGTCTTATTTTTCCATGAAGAAGAATATGGTACACATTTATTGTTAAATGAAAATAAAGGAAATTTATTACCAGTATACGGTACGGTAGTACGGTAGTTGTCAACACAAACCAGACAAACTGAATCCTACAGTATCAAGAATTTGCTCATTTATTCAATGACAATCATGTCATCATCTTCTGGAACATCATCATAACAATCCAATTCCTGAATTTCCTGGTGAATTTCTTGTGACTCCATTTCTTTCAGAATCAGTGGACCAAATCTCTCATGTTTAGCCTAGGGGGGCCTTATTTTTTGGGGGATGCCTTATATTTCACTCAGAAGGAAACCTGTAAGTAGGTCTTATTTTCAGAGGATGTCTTATTTTCAGGGAAACACGGTAGTACTGAGCACTGACGCTGAAGTTAGGCTGACCTGAGGTTACATATAGCTCTACTACTCATTATGTGACATGAACAAATCTCTTAATCTCTCAGTGTCTTGGTTTCATCCTCTGTAGACTGAGAAAACTAATCCCTCTCTTACCAGGTGTTGAGAAGATGAAATGAGAAAACCTATATAAGCTCTTAGCACAAAGCCTGGCACATAAAAACCACTTAATGAATTATAATTATTATTCTTTTTGATATCCTTTCTCAATATCTCTCTCCACTGTAATCCAACCAATTGGGGTAAATTTTCTTCAAGCTTAGATGATGTAATTTGGATTATGCACCTCTCTTCTGGATTATAGGCTTGAAAACTGGGGCCAGAGTCATAGAAGTGGGTCAATATATGTATGAATTGAGTGCAATCTCTTTTTTGTCATTCTTTTACCCTGCTTCAGCATCTACAGACTTCCTTGTTTTTCACAGAATACTTTGAATGTTCTTAGTCTGTGTGCATTGGGGGTGTTATACATGTGTGTGAGTGTGTGTTATGTAGCATATATGTTGTCTGTATGTGCGTTACATGTGTGTTGTGTGTGTTTTAAGTATGTTATGAGTGTGGGTTGTGTGTGCTATACATGTGTGAGTTGTGTGTGTTATGTGGGTATGAATGTGCAAGTGTGTGCCTTGAATCTCGAGGGTAGGAACAGAGTCTTCTAGTTAATGGTGTGTGACAGAGGAAAGGGCATGACTTTGAGCACAGTTTGTCCTAAATTGGAATCTTAGCACTACCATTAATTCCCTGGAGACCTTGGATATTACTTAATCTTTCTAAGTGTTTTTTCATCTGGAAGTTGGGTAAAGGACTAGAGATTGTACTAGTGTGGAATATCCAATTGAGCCCAACATGCACAGAACACTGGATTAGTAACCTTTTAGTGGTACCCGGAACCAGGGTAGAGCACTCCAACCAGAGTAGACCCCAAATAAAGTATGCATTGATTTGAGGTCCCTCTATCTCTGCTGCTCTTTGTCTTATAGAGGCACTTTCCACACCCATGAAACAACAAGCATTTGAATTACAGGCAAGTTCATCCGCGGCATCTCCTAAAGATGTGGGTAACTTTCGGAAGCACCGGGGCTTCTGAGGTCAGTGCCTCTCCCCACCCAGAAGTGGGAGGGCAAGCATCCCCAGGGAGGGAGAGAATGCTCTAGAAAAAGGAAGCAATGATTAGTGCCCAGCACACTCAGGACTCACTCTCTCCATTCTTAGTGCTGACAGTGATAGGAGAGGTTGGTTCATCACTTTTCATTGGATGTTTTCAGAAATACCCTGACATCTCCTGAGCGAAACATCTTTGCATTCATATCTCATGCCGTAGCGATGTGCTGCTACATTTCTAATTCTGGAGAAAGTGCTCCTGAGTGGAGGGTGCTTAACGTTTCAAAAGAAGAGAAAAGGGGGTGGAAAGTTCAACTGTTAATATATACTTCGTGCCTATAAAAGCATTCAAATTGAGGTGGCATAGGTCCTTACCCCTTTGTCAAAGGTCGCGAAAAACTTGATGTAAGGCTGGAAGTGCTCAGCTGCCTCTTCAAAAGCCTTGTAGTCTAAAAGGAAAAAGTAGGCGGGAGAGACATTTGCAAGAGGCACACTGCAGACATTTCTTTGTTTAAATAATGGAGAGAGTGGGAAGCCAATTAGTCCTAATTGGATAATTATTGAGTAGATATTATTTAGATAGATAATTATGTAGTACCATTTAAACCCACAGTTTCCCTAAGGAGTTGGAACTGATTGGCATTCAATCACCCAAAAGAACTCTTTGCCACACTGTTGTATGTTTTACAAAACTAGTAGAGGGAAAGGAAAAACTCAGAGAGAACAAGGGAAAGAAAAGAGATTGTCAAACCCCTAACCCAAAGGAAAAGTTCTTTTGCTCAAAGTCACTGCTATTTATTCATGTGCCCCCTAGAGAGTTGCAGCCTGTATGTGAAGGAACACAGTGTGCGGAGAAATGCACCTCAATTAGAATGACAGCACAGAAGTATTTTAAACTCTTAGCAGGAGCACTTTTTTTTTGTTGACAAATCCTAATATTTCTTTCCCTCTTTTTAAGTTTTCCTTTTTTTTAATTCTGATCCCTTGAAAGGATTACTTAAAAATTAATCAATACCATGCTTGACTCTGGTCCCAAACTTGAGTACAAACTGAGGGGAGAGAGGCATGAGGCCACATGGGTGTGGCCATGTTGTGTCTTACCACACCCAGACACTTACTAGGTAAAGGCATTCTGGTTCAAGCCTTAGAGTGAGGGTGATGATAATGGTAATAGTGGTGGTGCTGGTGGTGTTTCTACAAAAATTCCATAGTCTTGAGAGCCAATGATCCAACAAGATTAACTTTTTCCATTTCCTGGAATTCATACCCCTTCATCATCAGAGGCACAAGCTTTTGCTAGAATTCTAAGAGCATGCAGAACTTTTTAACATTCAATCAAAAACATTTCAAGAATAATGCTGGCTCAGGGGACACCAAAATGAGGAAGATATAGATAATGATCAAAGGCTCACAACCCTTGAACCCTTGAAGAGTCATAGTGTGTGTCATAGTTGCTAGAATAGAGGTACGCACAATAAGCACAGATGAGAGAGGGGTTGAAAGTGTACAACAAACCTCTACATACTGATCCACATTCACACAAACTCATCCTCATAAAAGTGACTGGGTTGTCACAAAATATGTCATATAGGCTGATAGTTGGGGTGGAGGATTGAGTGTAGGGGAAGAAGATGGGTGGGAGATTTGGAGAATGAATAGAGGGAAGTGGGAGAGGGAAATGGTTAAAGGGAAATGGTTAAAGCCATAGCTACATCACTTATATCTATTTACAAGAGCCATGGGCTCCTTAAGAATTCTCTGTTCCTCTATTCTCTGTCCCCCTTGTCGCTGATGAACCTCTCTCCACCTTCCTGAACTTCTTCCCTGATGGAAAGCATGGCCTAGACTTTTGTCAAGAGAACTCCCTTCTTCTCTTAAGGAGCTAGTCTATATCCCTAAGATGGAAAAGGGTGGGGCAAGGCAAATCCCAGGTTGGTGCTTCAAGTTAGGGTTGAACCTGTAGCCTCTTGCAAACAGTAGTTGTCTTCAGGAAACCTGGTCTAGTGTTCTACTCTGATCTCCCTTGAGTAGTAAGTATTTATATAGAAATGTGAACACTGAAATGAATTCACCCAAAGAACCAGGATAAAACTCCCCACTTAGCCACCTTCCCCCAACACACTCTTAAGGAGGGTGAATACAGAAGTTTACATAGCAAATTAGGAGACAGTTCAGCCAGGGGTCCTCAAACTTTTTAAAGTGATCGGTCCCTCAGAGAGCTGGAGGGCCGGACTATATGAACTACTAATTCCTACTGTAACACCTCGGCTGCGCTCACTGCCCAAAAAACCTGGCGGGCCGGATCAGACTCCTCTACGGGCCGCATGTGGCTCGCGGGCCGTAGTTTGAAGACGCCTGACTAGGCCATGGGGGAGAGAAAATTAGTGGGTGGTTGAGATGACTAAGGATGCCAGTTGGCAGATGGGGTAGAGACACAGCTTCACAAATAATTTCAAAATATTTTGGAGTTTTCCAAAAATAGCCAGAAGCATCTGTTATTTGCACTTCCCTTCCTATACTAATTCTACCAGGTCCCCTCTCATAGTTAAGCCCATTCCCTCTTTCCAAGGCTGAGGCACCAGAAAAAGGACTCACTCTGGGCTCCTGCTGCCAAAGCACATAAAGGAAAGGTACTCAGGTTGTTAGTCTTGCTGGTTCCTCTTCTTCCTGATTCCTCCTGACTTCAACCCCTGTAGGGTTGTGCTGATGCTGTGATATGTTCCTGTACCCACCCAAACCCCAGCCGCAAAACTTTCAAAGGGAATACACCCAAGGGTGTGGTGTGCTACTGCAGGCTGCCTTGGTGGTCAACAATTTCCCACATTGTGCTGCAGCTGCTAGGCCCAGCCCTACCCCAATTTTCCTCTAACGCTGTCCAAGAGGCTGAGAAGCTCTCCAACTGGTGACCCTAGGAGCTGGCAATGTCAGAAAGACAGCCCACTATTTGCTCCCTTTTAAGGGAGAATCCAAGTGGTGGGTGAGCCAGTGGAAAGGTGGATGAAGGGCTTTCTCTCTTCTGTAAAACATTCACGCCCCTCAAGGCCAGAGAACATGGCCCAGCCTCAGCCTTCTTTCGGCTCCTCTGCCTGTTTCGTATAATTAATACAGGTGTCCCTTTGCACAGGGTACAAGGAAGATTCTCCCTCCTACCCAGCATGGGACATGCTCATCGTCTTTATGGATAACTTGACATGCCTTGCTGGAAATGTAGCCTTTAGACCAACAGGCTGGAGTTGACAGACAACTTACATTCTGAGTCTTCGCTCTTGAAAAAACCAATGAGTTTGATGTGGTCCTCGATGCGTTCAAAGGCTTGGACTTCCAGTTTGCTGCCGATGACCTCTACTGGATCTTCAATTAGCTGAAATGCCACACACACACACACACAAAATCGTTTCCCTCTCTCCAAGGCATCGGGCACATGTGCAGAGGGCTTTGGAGGGAAGTTGTGGACTTCGATTGGTACCTCAGCATCTATCCCACCCTCCCCCAATGAGTACAGCAACAGTGCCTTTTGAGGACTTTACCTTAACTCAATGGGGTAGGCTTGTTGGTGTGGGCAATTCTATGTCTCTTGTCATTTATTGGTTCAGAAATGGTATGAGACCCAGATCTGGTCAATGACTCTCCAGGGAAGATTTTCTGAAAGCTTTAGGAAAGTTCTGCTTTCTCTTAAAGGCAACAATGAGAAGCCAGATTTCCCCCTCCCTCTTCTTGAATATTAATGAGGAAATGTGATGTATCCCCTCCTGCTGTTGGCTAATCTTAGAATCAACATGGGAACAGTAAGCTTAGGGACAAAGCCAACCCAGAGAAAACAGCATTACCCATGACTTACAGAGAAAAATGGAGTGAGTTTTGATCAAGTCTAAAATCTGCCCTCACTCTGAGTTTCTGTTTATGTAGGTGATCACGTAGCCTGTTGTTTACGGTAGCCAGAGTCTGGTGCCAGAGTCTGGTGTCTGTTTTGAGCTTCTCAAAGCCTTGACTTTGCTGGTAGGGTGGAGCACTGCCATGTTGGCCAAGCTGTTCAGTTGCTGCCCTCAACTTTTTTATGGTCAATGACAGGGCCAATGAGAACCTATGGGCACTTTTTCATAGGAGGTGACCTTCAACTCATTTTGATTCTATCTCTGGGTTTTTGAGGCTATGGAGAAAGGTGAGAGACCACTGTGGACGAGCTGGTAGATAAGTATCATCAGAATGGATGTGCTTTTTCTGTATAGGAATCTGTGTTCAAAAGCAGCTTGAACTAGACTTCATAGTTGCTATTGAGAGTGTAAGTTTGTCCATGGATAAAATATTTGTATAGTGTCTGAGCATATGGGTTTGCCTTTGCATATGGATCTGATGGTAGCGGACCTCTCTGGCTGAGAAGAAGGATGATATTGGGGCTCATTAGTCCTGCCCCTTTTTATTCTGCTCTGAGGATAACTCAGCTGATCGTTCCTCCTCTCCCTACTGGTTTCAGGTGACTAGCCACCACTTCCTCACAACTCCTGTTCAAAAGCACTGGAACAAGCCAAGGGGATTCCAGGGGGTGTTCGTATACAACTGCTAAGAGACATAACATGTTACTACTACACAGTTTCCACCTGTGACCCTGTGATTACAAGGAAACAGTTTTTCAGGTGACCTATGGGCCCGCATCCTAGAATACATAAATAGCACTGGGATGTACGCTGTCCTTGACTTTTTGTGAAGCCTGGGAAATCTGTCTTAGATAAAGTCCAATTACCCAGCTTCTGTGTTCTTATTTTAAGGTTTTACTTCCCTCTATATGGAAGCCAAACAACTCCATGCAGGGCACTGTGCATAAATGCTCACGTCCAAGAGAAACTCCACCAGGACATCAGCTGCAAACTCGCCATCAAACTCAATTGTGCGATCGCCCTTAAGGATGTACAGGCTTCCTTCTTCATGAAAACCTGGAAGAAAGAAAGAAAGAGTTTCCAGGACAAGATCATCCTGATGCAGGAAAAGCCATCCTGTTGGGTCAGGATGAGTGGAGCCCACCTTACTCCTAGGATGGCTCCCTTGAAACCACACCTCTAAGCTGCTCCCTAGTGGAAATTTAGATCATATTTCTGGGCACCACACAAACAGCTTGCTTTTCTAGAGGAGCTGAATTCTGCACATTCTCTCTTTCATGTTTGTTGAGAATGCTGTCAGGGCTGGGTCTGTGTCTTCTCTCTACCCTGCATTGCTCTTGGAAATTTAAATAAAATAGTCAAGAATCAACAATCCTACCTGGATTTTACCTTACAAAGAAAAATCTATTCTCCACACTATCACTGCTTCAGTTTTCCAAAACTCCTGTGACCTCATTCTCCTTATCACAAAGTTGCAATGCCCTCTGTCTACCTGACTCCTTAGCCTGCTATTCAGGTCCTTCTACAACATCATGCCAACCCACCCTTCACATTCTCCCCTGGGTAGACCAGTCCTCCTTTGAGAACTGCTCTCTTACTCCTGTAACTCCCTTTGCTTCTTGCCCACAAACTGATATAAAAGGGTTTCTATAGGAAAGGTAACAGAGCATGATTCTCGACACCTATGTTCTCCTATTCTTCAAGTCTGGGATGACCTTCCACCCTCTGCCATATTGGTCAGCTTACTTCAGGTCTCTGGTTAGGACCCATTTTCCCCAGGAAGGCCACTCTGGGGTCTCCTGCCATGACTGGTCTTCTCTGGGCTCCATGTACATGTACTCAAGGTAGCAGTAAGCTTTCTATGGGTATCTCAGGGTGTCACTCAGAGCCTGGACACACTGGGCACCCCATAAATGTTTGTGGCCAGAACAAACAGCTTGCTTTTCTAGAGGAGCTGAGTTCTGCACATTCTCTCTTCCCAGTTAGCTGAGAATGCTGCCAGACAGGGTCTGCCTCCTCTTCCCACCCTCCATCGCTCTTGGCACAATGCCGTGACCTGAACAAACACTTGCTGCAAGAATGCATTTCTCCCCAGGAAGGGAAATGAGCTGAGGCTGGCGTTTAGTCCAGCTGCAGGCATCCTTAATTCCTTAGTTCATTGTTTTCAAACTCTCTGTTGCTGGACAACACTTTCTCCAAAGAACTCTTCTGCAAACCTCTAGGGAAAGGGAGGCTGGCCTCCTCCTACTGTGGCCCAGGACATGTCTGAAGATCCTTGGGCACAGCATGGAGCACCATTTCCAAACCTAAAGAAATAATGCATCACACATCCTTGAACCTGGCAAGGGCTGATCACAGGGTACCGCAGGAATAGCAGCCAGTGTCCTGCTGTTGGATTTTGCTCCGAGTGAAATCAATTAGGAGACTGTTGTACTGGTTCAGGCACAGCCCCATGGAGACCCAACTCAGGCAAGTGGAAGTGAAAATGGAGATGAAGAAGGTTCACAAACATCTCTGTCCTGGAAACGAGGATGAGGCAGTCAAGAAGGAACCTGTTCCAGTAATTCCTCCAGGCTGAGCTTGGGGAAAGGCTCATTGAGACTTTTCAAGCCCCATCACATCCTGACTGGGAGGATGTTCACTGAGCCATATGAATGCTTTCCCAGCTTATCTTCCCTAAATTTCTAGATCACTGGATCACTAGTGTTTTCCTTGAACTAAATTGACTGGAAATCTAACTTCTCTTTAAAACAACAGGGTTGAGCAACTAAGTTAGATGCCCCTTCGGTCTGCAGGCTGATGCTCTAACCACTGGGAAAAACTGACCGGGGCTACCTAGAAGTATTGATAGAATCACCACTAATTCTCCCCTCCCCAACATGCTTACTATTCCACATCCAGTTAACCTTTCTTCAAAGGTCCTGTTTTATAGCCTCCTGCTATGGCCACTGTTCGCTAATCATGCGGAAAAAAGCGAAATGGGCAGTTCATGTGTGGGATGTTTGTGTTCTTTCTCCTTAGGATTAGCACTGTCAGGATTTTAAAGTTTGCTTGCACTTATGCAGGACATATTGATCCAGAGATTACAGCCTGCACTCGGTAGTCACGCATACCTCATCTAAATCCTCCCTCTCATCCTTGGTGATAATGCCCAGCTGGGGTTTAGCCTTTACCGGTAATTTAGAAACCACTGGGACATCAGAGTCACTACCACTAAGTTTGTATGTATTGGCTGTTTTAGCCAAGAGGTAAGGAAATAATGGATGATGGAAGGAGAGACCACCATAGTAGTGAGATAGAGAAGCTGGCCTTTTAACTCTAAAAATAAAGGCTTAAATATTTAGCATCAATTTCTCCAGGAAAAAGCCTTCTTCATTAGATGATTAATGTGAAACCATTCAAGTTAAGCTGATATTTACTTTTCTGAAACTCTTCTACAACCAAAACTAGGGTATGTAAGATCATAACAATGAACATAAATATAAAGCCTAGTTATCATGCAAGAATAAATGAAACTATACTTTTTTTGCAAGACACTTTGCTTCTTCCTGATAGAGCTAACAAAAATCACACTTACCCAGTTTCTTGGCGAGTTTGGCTTCTTTCTTGGCATCAACCATCACAAAGCCTATATCTTTATGTTCCAGGACTTGGGCCACAAGCTAAAGGGAAAGACAAGGAGAATATGTGATCCCAAGGCAGAAAGATGTAGACTGTGTTACCGGATAAATACTTCCATAATTTCTGTGACCAACTGGGGCACCCATGAAAGGATTCTGACTGTATCCCCACAGAAAGGTGGGTACCCATCTAAAAGTGGTATGGCATAAAGTTTTTCACACTTGGCCCTGTGGGCTCCCTACCTTAGGCATAGAGGAAAAATACAAATATTACTGAGAATATAAGAAATTAACTCTGAAAATTTGATGCAAAATTTAACTCTGATGTCTCCTAGGCATACACCACCATGTTTTGTTGGTTTTTAGGTGGATGCATATGTGTGCCTCTCCTAGTCATGTCAGTCATGGTCTCCTAATTCCCTTATTGATTATATGTGACTTTGGAAGACATATGAATGGAAGAGGAAGGTGGTATCTCAGAGAAACTCAGTTCTGCTCCCCTGGCTTCCTGTTTAAGCATAGCCACTCACTATCCTAGGTGTGGATGCACATACAGAAGCAGCCAAGACCACACTAGCCGAGACCTGCTCACCTCCTCCTTGGCACACTTATGCACTATCTCCATAGTGCCCCCGTCACTCTCGCCTCCCACTGTGATTAGGCCCGAAGCCTGCCCACTTGAGCTCTGTCATCACTTCCGTCAGCCCCAGCGAGCACCTCTCAGGAGCCTAAGCCAAGGGTGACCCAGGGCTGATTGGCTGCAACCCAAGAGAGAGCAGTGAGACTGAGGGTGGTGGTGGTGGTGGGGGGGGTGGGAGAATGCTATGCTGAAAGTCCTTCTGGGCTGACTCCTGGCCCAATCCCTCCCCCCAGGACCAGGAACCCCTGCTGACTAGGGGAGCAGGCCAGACAGTGCCTGTGTCTCCCACTTGGCTGGATGGCACCTCCGTCTTTGCTCTGGCCTTGATCTCCAGCTCAGATGTTCCTTTCTGCACTCGGCTACAGCCCAGTCCCAGTGCTCACTCACATTGCTGCCAGCCTTGGCCGCCCTTGGCTGCAAAGCCCAGCTCCAGGGTCATATTTCACCCCAGCCTCCTTTCTGTGAATTCCGGTAGCTCATTGCAGAGACATGGCGCCGACACTTAATTTCACAGTCGTGAGAGTTGTCTACGTCTCTTCTGTACTATGCATCTTCCTCCCTAAGAGAAGGACCCGTTTTATGCCTTTTTTTGTGTGTCTCATGTAGTCCTTAGAGACATCAGGCTGTGTGTGAAAAGATGGATTAGCTAAAAAACTTCACAAATTCAAGGACATCTGAGCCAAAGAGAAAAAAGCCATCATCACCAAGGACAGTGATGGAGTTACATATAGGAGGAGAAATGAGAGAGTCACTGTCTCCTAAATTCCAGAAAAATGGAATGCTGCTGACTTACAGTTTTTTCTCTGCTGGTTTTGTTTGTTTGATTGGTTACATCTCAGATGGTCTCCCCTGTTGTCTACCCTAGAGACTTGTTGTCCACCCTATAGAATAGGGTTGTCTCTTACTGATTGGTACATGTAGCTCCTGGACTTTGGCACACACTCATTCTTTCCAGAAGCATTAGGATTTACTTTGGCCATTACTGATTCTTTTTGTTTTGTGTGGGTTTTTTTTAACCTTCACCTGATAATATATTTTTATTGACTTTTAGAGAGAGGAAGGGAGAGAAACATCAATGTGAGAAAGAAACATTGATCATTTGCTTCCTGTACACAGCCTGGTTGGGGTTGAACCCTCAACCTAGGTATGTGCCCTGACTGGGAATTGAACCCATAACGTTTTGGTGTACATGATGATGCTCCAACCAATTGGGCAGTCATTGCTGATTCTTTCGAGTACAAAATTAATTTTATAGAAAAAAGTTATATTAAACAATATATATGTCAATAATAAAGTAGTCATTCTGTCTCTCCATAGCCCTTATTTTCTAGTCTTTTAGCACCTACCTAATTTTTCATTAGCTTCCTCTCTAATGAAATCACAAGGTCCTTGATACTGAAATATCTCACCCACTTTTGTTTAACACAGACTTTGATCATAGTAGGTCCTCAATAGCAGTTACTGTTCTCTTTTCATTTCACTACATCATGCTTTGGTATTTTTGAATCGGTCCGTGGTCCAGAACCCTATCCAGCTGTCATGGTATTAAGAAGAAAATCTACCGATTAAGCACTTACTGCATGCCAAGAACTGTGTTCAGCATGTTACATGCTTTATCTCATTGCATCTTTGCAACAGCATCACGATAGACATTGTTATTGTCCATATTTTATGGCCATCCCAGCCCTTGTGACCAAGTTAGAAATCCAGGTCTCTGATTCCAAGCCCTGTGTTCTTAACCACTGGATTTACTATTCTTGGTCTCTTATTCACTTGAAGATGAAGTCTAGTTCGATGCCAATCATTACAGGCTGACTTCTTTGGGGACGCTGAAGGGAGCTGTGTGTTCCAGGCACATGAGAAAGAGTGTAAGGGACTCTGAATATTAGGACCAGCTGTTCTGACTTGGGAGATGTTTGAATAGAGCAGTGCAGCTAGTTTGGGTTTGAGGAGGGTGATCTGAGGTTATAGACCCGACAGACAGAAAGGAAAGGAAAGGTGACCCATTGGGAGGCTGATGTCATAGTGGAGGTGACTGGTCTCAGACAGAGGCAGTGGCAGTGGACGGAGAAGGTGTAACTTGTGAGGTGAGGTTACAAATGAAGAGTCAGGCGGACCTGGTAACTCTTCCGTGGCTTTAGAGAGAGAAGGGAGAGAAACCAAAGGAGAGGAGGAGGCAAGATGATTCCAGGATCTCCAGCCAGGGAACAGAGTGGAGGACAAAGCAGTGACATCAGGAGGGCATGCCAGAGCCCGGGGCAAGGAGCTCCGCCTGGATTCAGATGCAATGAGTTCATGGCAATGGAAGTCCAGCCAAGAGCTGGAGGTGCCAACCTGGAGCTCAGGGAGAGGCCCTGAGTGGAGCTCCAGAAGTGAGAGGTGGGGGGCATCTTCAGGGACTGGCCACCTGTAGGAGGCAAGAGCAGAAGGAGGCGTAGTGGACTCTAGGAGGAGCAAGAGAGGACAAGGAATACTGGGTCATGACTCGAAAGTCACGGGAAGAGAGAGCCTTGAGGAGTGGGTGGTCGGATCAAATGCTGTAGGGAGCCCCGGGGTGGGCAGGTGGGCCCCCCCGTGAAGTCTTTCCTTTCAGGACAGGTAAGCCATCGATGACCTTTTGGAGAGGAGTGGGGACAGAAGCTAGAGGAGTTGAGTGGGTGGCAAGGACATGCTAGATCAGGTGTGGATCACTTGTTCAAGAAGTTTGCCCATGAAAGGAGGGGGAAGTTAATACCGAGGCACCAGGCGACACGCTCCCTGGGCTGTGTGACTGGCCGTGGGCCTCAGAGGACAGCACCTGCAACAGGCCAGGCGCCAGGCTCGAGAGGCTGGGAAAAAACCTGAGGATGGAGGAGCCTGGGGGAAAATGCCTCAGATCTCTGCTCAAAGTGAATGTCCCTAAAGCCACTCATTAAAAATACCCTGGCTGCCATCCTGCATGGTCCCTGGAAGCTAAGAGCCCAGTGGCTGTTCTCACCCACTGTCCCTGATACCATCTGGCGACAAGTCAAGAGATTCAACAACTGTGTGTCCTGCCCTGAAACCGGAGAGCTGATGCTTACCTCCCGGTAATCTCCTGTCACTTTCCACCGCCTTCAACTGAAGCCTGATCTATGTATAGCTGGGGGCTCGCACGTGATGTGCCCTCAGGAGGCAGGGGAGGGGATGGCTCAGCCACGGCCTGAGATTCAGGTGAACACTGGGGCCTCTGAGGCTGGATCAGTGGCCTCCGAAAAAGCCTTGGGGGTGAGAGAGGCTGTCCATTGTTCTATTGTATTTGGGGCTATCACCTTGGCCAGTGCCAGAGTGAAGACCCGAGGGCCAATGCTGTGTGTTCTTCCACTGCCGGCATGTTAGGAACCATAACAACAAGGATATTGGGTGTTTACTACCCGCTGGCTCCTGCTCCCACACCTAATATAAACTACCTTATTGAGCCTTCCCAAACCCACATGAAGTAGAAGTTTGCAGATGAGGAAATGGAGGCACAGAGAGGCGAACCAACTTGCCCAGGACCACACAGCATTGAAGTGACATAGCTGGGATCCCATCCCCAACATTCTGGTTCCAAAGCCCATGCTCTCATCCATTATATCAGTTCCCCGCACCCTCACAGGGACCTGGGCTCATGTCTGATACTCTGAGGCTCTGAGGCTCTGAGCAGTCACATTCGCTGGGTGTCCTGAGCCAGCGTGGCTGTGTGTCTCTCTAAGATGGAGACAGGTGAGTGTGTGTGTGTGTGTGTGTGTGTGTGTGTGTAGGGGTACCTGTTGGCCCACCCCTTGCCCACACAGGCGGATGGTGAGGAGAGGCTGGCCTGCCTGGTTGGGCTCTGGAGCAGGTGGTGGGTGCGGCTGGGACAGGCCTCTCTCCTAGTGGCTGTCCAAACAGAAACTGCTCTGGGTAAAACTATTAATACATCCAGTTTGTAGTATGGGAGCCTCTGTGGCTCTGTCCTCCAGGGGCCGGCTCTCTTGGTGGACCAAGTTGTTTAGGTGCAGAGGCTGAGTGTGTACTACTGTACATCCGCCCTCCACACCGACCCGCGGTGCTCACTTGGGAAGGCAGGGCTACTGCTGGCGACAGGCCTGGTGACTCACACAGATTCTGTTCTTTTCATTTTACTGCTTGGCACTACAATGGTCCTTACGATAGTTTCAGAGTGGTGACTTCCAGGGTATCTCATGGAAGATTTGTAACTTGGTGATGGTGGCCAGAGGGGAGGGGCGTTGGGGACTGGGTGGGAAAGGTGAGGGATAGAGAAGTGCAGATCGGTGAGCACAGAGTAGACCTGGGATGCGATGCACAGCACAGGGAAGCTAGTCAATAACATTGTAATAATCCTGGATGGTGCCAGGCGGGACTGGGAAGATCGGGGAACACTTGGTGAAGTACCGTATTTTTCGGACCATAAGATGCACTTTTTTTCCCCCCTAGAAGTGGGGGGAAAAAGTCCCTGCGTCTTATGGTCCAAATATAGCCTACACATATACTTTAAAAAAAAAGTTTTTTTACTTGCCCGGCTCTGTGTGGTCTCTGTGTGCTTGCCCGGCTCTGAAATGGTTCTAAATGCTGCTGTTTACTTTACAGGGTTGATTACATGTGTTTAAGACTGTGATGTTGGGTTTTAATGCACATAAAATATTTTAGGACACTATTTGTTTCAGAATCTTTTTTTCTTCATTTCCCTTCTCTAAAAACTGGTGCGTCTTATGGTCCGGAGCGTCTTATGGGCCGAAAAATACGGTATGTGACTATCTAACCATTATGCCATGCACCTGAAACTAATACAAATAATGTTGAATGTAAACTGTAATTGAAAAATAAACTTTAAAATGTATAACTTTAAGAGGAGGTCTCCCTCAGTGATACAATGACCAGGCTTCCTAAATTTGGGCTTGAGTATTAAGGGCTTTTTGGGCCTAAAACAGGGGCGGGGAATGTCCAATCCGCAGGCCGTATAAGGCCTGTGAAATCATTTGGTCTGGCTGTGCCAGGGCATTAGGGGTGAGCTAATTAAATGTTTGACCAAATATAGTAGACTAATTTTTAAGTTGGTAATTTTGTATGGCCCACAAATGATGTTATAAATAATCCAGCTGGCCCTTGGCCAAAAAAAAAAAAAGGTTCCCCATCCCTGATCTAAAGCCCCCTGTATCAACAGTGTGTTGGCCATGTTGTAAAATCCGTCTCCCTGTTAATCCTTATGCAGAGGAGGAGTTTACCTGTGCTCAATACAACCCATGCTCTGGCAATGGCACTTCCTGTCTCTTTGCCATCTCGCCCAGGCACCGGCTTTATCAGAGGCCTGCACAGCAAACTCAAGTCACATGGTCCGGGCACTTGGGCTCTAAGAGGGCAATGTGAGACTGAGCATGCGCACACCTGAGAGAGCGCCGGCTCCCTGTGAGGACTCGCCCCAAAGCCCAGCCTGGCCTCACAGATCTTTCTGGGCACGGTAGGTGCGTGTGTGGAGAGGGCAGTCTTTGGGCACAAACAGCTGGAGGAAATGCCCAACCCTGCGTGCGCTGCTATTCTCTGCCCCGTGTTCCCACGTCGTCCCATCTGCAGATTCACTTGACTTCGGCCACTTCATTGCCTCCCTCTCTTGGGGGTTAGAAATAAAACCTCTGGGACACTTGCCAGAGCTAAATGAGTGTGAGGGCAGGGCCAGCCTTGCTGTGCCCGAGGTTCCTGCTCAGCCTGTGCCTATATTGGACTGAGAGCCCCATGGTTAAAAATGCAATTTTAACCATATGTCAGTGGGATTAAGCAAGGAGGACCAACAGGTCCTTGAATCTGACAGACTTAATCTATTTTTTTATTTTTTTACTATGTTCAATTCTTTTTAAAGAATTAACCTAATTTAAAAAGAAATAAAGGAGATCAGCTGACATGGCTCGGAGGTTGAGCATCGACCTATGGACCAGGAGGTCACGGTTCGATTCCTGGTCAGGGCACATGCCCTGGTTTAGGGTTCAATCCCCAGTAGGGGGCATGCAGGAGGCAGCCAATCAATGATTCTCTCTTTCCAATATGCAGTGGGATAGCCAAGCACCATGGGACAAACAGAGGTAGAGAGGAGAAAAGGGGTGCTCAGGGACCTCCTACCCTAGCTGAGTCCTGTCGAAATTGAACAGTGACCTCCTGGTTGACCATTGACCTATGAACCAGGAGATCACCATTCAATTTCCACCAGGGGGTAGGCAGGAGGCCGCTGATGAATGAATCTTTCTCATCATTGATGTTTCTACCTCTCTCACCCTCTTACTTCTTCTCTGAAATCTATTACATATATATATATATATATATATATATATATATATATATATATAATACACACACACACACACACACATATATATATATATCTTTAAAAGTTAACAAAATAGTTGTTTTGACCATGAAGAATACTTAGAGGCTCACATCTACCCTCTGTTCCCACCCACGAATTTTCTGGAGGCGTTTTTGGTCCTGAGTTCTAAGAAACAGCCTACACCTGACAGGTATCTCAACACAGGCCGCCCCTGCCCTGCCTTCTGGAGGGATGCCCAGCCTCCTCTGAGGTTTGGGCATTTGCATCAACAGTGCCTCCAGGTTGTGTGCTGCTCAGCCCTGCTGGTGAGCAGCTGGCACCATCAGACCCGGCCCCGGGGCTGAGCCTCACACCTGTCTCATGACTCCAGCAGCAGTGCCGTGTAGGGACAAGACTGCCTTCACCTACACTAGTTAAGTGACCTTGGGCAACTTGGCCGCTCCGTGCCTCAGTTTCCCCATATGTGAAATGGGGATAGTATGGCACCTACATCATAGAAATATTGTAAGGACCAAAGCAGCTCACATGTACAAAGTGCTTATATTATAGTAGGCATTCAACAAATGTTAATTTTCATCTAATGATCTCATAAGCATGTATAATTACTATCTTATAAATGTGATGTAATATAAATCCAGATCTCCTGACCCCTTAGTCTCTATTATCCTCCCTCTAATGACATCCACTCCAGTTTGGGGTGCCTCTGGGGCTCCAACTTGCTGTGTGAATCTCCCCCTTGTCTGTCTCTGTCGGGTGCTCTTGGGTCAGAGGTGTCTGCAGGGATATGAGGCCAGAGGCAAGTCCCTTCTCGAGATTTTGTATGGGTCTTCTAGGGAGATGTACTCTTGGAGGAGTATGTGTGTGTGTGTGTGTGTGTGTGTGTGTGTTTTCATTTGACATGCACTCAGAAATGGGGGTCACTGCTTGCACTGGCTGTTTTCAATTTTTCAAATTCTAGGCTAAGGAACAATGAGGAACATATAAATAGATTCATTATGCCTTTGCTTAAACTTTTCATAAAAATACCTCTCAGTAATTGAGTAGGGCAGTTTGGGATGGAGATGATGATGTGAGTGAGGATTTTGCGGGCTAACCAGCCCTGGTTTTACCCACCTGCGATCTTCTCGTGTACACACTACCAAGACCTAAGAACTGTCCCTGTTTCTCTTCACTTGCCACCCACAGAGGACACCCAATGTCCGCCTTCAGCCCGCAGAGGGAGCCTGAGGAAAATCTAACGGCAGTGATGGTATTTTCAAAACACTTAGCTGTCTGTCAGCTCGAGCTCTCCTGCTGACCACATGCCGTGTATGAAGCCTCCGAAATAGGTGCTTGTATGGCCACCAGAAGACACTTAGGATTCTGAAGTGCTTCTTAAATCAGCAAAGATATTTAGATGCGCTTGCGTGGTATTCTTGGATTTTATTAGTCTTTTTTTTTTTTTTTTTTTTTTTTTTGAGAATTCAAATCCACAAGGGTTTATATGGTAATTCTATATAACATATTTGATGAAGAGGAGCTTTCTGATGGTTAATAAATGGCTGTAATTCTCCAATAATCCTTTTCACAGGTTTGCGCCTGGGCTGGACAGGGCTGGGCACGGGGACTGACAAGGGACCTGGGTGACTCCTGGGATTCTGGGCGCTCAGGGTGCTCCTGGGTGTGAGTGACCTTAGGCTGCCCAGGAGAGTTCTAGGGCACTCTCCCTGCATTCAAGAATGGCCCGCCAGCGCCGGTTTACTAACGGGCCATGTAATGCAGATAAAATAAGAACTGACTTCAGTGTCGGCCCTGAACTCACACCAAGAACTTTCTGAGGGAAAAAAAGATCCCGTTACTGAGTCTTCATACACACACACACACACACACACACACACACACACACGGCGTGATGTTGACCATACCCAACCACAAGGAAGGAACTTCATGGCTTTCCCCACTGACCCACCAAGAGATGCAAGGTCAAGGCCTGCCCTGTCTCCGGGATCTCAGGGAGGGTGCAAAGAGTGGGCCATGAGTACACCCAGTAGGCCATCAGCACCCTGAGTGAGCCATCAGCACCTCAAATGGGCTATCAGCACCCCGAGTGGGCAATCAACATACCCAATGAACCATCAGCACCCCGAATGGACCATCAGCACTATCAGTAGGCTATCAGCACGTCCCAGTAGGCCATTAGCACACCCACTGAGCCATAGCACACTCAGTAGGCCATCAGCACACTCAGTGGGCCATCAGCACAGCCAGTGGGTTATCAGCACACCAAGTTAAACCACCACCAATCCTGAAATCCCATGTCAACCAGGCCTTTTAACAATAGTTTTGATTTTTTGAAAAACACTGACTAGAGCTAATGCCCTTGAAAAATTGAGAGGACCACCATGGGACAGACACATCCCACGGTCCCCATTTTTGGCAACAGGGCCCATGCTTGTTCACTCATCCCGACTTTGCAACAAGAGTATCTCCCATTCACCTGACACTGCGATGCAGGGAGATTTCAGGACAGGGACCCTGCCCCCTCTGCCTCTGCCGGGCAGCCCCAGCCCCCGGGGCAGCATCAGCATGCCCCCGCTCACCTCCAGCACGATCTCTTTCAGCTGGAACTGCTTCTGCGCGACCTTGTCCGAAGACACGGGCTCGTGGTAGTAGAGGCACAGCAGGTCGTACCTCTTCAGGACCTGCTTGAGGTTCTTCTCCGTGAGACTCACCACACGGTCCTTGCCGTCGTACGTGGGGAAGTTCAGCCCCTCCTCCGCCCGGCAGGACAGCAGGCAGACCCCCACCACAAACAGGTGAGTCTGCTTCATCGGGGAGAAGTGGGGTGTCCTGCCCAGAAATGCTGAGTGCAGGACAGAAGAGGTAAAACTCTTAGGGGCTTGTTGAGAGAGGCGTGGGGCAGAGAGGCTGGCCTGTCCCTCCTGCTCTTGCTGGGCCCTGGAACTGAGTCTTCTCCTTCTTGGGTCCGGCTGCTGCAGTTGTGAGCTCAGAAAGGAGGGAGCTGAGGCGCTCTCTCTCTCTCTCTCTCTCTCTCTCTCTCTCTCTCTCTCTCTCTCTCTCTCTCTCTCTCATACACACACACACACACACACACACACGCATGCACACACACGTGTGGACTGAGCCAGGCTGGGCAGCCAAGCCCAGATACCGCGCATAGCTCTGCCCAGCCCCGACCCATCAGGAACTCCATTTTTAGGATGCACTTGTCTCCTGCTAAAAATAAATCATGCGAGGAATAAAAAAGTTCTCCCTGCCACTGTTGAGGGATTCGCTGATATGATCTGTCAGGAGGTGGGGAGGGAGGAGGCAGGAGGGAAAGCCGAGGAATTGAGACCAGGAAGGTCAAAGGTGAGATGTGAACTTGGAGGGAGGGAGAGAAGATGAGAGGCGAGTGAGAGGGGACGGTGGCATCAGGGAGCAAGTGGAGACGTTAGGACGTGCACAGCGTCTCAGCCATCACTGAATCCTCCTGTTATCCAGGGAGGTAACCAGCCTGTCCCTCCCTGGGGACTGCGGGCCCGTCCCCTGTCTGCTCATGGCTGATGCGGGAACGAGAGGGAGCCCTGAAGTGGACTTCACCTTTTGTTGTCCTGTCTCCTGTCCTCTCTTCTTAGAAACCCAGCCCTGGCTGGCCACTCGCCATGCCCACATGGCTCCACCAGCCCCTGGGCCAAGGGTACAGGGACACTGCATTGGAGGGCTCCGGGGACGCCGGCCTGCCAAGGGACCACTGTTCCCTCCTACCACCTTCTCCACTGCCGAACTCTGCCGACTCCACGACAACCGTCCCGTTTAATTTTTTAATTAAATACAAGTTCAGCAGCCTTCCTCAGAAACCTGAGGTTTTCAACTATCATCCCTGTCCTATTTTTTTTTCCACATGAACCCCTAATGTGTCACTTTTACCCCTTTGCCTCTTTATTAGACACAGAGTGACAGGTGTGAGTTCAAATCCCCACTCTGCCTTTTAACAGCTGAATGAGCTTTGGGGGCGGGGGGGGGGGGGTTACTCTCCCTCCCTGGGTCTCAGCTGCCCCCCATGTCAAATGCAAATACTTGTAACTATATTGTTAGGTCTGGAACATATAGATGGAAAAGCATGATACAGAGCCGGTGCCCAAACATGGTAGCTCCTATACCTACTTCATTCTCTCTGGAGATGCTGGGTCATAGGTTATTATATTAGTGCCATTCGTTTCCTAGTAGTAATGGCTTGTGAACACTTTCCATTCCATTTTCTCCTTGATTGCATCAGGCGATCAGGGCAGACATGACCAGGGCTTATTTCTCGGGGGAGCTGAGAGTCAGAGAAATTAGCAACTCGTCTGTGATTGTTTCTAGCTGCCACCCAGAGGACTCGGCTCCGCCAGGGAGCCCGGTGCTCCTGGTGGCTCGAACCTGACGCAGGACAACTCCCCTCCAGACACCCATCTTCTCAGTGGCCCTTGACCATGTCTTCTGGTCACACAATAGTCTGGCCAAGTCTTTCCACTTTATTTATTTAAATATATATATATATATATATATAAATATAATAAATATATATATATATATATATTTATTTTAGAGAGGAAGGGAGAGGGGGAGAGAGAGAGAAACATCAATGAGGAGAGAGAATCATTGATCGGCTGCCTCCTGCATATCCCATACTAGGGATGAAGCTGTGATCCAGGCATGTGTCCTGACCGGGAATTGAACTGTGACCTCCTGGTTCATAGGTCGACACTCAACCACTGAGTCACACCCCCAGGGCATGTCTTCACTTTAGAGGGGTCTCTGGCTCTTGGGACTTCAGCCCAGTTTTTGTCTTCCTTCAGTAAGAGACGGCTTTGGACACAGTGAGGACCTTGTGGCTCACAGGGTTTGCAAGGGAAGGAAGAAAAAGGGAAGTTCAGAGCCTACTGAGAGTCCGGCTGATAAGGAGGCATCATTTTTCATGTCCAGGAAGCCGGGACCTTGGAGATCTCACCATTAAACCCCTCACCACATCCAGCTCTTTCCCACGGTGAATAGTCTGTGCTGTTAAAGATGGGGCCAAGAACAGCCACTCCAAGGCGTGGTTGGCTCCCAGGTCACTGCCAAGCATCAGTGACCTCTGCTTTCTTTAGAAATTAGAGGGGAAAGATTTCCGACTGAAACAACCTTATGTCTTGTCTTTTTTGAGGTCAGCTTCCCAAAGTGTTCCCAGTTGTCTCATTCTCATTGGCTTATCTTTATTTAGAATTTGCTCTACTTTTCTTATACAATATATATATATTTATATGTTACTGAGAAAAACAACAACAACACTGGGAGCTATTTAAAGTCATAGACGTTGAATTTCCTGCTGACTTGGAAGAGATGAACAGTACCAGGGCAACAGGATAATTTTTTTTTAAATTGATTTTAAAGAGAGAAAGAGAGAGGGAGAGAGAGAGAGAAACATTGATGTGTGTGAGAGGAACTGTAATCGGCTATCTCCTGCACGCCTCCCATCGGGGATCAAGCCCACAACCTGGGCACCTGCCGCCACCAGGAATAAAACCATTGACCTCTTGGGTCAGTGTTCAATCCACTGAGCTACACTGGCCAGGCGCAAAGGGATAATTTTTAAAATGTCAGTTTGGCGCTCAAGTCTGGCTTATGACCCATCTGAGTATTAACAGAAAGACGCCCCAGTATAGGAAGTCCCTGCTCTCAGATCCCAAACTCTATTTGGGCCTCGCAGCCCAGCCCTGATGCTGGCACCACCACAGACATGTGCTGTGATGATCAGGTTTCCCACTGTCTGTCCACGTGGACGTGGGGACCTAAATTTGTGCCCCACTCTTTCTGATAATGCTTCTGCACGGTCTGCTTTTTATGTACCAGCCTTTTCTCCATCTGCCGGTTAGCTTCCTAATTTTGTTTTCCTTTGCCTTATTGCTCACCCACTTGCATTTATTTTGTAAACAGCAAGTGCTTCTGACATTTCTGAGTCAACACTGCATGCAGCAAACCAGCCGCAGCCCAAGGCCACACCTCACACTCTCCTAGCTCTGTGGCTGCACCGGACTGAGCTGTGTCTATCTGGCTGTACCCTTAGCAGGTATTTTTTTGTTTGTTTTGTTTTGTTTTGGAACAAGAAGGAATATAACAAAATAAACAAATTCATGCAAATACATGTCAGTTACTGTCATAGGACAGGAGACAGGCCCCTTGCTTTTGCTAACAATTTTTAGTCCATCCCTCTGTGCGTGGGCACCCCTTGCATTTATTTATTCTCAACAGGCAGCCAGGTCATTTTATATACTATTTAATTTGATCTTCACCATAATCCATTTTATAGGTACATGAGGGTTTAAAGCCATGGTCTTTCATTAAGGTGTTAATTACATAAATTTGTGCTGAGCATCTTCTGTGTACCAGACATTCTTCTGGGTGCTGGGGGTAGTTACATGTAACCCTGAATTCGGGGGCTTACCTCCTATAGGGAGACAGATAGGGGTGTGTGTGTGTGTGTGTGTGTGTGTGTGTGTGTGTACACACGCTGAAGTACAATGGAGAAGGTCCAGGGAGAGCCTGTGACAGTGGGTAGAGGGTGGCCCTTTAGGATGGGAGGTCCAAGAAGCATCTTTGAGGAGGGAACGGGAGCAGAAGGGAGGAGAGGGGCTGAGACAGAAAGCAGGTTGCTGAGAAGGCCAGTCCCAGGGAGGAGGGGGAGGCCTCCACGCTGGAGACCCGAGCAGAGTCCACCACTAGAGGGAGCTGTACCCACCTCTTTCTCCTCTCAGCATCAGTTTTCTCAGACCTTTCATCTGTTCCTAAAATATATAGGTTCATACCTACAGTGGATGGTCTATAGGGCAAGGATACCTATCTGAGTGACTCAGACACAGTCCCGAGTGAGAGAGCCACGGCCAGGAACGCAGGAGGCCTGGGTGCTGACTGGTCTGACACAGCCGAGCCTGGCTGTGCAGCCTTGGTCCAGGCTCCCCCCTCTTGGCCCTCACATTTCCAGCTTCTGGGGAAAGAGGTCCTCCCGTGGCCACTTTCTGGCTCTGAAATTTTAAAATCAGTTCCTCCCATAGAGGATTTCCTTTACCAGGATAGGCACAGCCCATAGGTTTGAGGACTTTGATGAATATTACCTGTGGAGGGGGGTTCTGATGGGTGTGATTCATCACAAGTCCAACCTCGCATCTATCTTCTCCAAAGTAGACATCCTAAGGCATCAATATGTAAAGGTCCCTTCTTTGGCTAAAATGCTCCCCCAAGTGGACAATGTGGGGTATGACACCTTTCTTTGTTTGATCCTGTTTCTCCCTGGGTCAGGTTAGGCCTTTGCTAGGGAGATACAGCCAGTTCCCTGGTAGAGAGAGTCCCAGAAATGCAGTGTCTCCAGCCCTGCATTCCATAGCCTCAGGCTTCCTCTGCTCAGCTCAGAACAGGCCTGTTCGAAACCCCAAGACCTCCTCTCCTTTTTATTTTGAATATCTGGCAACCCCAGCTCGCCTACACCAGGAGCCAGCTCCTCAGAAACAGGCAAAATAAAGTCAATGCCCAATGGAAAAAGTGCCCCACGGCTCTACCAAGAACAATTCCAGCTCTCCACAAACGTCCCTTCCTCAGGGAGGCCCTCGGCGTGGCCCAGGGGCTGGCCTTCACGCCCCTTGCACACCATACTCTTCCTCGGAAACACTCTCCCACTGGGCAGCCCTTTCCCCAGTAGGCCGAGGCTGATCGGAGCGGAGACCAGTTCTGCCTGCAGTAGTTCCATCAACTATTTATTAAATAAACCTGAAGCGCTTTCTTTGCGCTCCCCAGGTCTTATTTTAAGCACTATACAAATTTAACTCATTTATTCTTAACAGCCTTACAAGGCAGGCAATTTTAGCAGCCCCATTTAACAGATGGGTAAACTGAGGCAGAGAGCGGTTAACTAACTTGCCTGGGGTCATGTGGCTAGTAACCTCAGAACTGGAATTTGAACCCACTTGTTTCTGTTTTCTACCCCTTGTAACCACCCGCTAGGTGCCTCTCGCAGG